TCCGATCACAGTGCGCGGCCACCATTTCGTGAGCTTCTCTCCTGGTCTCTTCTACGTCTCTACCGCAACTGGGGACATGGGAGGCATGCAGCTTGTTACTCCGTGGGACTGCTTCTGCTGCTTGCTTGTCTTGCTCTCGTCTGATTGTCGTTGCCCGGCTGTTCCGTTCACAAGAGACTCTTTGGAAATTCAACACTACACAACCTTTCGTAAAGTCTCCGAAGCCCAGTCACTCAGCCTTTTCCGGGGTCAATATAAGACTTTACGAGGAAAAGAGTCGGGCTACCATCATCCTGTGCGTTATTTACCCTCGGTATTCATCGTCTCAAAATTCCCCTCCTGCAGCTAGTGCTGAGTGGTGTTCTCGATGCGTGTGTGTGGACTCTGATTCTGGTGGAACCTTTCGACTCAACTGCGTGAGTGGGCAAGATAATCTGGATGTTACCTGGGCCCTCTCTTGACCATCCTCGTTCTTATTCTTACCAAGTGGGCAGCTATCTTCTCCTACTCGGTGGATGCTTTGGGACGCCTAGCACAAAATCAACAAGGCCTTCGTCACCTCTCTTTCTTTTTCTTAAACATCATCCGTTTCCCATCCCCGTCCACGATGACCATCAGCCCCCATGTTTGCATCCTGAACTTGGAACACCTGATCTAACAACGCGGGCCGTTGAACCAGTTTCCCTCGCTTGGTTAACGTCGACCTGTCCATCTTGGTCTAGACTTGGTAGTGGGTCAGACAGGCTGTCATCATCTTGACATTCCGATCGTTCTTGTCGTCAACATCTCCGGGACCACGCCTTCACTTCTTCGACCGAACCGACAAGTCTCAGCCTCCGTCCTGTCCGAGGCTCTACGACATAAACAACACAAGGAATCCACGGCACTGATCTCCACACGATATCAGGGTGCGAAAGCTCAAGGACAACGAACCTGATAAACATACTGGTCTTTGAACAAGATAGCCGGCGAGTCCTCCGGGTGCCCGCCATCCCCACACTGTCTGTGTCTTGCCGTTGCCATCGGAAGGTTGCAAGCACCCGCCTCTACCAACCTCAACCAACCACTGGTGGGACCGAGGAGAAGTTGTCAAACGGCTGCGCAAGTCCACGCTTTCTTCGTCCTTACCAGGATCCACTGAGCCAGTCCTGATCCCATCTTGCTCTCCTCTTTACCCCATTTTGCCAGGTCAGCCATTTGTTCCGTAGGTTGTGTGTGCCAAAGCACTCGTGCTATCACCGCTCTCACCGGTAGCCACCTTTGGTATCCAGCCAAGCTCCGCACCGCTTCACTTTTCGACGTAGGGGGCGCGCTTTGCAACGCTGAATCCTTTGACCTAACAACCTCAGAAGGAGAATATTGAGCAACATTGAACCGATAGTTTCGCGCTCTTCATTCTGGCCTGTCTCAGTCTCACTCAATAAACAAAGACTTCGGTAAGATCAACTTCATCACTTTGATTGCCCTCAGCTGACGTTCTGTTTGAAGCCACGATCCGACTGTCTCCACCTGCGCAAAGTCTACCAAACACCTCTGGCTCAATCTCTAACATTAGGGACGCCATTCTTTGTCTCTCTCTGCGTGGTTAGATCCACCTAATCTTACCTTGATTCTGCCAATCTTTCTGTTTGGCAGTGGTTCCAGCTCGTCTCCGCTCCAAGCACGTTCCCGGTCCCTTTGCACGATTGAGAAGAACCTGTCTTGCCTGGCCACTACTCTTGAAACAAATTCTCTGGCCTTTGGCTCACGCTGTGGCCACAGCTGCGCGTCGAGGAAGAATTGGTTCGACCGAACATCAACAATCTATCCCACCGACATCCAGAGACATTTGCCAGCTTTGTTTTGGCTCAAAGGCTCTGTCTCAGCCATTTTCGTGCTGCAAGACGGCTGTTGTTCTCATTGTGCCGCCAACAAGCCTGGTGGGCTCGTCGAAGAATAAATCAACAACCATCCCAGCATTTACATCTTGTCTTGTTAACTATTTGTGTTCATCAACTTGATTTTGGCGGTCACTCTTTCTTGACCACAACGATTCTTTACGAGCACCATCACTTGTCGGAACTCACGAACGAAGGTGCCAGCCATGGTTAATACATATAACGGGCATGGCCATTACACTCGGCCACAATGGACGACAGAGAGGCCCACTGGGGAGCACATGCCAGATAATGGTCGTTACTACGATACTGGAATCAGAACCCCGCCACCTGTAGGTCATGCCTCCTGTTTACTCACCTGCCTGGTGCTGACGGTGATACAGACAATTGGCGATGTCTTGCGTGACCAGTGCAAGATAAACCATCAGAGCTTCTTCCTTGCCGTTCTTACCGAAGATGGTCGCACGGTCTATTTCACGGGCCCGAATAAGCTGCCAGAGGGTGAAATCCAGAGATACTTTGACATGGAGCGGTTTATCCGCTACCAAAAACGTGCTGCTGAGAGTGAGTGGTCATTTTGCCACATGTTCGGTCTAGGCTCACGCTAACAGAAGTTTAAGGCGGTCTCGCTGGGGCCTATGATGAGATGTCTTTTGGGCCAGAGTATGGGCGTCGCGGAAGTGACCGCCGTCTCGAGGCACCCGAACAGTTCTACGATCATGCACCACCAACATACCGGACCCGAAAGCGCCAGAGGGCTAACGTTCCCAGACGTGTTCGCGATGATGACGAGCCAGCGGTGACTGTCTCCGCAAAGAAGGGGATACGAATCAATAATGCGCAGGAGGTTGGGGACTTCTACGACCAGCGCTTCAAAAAGATACAACAGAACACTTGCAAGCTGATTGCCAAAGCGTGGATCAAGGCGATTGCACCCAAGAAGCAGTCTACACATCCCTACACAGGAACCAAAATCCCCGACTGGTGGCCAAAGCCTCTGGGCCCGAGCAAGGATGAGGGCATGAGGCACAAGGAGCCGGACCACCTGTTCAAGCCAGGTAAGACAATTGTCTCATGCGACTTCAAGATGTACGATTAGTTGAGAATCCTCCCTAACACGAGTACAGAGCGCCTCCGTTTGTTATGCCACCTGTTGAGACTCATTGTCGAGCCAAACTCTCAGCAGCATCCGAGCATCCGCGCACAAGAGCTCACTGTGGCCAAATTGGAGGAGCTGACAATGGAGGCAATGGGAGGCTTCTTCAACGACAGGGCCAATCCTAATCAGGCGAAAAAGAAACCCTTCCTAAAGGAGATCTTCAAGGTCGCTAAGGTTGAGGAGCAGTACAAAAGGGGTGAAATCGGTTAGTTACAACATCCATGGTCCGTCAAAGTTGCGGGGGACACTTTGCTAACCTAACCAGATGGTGATACGGTCGTATATGTCATGGCCGACAACAGCCAAACAGACTTTCCATCCGACGATGAGGACGACGCGTGTAGAGAGGAGGATGACGAGCATCATCTTTCGGTAATGCCATCCCGACTCTCGCCTCCCAAGACAACGATGCCTCACGCGCTCATGCCTATTCCGACTACTGACCACAGCCCAACTACCAACATTCAACCAGGCTTCGTTAGCGAGATGCCGATTAGAAATCAGTATTCGACTACTCTGATGCCGCCAGATCTCACGCCTGACCAGCACTATGTGGAGAATGGGGGGATATCTGTGGGAGGTCAAGCATCTCTGCAGCAGCACGGAGCGCCCGTTCAGATGCAGGAAATGATACCGAGTCCTCACGAAACAAGCCGTCGACCACCCTTGTTCAGTCCCGCGTCCGACTACGCAAGCACTACTGCCTCCGGACTGTATCCCGGTGCTTGGCAGCAGACTACAACGGCTCCTGGTAGCGCGGCCATGTATTCCTTTGGTACTCCAAGTCAACAGCCCCAGCAGCCGCCGCATCCGCCGCTCCCTCATCCTCAGGGAACCTTTGTTTCGCATCAGGGGGTACAAATAGGTCAAAACCAGCCACCGTACATGGGCTCATCTTTCGACACACTCCCTCATACAAGTAACGGTCTTTTCCGTGGCCCCAACGTCGGTCAAGGCTCCGTGTCTCATGGGCAAAGTTATCCGAGCTACATGCAGCATGATTCCAGAGGCCTGCCGGGTGACATGAAGATGGATCCTTCAAATCGCGGGTTACCGCCGCACTGAGTCGGAACTGAATAGCGCAACACTGGTTCGCTTGTGTCACTGTTGGTTCTATGACTCGAAGAATTCCCATCCAAAGCACGATTTCATATTTTCCTACGCATCCTAGATGGCGGAAGGGGCATTCATCTACAATGCTACGCTGGTTGACGGGACAGCACCCATCTTGTGTTAGCGCATTCAGTATTTCCACCTTATGCATACACTTCCCCTGATATTCGGTACACCTCTCATGGCATGGCATCAATACACACGCGCGCACGACATGATACACTGAGATAGCCAAGCAATTGGTGATAATATGGACTGATGGAAGAGGGAAGTGGAAACGGGTACACGGAGGTGGTCAGAGCATGGAAGAGAGGACATCCAGAAAGACATGGTACCATCTGACCAGAGACCTTTTGCGGTCATCGATATGGAACAGGAAAGGGAGACTGTTTTTCCGGTTGGACTCTTCTTCATCTGGTTTGGCATCATCATTTTCCTTGGTTTCTTACTTGTTTGCAATTTTAGCGTTCCAAAAAAGCGGGAGGTTGTGCGTTTTTTTCTGCGAGTTTAGGGCTCGGCGGCTGATAGTGTGTTTACTCATCCTTCTTTCTTAATCTGTGCGGTGCCCTTCCTTTTTATCGCGTCTCTGACTCTTTGCTTTTTCTTCGGGCGCCAAACAAAGTTTGCTCTTTTGCAAGTTACAACATCGTTGCGTGGGTGGCCGACCTGTCTTTCAGTTTACACAATGGCGCACATGAGTTTACTAGTTGATTTCCCCCACAAGGTTGTTTGAATCGGGGCTCTGGACTGGTTGGGTGGGTGGCCTTTTGTCGAGTTCGTTTGTTAGTTCTTGCATAGCTAGTATATCACTTGTGCTTATTTTATTGCTTGTCGTTTTCAATGCCTTGTTGTCGTCATGTCTGCTGGTACCGTACAAGTGCTCACATGTTTTTGTCCTTCACCCCAATGCGTTGCACACAGTATGTCTTACACTATCATCGACTCATCTTTCACCCAAGCGGCGATCATGAAAGCAGAGCTAAGCTCACCGGGCCTCCTCTTCTTCACTCCTGTCTTTTACGCCCAAAATCCCGTCGCTTACCCATCCCCACAACTCCTCACCCCTTGGCCCGAAAGGTGGCATGTGGAACATCATCAACCCTTACTCTTTTGTTTCCTATGAGCTCCCGGTAATAACCTCTGAGCTAAGCCCAAGCTAACCGAACAAACCCGCCCCCGTCACCGGTCTTCCACGTCGTATACCAGTATCGGGTCGCTGCATAAGAACCGAGGTCTGCTGAGCCATCAAGACATGAAGGCATTTCTACTTGATACACGACCGCGGTATGGGGTTATGTACGTATATCTGCTTCTGGAAGGGCGGGCAGACAGTCCCGTGGTGGGCTGTGAGAGTCCCTGGCGGTCCGTGACCACGGTATGAGAGAGTGTGGGTTGGGTTGGGCTTCAAGAACCTCAAGGGGAAGCTCAACCCTCCGAAAAAGCCGAGGAGGCGGATAGCATGGAGGGGCAAAGATATTATTGTATGCGGTTTTTGGTGTCAAGAGATGAGAGGGCAAGTATCGGTACATACTGTCCGTTCATGACTACAAAGCAAAATTGCCTGAAAGGTGCGACCCCCAGGGACTGTGTTAGACCGGGAACTGTACAATGTTGTACGCGAGTTTGTTATGCTGCCGTTCCACAGTGTCTTTCATATACATAAGAGAGGGAGGGGGTTGTCTTGACGTGGACTGGACGTGGGGTGAGTACCTACCTATCTACCTACCTCTACAAGTAAGGAGGCACTGATACAGTGACACTAGACAAAAAAGAAGAACACTCCGTCGGTTTAAAGGATCTATCATTGTGCAGTTATCTCTTCGGGCCTATCGGTACATGGGTAATTCATCGTATGGAAGCGGTAATGCGTCTTTCTTGGTAGGTACACACCGGATCTTGGAGACACTACGTATGTCATCACTCCTACGTATTCCAAACGATATCCAGTATTCGTCTACATACAGCTACCACAGTACCGATATAAGGTAATAGGAATAATTGTACAACAAGAAGCATGGGAACACGACTGGGAAAGGGGCCACCGCGGTGTGGGGGTCAACGACACTGAAGTGAAGGAGGTATGTATATGTAAAGGCAGGTTTCCTCGTCTGGGCAAGTTAGGTTACGTATGGTGGAAGCACAAACAGATGCCTCTCTACATACACAAACTATGCTAGCTACTTGCCTATTTGTAACAATACCAGTGCCACATCACGGTGTACATATATGTAGGTACATACGGCAATGTCTCCTCCGGTTCGGGACTTGGAGGAGGTTTCCATGTAGCACGCGGCTGAGCTCGGAGCTCGGAGCTCGTGAATGAATAGGTATGTAGTGAGTGGGTGAGTGACAGGCCAGAGGAAAAAAAAGCGAAGCAGTCTAGCAATCCACAACCACTACACTGCACTACTCACATACTATGTACATCACAACAAGCACAAGAAGCGGCGACACCTCCGGCGACACACCCCACCGCATTTTCACATTTGAAAAGGGAAGCAAACGGCTACTTGCAGATCTTTTTGATCTTTTGGACTAGGGCTCAATGTGTATATGCAGGGTACCTGTCATTTTTCTTTTTCTCTTCTTCTAACATACTGTGGTGGGTTGTGGTACAATATCGTACTGTGTGTGCGAGAGAGAGTGTACGCTACACGAGATACACGGGATACACGAGATGGATGAATGGGGTCAAGTAGTGCAGTGGGGGTAGGTATTTAGGTAAGGTAACTTGGACTGTCTGGTTTCCGAACATACACCGGTAGATACGTAGACCAGAACGAGCAATCAACGAGGATAGGTGGTTGCCGCGGAGAAAAAGAGGATAAGTGCAAAGACCGAGGTTCCATCTAGAAAGGCAATGAATGTCTAGCAACTAGGTCTACATAGTAACATGAGAGCCCAACGGGGGTGTGGTACACAGCACAACACAACACCACACTACAGCGGCTTTGACGCCGGTTTAACTGGAACCTAGCTTGTGTTTCTTCTGTACTTTGGAACACGACAGACAGTGATGACACAGTCTATCTATCTGTCTGTCTGTCTGTCTGTCTGTCTGGAATGGAAGTTACGTTACCTACGAAGAGGGTTCTTTGGTGTCACGGTGTCAGTTGACGATGTCGTCTCGGGAGGTCGGTCGCTCGCTCGCTCGCTCGGCCGGCCGGGGAAGCGGAAATGCTTCGGATAGAATGCCCTGGGGAGTGTCTCCGAGAAAGATAACAAATCTCTATATACAACGGACACAGTAGTAGAAGCTAGAAGTACAACGTGGTTTTGGTTTTGGCACATCTTGAACGAGGGGCGGCCTACCTCTATCGGGACAGACAGGACAGGACAGAAAACCCTTTCAAGGAGCGTTTGAGCGGTTGTTCAAAAATATACATGAATTGGCCATGATGACGAGAGAGAGTCCCGGATTTGGTCGAATTCTAATATGCCCAGTGTCCTCAACTCAATCGTCAATTCCAAACGACGTTCCATGGCGTCAAAATTGTACATTGTTTGCTTCCTCTTGGGTGGTGGTGGTGGTGGTGGTGTCAAACATTCCTACCCTTGCTAACCAGAATTAGTCAGGAAACTAAGGCAGATTGCTTTCTGCAGCGTGCAGGAAGCATGAACAGGTCTTCCTTACTGTACTGTACAATCGTTTCGATGATACCCACGCAAATTTTTATGTTGCTTTCTTTCTTTTTTTCCCTTTTCACTCAGCCGGGGAGTTCATCCGCTCCCGCTTGCCCGCCCGCCCCCGCCTGCTTGCTTGCTGTCAGGTCTTGCGGACCTACCTTTTTTTTCTTTTTTTTTCCTTTTTTCTTGAACATGAATGATAGGTCGACGATTATGACGGACACTGCCTGGCAGGTAAGCTAAAAAGAACAAAAAGCAAAATCAGCATCATGATCAATCAATCGTGATCTGATCCCGAACCGTAAGTGACAGGTCTTTTAGTGGCTTTGCTGTCAAAAAATGCTCCGTGGGGCCGGCTGGGCGTGGGAGCGTGGGTATGGATGGGAGTGTCCGCAGTTGGGCAGTGGCTTTTGGGAAGAGAAGTGAGGGACTGCGTGGTATTCTCCGTTCCTTTTTTCTTCTTCCGTGGGGATATCTTTCGCCAGAGTGGTAGAAGTTGTCATTTGGCAACGGGATGCAGGCCGCTTCGCTCCGACCCGCTATGCGAACGGCGGTTGCAATGGTGAGATTGATAGGTGGTGATGATGATGGTGGTCTGCGATGACAGCTTTGTTTTTGGGAAGTGGTAATGGGCAGGTGAGATGCTGGTGGGAAGTGTTGACGAAATATGGGAGATATTTGGCATGATCAATCTTGCTTCGGATTTTTTAAGACGTGCACTCTACCCGCCGCAGAAGTTTTATATTGCAAAAAGGAGCCAATGTTATCTTTTGTTGGACTGAGATTTCTGGTAAGATTTAAATGCAATGTTATTGTCTGAAATTTTTCGGAACCTTTTCTTTCCCATGGGATACTCCAGGCCAAAAGCTTTGTGTTCTTCAGTCTCCTGCACTTAAAATTTTGTTAGTCTATCACCCATTGATGCTTATAGAGACCGAGCCACAGAGTAATGACTACCAAATGAGATGTAAAATATGATACACCGACAATGCCACACTGCATCAAGCCTCGTGCATTGAATTAACATACGATGTGTCCACGAGTAGTGATTGTGAAAGGGGCGCAAAGCCCAGACTTGAGTCGTTGACTTAAGGTTGAGGTTTCTTGACAAAGAACATGAAAGCAAAAAGAGCAGATACTCGCCTCTAGAGTAAAAAGATCATACGCAAAAAAATCAGATATAGAGATCTGTTAATCCTCGATCCACCCAGGGGTCGAACCTGGAACCTCCTGATTCGTAGTCAGACGCTCTGCCATTGAGCCAGCGGACCGTGTTGAGATAATTTGATAAAATTTCGGTCCAGTTTTGGAGTTTATAGGTGGAGTTTGTAAAGATGGGGTGCCCTGGTTTAAAAAAGTTTCTGCACATAAAGAATACTGTATCTCTCTTACACACAGCAAGGTGTTCAGCTTTCGTGCACTATCACGAATTTGTCATGCGCCGACGGTACTTAATCCTTACCTCAGCACAATAATCAAACCGCGAAGGGGGAAAACAAAGAAGCAAGAGACCAAAAAAGACGCCCAAAAAAGACGCCCAAAAAACACCGAATAATACAACACCAGTTCCCCCACTACTCATTATCGCTTCAGCAACTTTATAGGATTAACTGGATATATCTCGAGCGCACGAAGTGTTAAAAAAAAAACGAAAAGAAAAAAAACCCGATTTATGCTCCATGTGTCTATCTTGTCACGGACCTCGATGAATCGGACAACCTCCACCAATCTGCCATGTCCCAGTAAAAGGGTATTGCAGGTAATTGCAGCTAGCAGTTCGGCAACTAAAAGTGTTAGGTGATATATATACATGGATATAGTTGTACTGGCGCCCATCGTGACCAGCCTCGATTCGACGGCACTATCGTCACATATCGCCATACATCGCTCTAGTTGTCTCCTGTCCTCCTCCTCTTCTTCGTCATCATCCTGACGGTAGTTGATTACATCTATCTAGGATGTATAAGTGCAAGAGTCTAGATCATCATCAATCTTGGTCAACGAATGGTACATCTTCTGTTCAACCTGACGAACAAGAATACCAACACCCAGCGGTTGAGATGAGTGACGTGGGCACCGGAACCACAATGGCCCTCGAGGGATCGGAAACTTTATCTAACAAATGAAGGAAGGAAGGGGTGCGTCTCGTTGCACGGCTGCTTGCCCGGGAAATCTCAAATTGAAGAAAGACGCACTCCGTATGGATAAGACGAACCAAGACCAAAATTGCGGGAAGGAAGGGCAAAAAAGGTAGGTAGGTAGCCCGTACAGGAATCGAACCTGTAACCAAGGTACATGACTAACGGCGATTTCTAGCTCTTGCGCCAGTTGCCAGTTGCCAGTTGCCAGTACCACTGAGCTCATAACAAACCCATATCCACGGACTCTCAACGGTAGAGCTTACTGGTCACGAATTTTACCGCGAGAACTTGCACCTATATACCTATACCCACACATACACACAGAGTCATGTTCCCGGAAGGGCAGGAACGAGATAAAATTGCGTCCGCTCCTTCAAGGTATAACATACAACAACATAGTCTTCAACAAGACTTCTCGCCCCGGTTACTGTCTACTAGCCACTGGCTTGCTTGTCTGAGGCCTGGAGAGTTTGAACGGGACCAGAAGGATCCGGGGTACTTACTGCCTCTTGTCACTTGGACGTTTTTATGAAGATATGTCTCCGCCCTAGCCCGCGTCTAACAACGAACTGTGTTATAACATGACTTGAAGTGTTGTTGTGTTGGAGCTGGGTTTTGCTGGCATTCGGTGTCGTAGTGTCGAGAGATCCGAATGAAGGTACAGGGCCACTCGGTCGTAGTAACTCAAAATTCAGCCGCCGAGCGAGGTGGAGGTGTCCTGAACGGAAATTGGTGGTTGGGCGTCTATGCACCGGCAGATTATCCCTGGCGATGGTTGTGAGGGCGGTGACCGTGTATGTTGATGTGGTCTTGTGTATCGGATGAATGAAAACTAAGGAGTGGATCTCCCGACAGCTCGAGATGCATGGCATTAGTGAAAACCGCTTTGAGTGATGATGAGATCACTCCCAAGGCTCAATCAACTGTGAGCTACACAAAAGCTGATGAAGGAAGTGCGGGTAGGTTTGAGGTTCTTGCCTGGAGGAATTTACCTCTCATAGGGGTTGAAGGTAGACCACTTACATGAGGGGCGAGGCGTGATTGATGGCGGCCCAGTTGGTAATGCTGGTCCTGGAAAGAACAACACCATCTCTCGATGTCCATCCGCTTCCATTCAGAATAGCTGAATCGCGAGTGGAAATGTACACAGTGATGATTTCGTCGCTGTTGAACGGCATGCCGCGGTATCTTCTCATTCAAGACGCACGTCACTATCGCTGCCCAACATCACAAATGAAACATAAAACCGCAAAAGACGCTGGGACGAAGGCACGGGTTCTTATTATACGTAAGGTTCCTTTGAGGACGGCAAGGAATGAGATGAACTGGCAGTATTAAGACAGACTAAGAGGCCCAATACTCTGCAACGATGCTGACGACGGACAACGGTATGGTATGTAAGCCACCACATAACGTTCTACTGCCGGCAACTCTAGTGGTTGGTATCGCATAGCCTGAAGAGCTCGATGTGGATTACTCCCAAAGAAATCTGGGTATCGCGTTTATAGCGTTCTTCCACCAGAACTGACCGTTGGGTGCGAAGTAGTCATCCCGTCTTACAGATGACGGTTGACAAGTTGCTTTTCAGGAGAACTTGCCTGAAAATATTGCCCTGGACCATGCTTCACCCACCGTTATATTGTCCGCATATCGTCAGATGGATACCGGCCTAAATCGAGCACGCAGAGGCTTTGGCTTGTGTGGTGTATCTCGCGAACTGGTAAGGTGACAGTCCTCATCAGCGTATGATGGCCCCTATCCAGTCGCTTCCTGAACCACAGAACTCGTACACCATCCCCGTGATACCAACCGATGCGATAAAAGCGACTGTCTCGACGGCGTCTGAGCTTGAACGCGACCTATTTCCTGTCAAGAGATCGGTATCAAGGATGATACCTCGTATGAGCATCCACCACATACGGTTTCGCCATACTCCAGGGCTGTCTGTATACGGTGTGCCTACGAGTGAGCTGATGACCCAGCCACTCAGTTATCCTCATCAGCAGCTTCATCATCGTCCACATCGCCCTCACCGTCATCACCCAACGCCTCCTCGAAATCATCGCTCCCCCAATGATCTTCATCCTCCTCCTCTTCATCCTCATCATCCGACTCCTCGGCCTTTCTCTTCTTCCCCATCCCCGGCGCCGGCGGCTTCGGCACGTCATCCTTCCTCACAAAGACATAACTCCTGGCCGGCCTCTCCTCGCCCTTCCAAGCTTTCTCCGCCGCCTCGCCCTTCTTATTCTTGACAACGCCCAGCGTCCTAGCATGGTGATAGCCCGGATACGCCCTGGCCTGGAATTTGAAGCTTTCTTTTACTGCCAAGTCCGAGTGCCTTGCCAGATCCCGGATGTTCCACAGCGTGTAGGGCTCGCCCTCGAACAGGGTAACGATGATGGACCCGCCGGGGGCCAGCGAGAGCAAGGAGCGCTTGAAGAAGTCGACCAGCAGCTCCTGGTTGTAGCGCACCTGGCGGTTGACGTCGGTCGACTTGCCGCCCACGTGCGGGAAGTTGAAGATGATGCGGTCCATTGTTCCCGTCTGTTCCACCCGGCCGGTTTGTTTGTCTTTGGATTTGTGGGCGAAGGGCGCCATGCGTCGCGCGTCGACGTTGTAGAGAACTTTGCAACCCGGGATGGCGCAGATCTTGTCGACGTTGGCGCGCACGTGGGGGTATTTCGCGGAGAGCTCGTCAAGGTCCTTTTCGTAGACAGTGGCGGTCAGGTTGGTGCAGTGGTAGTGCTCGACCAGGGAGACGGCGAAGCTGAGGTCGCCATCGCCGACGAGGAGGATGTTTTCGTCGGGGCTGAAGGGTATTGATGGTTCGGAATGCTGCTTTTGCTTGTGTTGCTTCTTGGAGCCGGACGTCGAGGAAGACGAGAGCGGGGGCGGGGCTGCAGAGGTTGCGGAGGAAGCGGAGGCGGAGCGGGAAGGCTTGGTGGATTGTTGCTTCTGATGTTGCGCGGGGCCGGGGCCGTGGCTCTTTTTCTGCTTCTTTGCCGGTGGACCACCACCACTACCACCTTTCCATACGTTGGCAGCCTTTGCGGCCTGAAGAAGACGACCACCTCCCTTCTTTCCCATGTTGTCTTCCTGTTGTAGTTGAAACACTGCAAAGCAGCCTTGTTCGATACAATACCTTCTACGTTATGCCAAGTGCGTGGATGCGGTGGCCGGTGTGTGTGGTGTCTGGAGCAACCCCAGCTGCAAAGAAAAAAAAGCGGGCTCCGGGGGTTCGGGCTTTCGGGGCTACGGGGGGGCAGTGGGCACGGAGGAGGCGGTTGCGGCACGCGGGCGGCCAACCGATGCAAGGGAAAAAAAATCCAGGGTCCGGATGGCGGAGATTGAAACGGGCGAGATTGGCAGCAAAAGCGCGCTGTCGAGTGCTGAAAATTTAGTTCCCGCTTTTTGTCTTGCGCTGTTCGGTTCCATCCGGCAGGAACCAGATCATGGAGTGCAGGGGTCCCGTTGTGTGCCCCTGCCCCACCACATTCATCCACTGAGGGAAAGCCCACAGGCACCTAAACCCTAGCCAGGCGGCTCCGGGACGGGACCTGGCCCCACGTGAGGTACCACCACCACGACAGCATACCTCGATCGTGGTGTTATTATCCCATTGACCGCCGCGAAATCATGGTGCAACAGGTGAAAACGTTTCTGACATCCGAAATACCAATGAGGTGACAGGCTTGGAGAAATTACATATTTAGTTGGAACGATGGGGTTGAGACGAACATGTAATGGAGGAATAGTCAATAGGTACCTTTACAACATATGCACGACATTGCAACGGCCAACGATCAAGATCAGGCCTACCTACCTACCTCTAACGATGTTTATAAGTGACCAAAACCTATTCCTCCACCTTTTTTGTTTTTGGGCTGATATTAATCCAACCTGTTTTCAATGAGGTTGTTAGGCGGATTGTGAGGCACCCATACCAACTGGTCCTCACTTCCACGTTTGGGTGCGGGAGGCTACAAAGCTTGCCCAGGACAAAATTGATGACACCCGAGACCAAGTCCTTAGCAGATTAACACGGGAGACCAACAACAACTGACTAAATTGATTACCCCAAACACCCCAGGACTGTATAGATCCACAATAAGCCATTACTAGGTATCAAGTTCGATTAAGTTGATGATTTTCGTGGTGTTCTGGCCGGATTTGGTGTTTTGAATGGTGGACTTGAATGTCATCACTTTTGTCCTGGACAGAGGCTACGTATTCGACGCCATCGACAATAAATGCCTGACGCGCCTGATGAGGTTCATGTATTAACTCAATGCAGTCCCGAAGCCATGACTGACGTCGTTATATATGCGCAATCAGCATTGATCGCGGCAGAAGCAAAACAACAGACAGCGAGCAGAAGGATGTGCTCCAGTTCCAACGGGTCGCTAGATACGGTATGCATGGTGCCTACTGCAGGTCCAAATGCTACGATGACATCTTGCATTGAGTTGAATTCAAAGTGAAAGGAAAATGGGAAAACAGGGCGAGCCCGACCGTGACCATGATTCTCAAGGGGAATACGATATATCAAGCAGGGTTCAGTCCACGTCTTAAGAGGGGGGTCGTCTACTTGTCGGCTCCAACACAGGCCAAACTGACGATATATACGTCCATGTCGGCTCCCAAACATCGGGCCATTGAACATTGGCCATAGTCCTAATCTTGAAAGCGTATCTTTATACCTCTAGCCAACGCTACCAATGGCGCACTGAGACATTAGATCAGATCTTGATCAACATCCCCCCGTCTTCCCCCTGAGCAGCATCACCAGACAGGGACAGGATAGAACGGAAAAGGCCGATCAGGTTGGAAATAGCATCATCTACCGAGCTGGCCTTCTAGTCGATTACCTTTTATTTGCCATGATTTAGCACGAGAGACGTTGACAGGACACCTGGCAAAGTGTGGTCCATGCTCGCGACAAGTGCTGGTTCCGAAATGCACGACGACCGGGCGTGTGAGGAGTCTTGGCAACGTTGAATTCAAGATGTGGGTCTCTTCTCTCGTCAGGGTCACTCTCACTTGCAAAGATTTGAAACCACTCGAGGCGGTCATGTCATGTTTATTGCGCTCAAAAGTGTATTGGTCATAATGGGAATCATGATTCTATTCAACTATTAAGGTCCTTCGGTTATTGATCATTCTGCCCAGTGACTGCTATTGTGCATTGCCATATGGTCACCATTTTCCATCTGTGTCGTCGTCTGAAAAAGCCTTCACCTTGACATGGCGGACGGCGACCAGTTTGGAGGCTTTTGGACCCGCCGGCCGCCGCTGCTGGAACCAGTTCCATTTTGGGCAGGAGCACACAGTTGGTGATTGGCTGAAAGGCGGAAAAGTGGTGGGTCCTAGACCTCTCGTTCATGGCCAAGACAACGGGCAGCCGGTCCAGGTCTGTGCTCAGGGCGGGCGTCCAGGTTTGTTACCTGTAGTGCACCGGCCAGCCCTGCAAGTGAAGCTCTGCAGCGCCAGTGGTCCATTTGCCCTCTGCTGAATGGCTCAAATGCCTTATGGGCGGCCAGCGAGACGATTATTGCCCGGGCCTCGTTGACTTCCACTTGTGAGCGTTCCTGTGTGTGCAGAGCAGCGAGCAGCGAGTGGTCTGTGAGGCACGGATCCATAGGTATCCAGCATCCAGCAGGCATTGGATATGTGCAACACCTCAACCGAAGGAGGCCCTTTCCATCTCATCCCATCCTCAGCTTGCAGTGACGACGGACAATAGAAGACGAGGTCTGGCACAATAGGGACGTGTCTTGCCATCCCATTGTCAAACTCGACATCTTGATCACTGTCGCTGTCTTGCGAACCTGCAGACCCGAAAATTGGGCAGACCACGGTCCAGGGTACATAGGTACCATCCTGAAGAACATTATTCACCCTTTCCACCACCAGAGGCACCACCGCAGACCACACCACATACTTCTCAACCTCTACCTACTTCTTCCCTCACCCAGCAACCTCTTCATGCTTCCTCTTGGACAGCCTTTCTTTTTGCAACATCAGCAATTTTCATACCCTTGGTATTCCTTTTCTGCAGTTTTTGCAGTTCCTTTTCCGGGCGTCTATCCCGATTTCAGAATCTCCTTAGCCGCACTGCCCGCACCCCTAGCAACATACCCGCGGGGCGTATAAGGAGAAAGGATCTGTGCCTCTACTTACAAAAAAGTGAGGCCGGCATCCCGAACTCAACACCACACCAACAACCTCTTATACCCACCCCAAACAAACCAGCAATCACGGATACCCTACTTCGGTGTCTTCTCGTTCCTCTGGTAGTCGCCATCACCCATTCGGATTATTTCTTGCCGCGCTTTGCAACACACAGTCAGCAGCATCAACACCACTAACCATATCACATTCTTCTCACACCTTGGCTGGCCTCACCCAGTCCATGGAATCATGGACGACGCCAGCAGCTCTCAGCAGCTGGTAGATACCAGTCAATCTACCCCAAACTCACAGAATGAACCATTAACCAACACAATGACCCCTTCCTCCTTTTTCACCAATGATACCCCCTCCAACAATGTCCAGCAGCCCGCTGCCGATATTGCCGCCCCATCAGCCCCCGTCCTAAAGCCAGCTCCCACAAGAGGCGGCACTCGCGGGAGGGGCCGAGGTGGTCGTGCCAGAGGCAAGGGCAGAGTTGCAAAGGCAGGTCCCAAGATCACAGCAACCAAATCCTCTACTACTATCAGCAAGCCAGGCACTGGTCGTGGCCGTCGTCAAAGGGCATATCAGTATACCAGGGCCCAGGCCGCCTATGAGCGCAACATCGAGCTTCGTTCGGCTTACAACCAGCTCGCCCGCTTGGCCAAGCCCGTTCTTGACGAAATCGGGACCCGTCAGAAAAAGGCTCTGATGGAAAATCCAAAGATCGTCGAGGAAGCTCCCGAGTACCAACAAGTCATGGCCTTCCTCGACCAGCGCCGTGATGACACCATCGCCACCAGCGCTCGTCGTCTAGAATTTGAGAAAGCTATGAGCCTCAAAGTCTTGGAAGGGCAGCGCGAGGCTATTGACAGGTCAACAAAGGTAAGCAGAGATCCCTCCATTCACTTTGCAATCACATATTAAAGTGCTTAACACTAATCTACCTCCTAGCAACTCACGGGTGAACTATGCGAGGAATGGTACATCTCCGCGCTGGCAGAGATTGAGAGGTTAGAGTTTCTTCACGACAACAAACTTCCCCTGGACGTAAGATGTTCCGCTACCCCTTTGTCCTCGTATTTACATACTGACTGTGTTACACAGCTGCCCCCTGCTCCTTGCACGGATTACACCTACAAGGACATCTCACAGAAGCAAATGGATGAGCAGGGCATATTTTACGAGCGCGACGACGAGGGCAATGAACTGCCATGCTCCGGCAAGAAGGTTAGTGAGCTTATGACGGAAGCATATCAGGTTTATTCGACCCTTCCGCCCAAGCGCAAGGCCGATGGCGAGCTGGCGAGCGAACCCAACCCCAAGATGATCAAGGCCCACACTGCCAGCCTTCTCGGCGGCACCGATACCATTCAGGGAAGCAAAAGCAACACACCGGAGCCCGGCTCAAAAGCTCCATCACCAGTGCCCTACTCGCCGTCCAAGGGCGGACTGGCCCAACCGAGTTTGCTGGACCCCCCTCTTCCCAAGGGTGCCGACGAACGTGATGAGTACGGGGTACGCATCATCCAGCGTAAGGACAAGCGCGCCGAATTTCACAACAACCGCATCATGGTGCCGCAATTTTTCGAATTCCAAGATCACGAGATCGGCTTCCGCGACTCGACCAACGATCCCGTCAAGGGCGCCACCAAAGCTAAGCGTGGCAGATTTTACATGACCCCCGAACACCAATACCTTTTCCTCGACCGCCGCGCGTCAAACTGGGATAGTACCCAAGTTGTGGGCGAGTTGGATGAGGAGATTGTCAAACAATTTGGCGTCCATCCCAGACTGGGCGTTCCTATGGCCACGTCCGTCAATATCGATCAGCCCCCGGTTCCTTATGCTTCGGGCTGGAAGCCTGTAGTCTTGGTCGATCCAAAGGGACAACAAGTCCATGCGTCGAGGACCATCAAGACAGCCAGGCTGGATGCTCAAGGAAGGAAGTTTGATCTGATGTATGCTCTGCATAAGTTCAGCGAAGAGGAAGGCATCCCCGAAAAGGAGATTGCCCCGAGCAAGGAGGAGCGTGAACAGAAGAGAAGGCAAGAGCTTGAGTTGAGGGGTATCGACCCTGACCAAGATATCGAGTCCCAGATCTCGCAATCAGTCACGCCTGCTCGGGTTCCTTCGCCTGTTAACACTGCCATCTTCGACGACTTTGTTCAAGGAGCACTCCAAGCCGCCGCAGCCGAAGAGGAAGCTGAACGGGCAGCAGCCGCATCCCGCTCGCAGGCTTCAACGCAAGCCTCCAAGCCATTCGATGCTATCAGAGATGCACTTATGGACAATTCGACGCCTGCGCCGGCACCGCAACCGGCCGCAATCCCGACTCAGGAGACGCAAGCCGCGGGCTTTGCTGATACTACCAGCTTGTCCTATCTTGCTGATGTCGCTGAGAGGGAGGCACAAGAGCAGCGGTACCTAATGCACCCTTACCACCACCAGGGAATGCAGTCCGGTCCAGCACCGCCGCGCACATACTCGGATGCTCATCAAGAGAGTACTCCAATCGACCCATCGCTACTGCCACCACAGTCACAGCACAACGGTGTGCTTCGTAACAGCGATTTCGAAAGACCACAACACTACCACCATGTTGAATATCCTCGGCCAGAAGGATACGGGGTCTACCCCCATCAAGAGCCTCACCCTAACGATGGATCGAGGCCGAATGATTTTATGAGGACGGCGCTCAATCCTTCCACCTATCCTCCGCCCCCGGAAGCACACCCCGGACAATACCAGGACTACTCCATGCAGGGTTCTGCCACTGGCCGAACTCCCTTCTCGAATACGGCTTCGTCTAAGGGACTGCCGGCTTTGCGACCTATGCACGGAACGCCTGGTCCTGATGGTCAGGTCAGCCCGGTTCTCCAGCCTTCGGCCCATCCTAGCATGGTGGTCTCGAATAGCGGTGCATTCTATCCTCCGGCGCCTAACAGACCCTTTCACAATGGTTACTCGGCACAAGAGTCACCAGTACCTATGCAAGCGGCTGTGCATCATCCACAGGGCATGCCCATCCAGCTACCACCCGGCCATGCCGAGCCGCATCCATCTCAGATGCAGATGCATCATTATCCGATGCCGCCTCAGCCCTATCAAAACGGTCCGATCCCTCTTGCGCCGGCGCCAGGTCCAATGCAAGGCCCCGTACATATTCCCGCGGCTTCCCCTTCGCCTGCGCCCGGTCCCGGCCATGCGCCCCCTATGCTCCAGCCGGCACCACAACCGCACTCGATGGCACCGACGGCTGGTCAGCCCATGATGCCCACGGCCGGTAGCCCACCGCCCGGTCGTTCACGTCCTGGCAGTTCTTCGGCGCCGTCTGGACCACCTCCGCCTTCCGGAGCCTCTGCCGCCTCCAACAAATACCGAAAACTCGAGCCCGCACCTACACCTCCTCACCGTCTCGGCTACACCGCCAACGGTCAGGAGCTCCGAACAGTTCAGTTCGACTACCGCGAGGCAATCAAGGATTACACCCCGGTTGAGCCGCCCCCTAGGCATGGACCGACTCACATCCGGGGATGGACCCATAACAATCTCAAGAAGGGACCCGGGGCCAACAGCAACCGCCCCCTCCTCATCCAAGGGCGCCGCTGCCATCACCAACGGCATCAATGGCACGAATTCCACAAACGGAGACGGTTCGGCATTAGCACCGGCAACAACATCAAGCAATACTGAGGAGACCTCCTAGAAAGGGGTCTCTGCCGTCGCTAAGCCGTCCTCCGTCGGTGCTAACGCTGGCTCGTCTTCGTTAAGGGCTGCCAGCAAGACATCCGCTATCATCCCGCCGCCTGTAGTTTTCCAACAGCCAGTTGTTTTCCAGGCGCCTGCTCCGTCGCCAATTGCGCCTCAATCGGCCGCTACTCGATCAGCTGGTATTCAACCAGCTGCTTCTCACACAGCTATTGTCCCCCAGGGCCCCGCTGTTCTCCCAGCGCCCATCTATGATAATCCGTCCACCGTTACTCAACCGTCTGCAGCCGGCTCTCAACCGCCTGAGAAGTCTGTTCCGATGGCTCGTATCGAGGGCAGGTCATCGTTGGTTATTGCCAAGTCGGTCATGGACAAGTATTACGAGAATAGGTCTAGAAATGCCACTCCCAGTACTTGTATCCGCTCCAGCAGCGCCAGTAGCGTCAGTGATGACTACGATTCCAATGGCGATAGCGGCGCCGAAGAGGAAAGCGAAGAAGCGGTCCATACTCCCTCTCTCACTCCACCAACGGAGATCAGCAGCAGCTCGGCCAGCAGCAGCTCTACCAGGAGAAAGAGATCGTCAGAAAGTGCGGACTCAGAAAGCCGTCCCAAGACGATTAAGTTCATCAGAATTGCGAGTGTCAACACCAACACCCGTGATGAAAAGGGCGATAGCAGCATCAAAGAAGGAACTCAAGTAGCAGTCCCTACTCCCACCCCCACTCCTTCAACGGAGCCCAGCGCCAAGTCTACGAAGAGAAAGAGAGCATCCACATCTGAGGAATCAGAAAACCGCCCCAAGAGAATTAAGTTTATTACAAAGCCGGTTGCAATCCCGGCGCCAAAATTGGGAAATGATGCGTCTTCGTCGGCCTCCTCGTTAGCGGCAGCACCTTATCAGCAGCAGCAGCAGAAGTCACAACATGAGGATGTCATATTGGATTCCATCACCGTGTCTCTCAGCAGCAACCCGGTAGCCACCTTTACCAGCCCGGTTGCCGCAAAGAGCAAGAGCCCAGCTAAGCGCAAGGGCAAGGGCAATAGCCCAGCCAGAACCCCGGCTAAGACTCCAGCCAAAAGGAAGAGAGGCACAGTAGAGCCCGAGGGAGATGCAGAAAGCATCAATCCCGGCCCTAATAAGAGGGTCAAAATCAAAAAGGAGAACGAAGAGCCGCGCCAACATCAGCCCGTCCATAGCAACTACAGACTTAGGAACAGGGGCGGGCCGCGGCTGGAGTTCGTGGAGAATAAGAAGGGCGAGATGGAGTTGGTTGAGCTTGCCACTGCTGAGGATGATGCCACTGGGCATGATCAGAAGCAGCAGCAGCAGAACTCGGAGAGCGCGACATAAGTTGGAGTGGTTTGGTTACACCACACACAAAGTCCATCTTGGAGATGGAAGATGGAAGGATATGGATATCCAAGAAGATTTCAGGGCTTACAAAAGAAAGCTTTATAAAGGAATCTGAATACATAGCAGATTGCATTCTACTTGTATTGCTTCGTACAATATCAAAAGAAGATGGAGGGAGGGAAGGAAGGAAGGAAGGAAGGAAGGGAAGCGTATATACCACGATCACGACCATACCGTGTCGTGTCACATAGGTCACAGTACGCTAAACTGGACGGAGTTGTTTTGACCGACCGTCTTTGGTCATGGTCCTGGTTTTTTTTTCTTCGGTTTCGGTTTCGGTTGCTACTTACTTTACTATCAAGAGGAGTTTCGGCAGCATAAAAGCATATTTCATCAAGGGTCTTCTTTGAGGTTTTACGAAATTATACAGAATATTGAAGAATTAGTTGCTTTGAGATCATCAGCTTTCGAGAGATCATATATACATTGCGAATTGAGATACATAGAATTGAACTACTTGGAATCATGGACTCATTAGAACATGTGCTTTGAACGTGAAGTCCAGGCATAGTTTGATTCTCAATGTACGACATTAACATTGCACACCATCTCCCGGATCCTCCCTTTGATACCAGGACATTTGTGCGAACATATGTAGGTTCAACAAGCTTTCAGCATCATAACAATAATGTATATCCATTCGAAAAGCTCAAGTTCATACTTCTTGCAGAATGTAACCAGCAAGTTAACCGCCTAATCCTTCATCGAAGAAGTCGTTCACCATGTTCTGTCTAAAATTGTTACTACATTCATCATACATGTAATTGGTCCATGCCAGCCATGGAGGCCATTAACTAACAACCACAAAAAAAAAGAACGCCTGCCAAAACACACTCCGGATCTAAACCAAACCAAGCCAAGCCAAGCCAAGCCACAGAGAAGGGAAGTAAGCCAGTAAGTAATACGCAAACCAAGAGGTAGGTAATCAGCTTTTCAGAGAAATCAAGCGCTACCAGCACCGACACCGGCATCAGCTCCCGCCTGCGCTTGCTCCTGCTGTTGTCCAGCAGCGCCCGTAAACTCGACCGATGTTCCGTTACTTTGACCCGCCTGCTGCTGCTCGACACCCTCCATCTGAGAAGGCTGCTGGCCCAAATGTTTTCCCCCCAACTTGGTCAAATCAACCTGCTCGCCTCCCTCCCTGCCCGCTACCTCCGCCGCAGCATCAATAACGCCCATCGTAACCGGCAACAGTCCCCTGCCCAGCTCGCCCTCCCGCGGATGCAGCGCATAAACATTCGCCTCCATCGTCTCCCCGCTAAACACCACAAAGTTCTGCACAGGCTGTTGCGTCTGCCCCAGCACATTAATCATGTCCTGCGCCAGCTGTCCGCCCAACACGGCGGCCACGGGGCTCAGTTCCGCACCGACGTTCTGCAGGAAGGAGCGCAGCACTTCGCTGCGCAGCGTCTCGGCGGGCAGCCCGAGCGCCTTGTGCTTGTCGCTGCACATCTGCGTGAAGGCCGCCAGGGCGGTGTGGTTGGTGAGCAGCTCGGGGCCGGTGGGCGGGACGCCGAAGGTGGAAGTGAATTGCCAGAGGGCGCGGAGGCAGGATAGCACGGGGGTGACGGCGCGTTTGCGGCGCGGGGAGGAGAGGATTTCTGAGGGAAGGTGCGAGGCGTCGGAGGAGGCGAGGAGCCAGGTGGAGTAGAGCTCGCGCTTGGTGACTAGTTCGATGTCGTTTTTGGGGTTTTCTGGCTCCTTGGGCGCGACGGAGATGATGGAGCGGGTCTTGGTTTCTGGACCCAGGCTGGTGGGCAGGTTGGCGCGCTGCCGCTCGATGACGAAGTCGTGCTCGATTAGGTCGGCGAATAGGAACCCGTAGAGGCCGTGGCTGCCGGCGGCGTAGAATTTACGGTTGTGGATGCGGGTCGCGGTGTTGATGACGTTGAGGGTGTCGGCATCGAGGTCGGTGGCGATGATGATGTCGAAGGACGAGTAGAAGGATGAGTGCTTGCTGCGGATGTCGTCCGTATCGACAACCACTTTGACGCGCGGGTTGAGACGCTGGAGGGCGGCGCTGGCGGCTAGGGCGCGATTCTGGGCTAGGTGACCTTCCTCGGCCGAGAGGAAGAATTGCGCGCCTAGATCGGCTTCGGAGACGACGGCGTGGTCATTGATGGTTAGGGAGCCGATGCCTGCTAGGACGAGGTTCTTGGCGATCTCGTTGGCGAGCGCTTTCATGGTGATGAGAAGGATGTTGGCGGAGCGGATCTTCTCTTGGGCTTTCATGCCCCAGAGACGGATTTGTCGGTCATAGAGGGCGATCTCATCTGTTACGGGGGTTAGCCATATATTCCGTGATCTATTTTCCAACAAACGGTGGGTTAAACACTTGCCTGCGCTGATACCAGCAGCTGAATGGGAAGCCTCTTGACCCCAGCCGTTGGTCTCGGTAGTCTGAGTGGTTGTGCTTGTCATGATGGGGGATGACTCTGATAATGACAGTGTGGTTGTTGTGATCAGGAACAAAAGCACCCTCCTATGGTATATCTTGCGCCAAGTGATATTTGCGCTTTTAGTCGTTGGTGGTGAGGTTGAGGTGAGAGGCGAATGAACGCGCGGACAAGCGAGTGAGTATTCGAGGACTGGACCGAGAACTAGACCTAGAAAACCGGCGAAGAGTTGCCTTTCAAGAATCTGAAGACGGGTTAGCGAGATTTAATTATTCGAGATCAGTGATATCAATGCACATACCGTAATACCTTTTCGATTTCAAGGTGAGGATGGTGAATGGTGTTGAGGTTGAGACGCGTGGTGCAAAAGTGTTAGAGGCCTGTGCATTTCAGCGGTGTTACCGTGTACTGCGGTTAAGCCCACTAGTTCCAGTACCAAACCGAGTAATGTTTGTAATTCCGTAAGATCGGACCACGGCAAACACTCGCGCTCTCGGTAACGATCATACAAACGCCACCCATTATATCAAGCAATGAAATCAACAATCAAGGCGACTTTGAAACGAGGGAGAAGAACGGAATCAAGGGAATGCACCTTGTGGTTTGGATGGGGGGGGCATGGGGTCACGCCTGTGTGAACGCACGTATCGTAGATCCCCATTGATATGACGGCAGTTAAAGTGGTACCTACACATCGTAGCCACTACGCTGTCTTGTCAAGTACATGCTAACAATTCCACTTCCACAACGTCAGTGAAGAATGCCCTGCCAGCCTAGGTTCTCGGTGGATAGGTATGGATGGCGTTGGCTTGCCCAGCTGGTCGACTCCTCCGCTCGTCTCAAGGTGTCCCGTGCAACGTCTAGTGTACAAGATGATGGGCTTGCGCTTGACGTCTGCCACCTGCCCAGGTAGCAATCCATTTCCACTTTCTTTCAAATACTCTTTCCTTACCTGAACACTTTGCATTAACCTTGACTATCGCCTTCTTTCCCTTCTTTCTCTGCCCGCTTCGATAACCTTAAACTGTTCCCTACTGTATCCCATACATAACAAATCTGAAACGGCATCTTTTACTGTGCTCCTCCTTCTCGCTTTCGGAGACTAGGTAGTTCGTCTTGTCCCAGTCGGGTCCTATTCTTCCTTTTACCCCTCCGCCTGCCCACCCCTGGTCTTTGTGCCCTCAAGGTTCATGGTGAGTTGCCCTTTCTGACGTTCGCTTCCACGGCCCCCATCGAAACATATCACCGCGTTATCACCTGCCATCTCTGCGCCTTCGACACGCACTGGCACCAACTTGATACATATGAACCTGGCCCGAAGCCGTAAGCTTTTGATTTACACACAGCCAACTTCGCTGCAAGGACAACGTTTACATGTGTTGTGTTGCCTTTATTCACCACTACTTTACTAACATTCTTCTTTCATATGATAGTCCGACAGTCGACCTCTAAGGCCGCCTTGGGATTCGGAATCTCACGAAAACAACACCCAACCCAATGCTCCCCCTCCGAGATCTCCCACATCGATATCCCGAGAACGTTTTGAGGCTCTTGAGAGATTTCAACACAGAATCGATAGCTTCGATCGCACCAGTCGCAATCTAGCTATCGAACAGGCTGCCTCTAGGGTGCTCGCTCACTCCAGGATGTCCTCCGGCTCTGACCGGTCCCTACGCCGGAGATTTAACCAGGATTCCCAGCCGTCTAGCAGCTTCTTGCCGCCTGCCGTCCCAAGTTCAAGTTCTTCGACCCCTACACCACCCTTACTTCCGTCCCTTCGTTCGCTTGGATCAAGGCTGCGACCCGGCATGTCGGCCCCCGGAGGCCAGAACGGCCGTCCTTCCCGTTATTGGCCCTCTGATCGGGCAATGGAGAGACACCGAACTTATATGAACTCTGTCAGGGATCGCAGCAGTTATGCAATACCTGGAGAGCGTCAAGACTCCTCTAGCTCTTCTCAACCCTCGGCCTTCGGTCCGGATACCCCCCCTGAAGATGTCGAAGGAATAGAAAATTATCGGCGCGCAAAACGACGGAAGCTAGATTCCGACAAGGTATCGCCAAGCTATAAAAACGTTCTGTATGGCAAATACGGTCAGGTGGAACCGGGTCCGCTTCTATTAGAGATCGTTAGCTGTGATGGCGGCATATTCAGGGACGGCCGGGCATATGTGGCGGAGAATATCCTGCAAGACGACGCTTCGGTGTACTGCACAAGGACAAACCGGTGCAATATCATTCTGCGACACCAAGGTAGTACTGTCTTCAGTTTGAAGGAGTTGGTCATCAAAGCACCTGGCTCACATTACTCTCAACCGTATGTGTTGTCGTTTTCCGGTCGTCTCCCGAGTGCCTTGCTGACCCGTTCCATAGAGTCCGAGAGGGGATGGTGTTTGTCTCGATGGAACATGACAACCTGCTGAAGCGTACAGCGCAGTATCAGATTCAGTATGAGCAGCCTTCGAATCCACAGCCCCGGGCATCACGCGACACTGGAACAATCTACTCCCTTAGATACGACGATGAGGGGCGGATCGCACAGTACCCCTCGAGGTATCGACGCGATTACATATCTGATCTGATCAACACCATAGATAATGACGATGATGACGATGAAGACCAAGCAACAGCCGCGCTACCACCCGAATTTTCGACCGCATCCCAACCGTTTAATGTTACGGCCGAATGTAGTGACGATGAAAGCGAAGGAGACGAGAATCACGTACGCCGTAGGCGGACCCCCAACAGGATTGGGGCTTTGCCTTTCGAAAGCGACAGCAGTGATGATGGAAGGGACCCATGGAATCCCACCAGTTTGGACTGGCCGAATGATATCACGCGTGCGCAGCACTCTGCTAGTTGGCGCAACGAGTACGGCACGGCAACCCCGGCGCTGGAGCGAGCCCGGGAAGCCTCGCAGGTGGCCACGCAGGAGGCGGTAGGAGCCGTTGGCGGAGCGCTCATGTCTCCGCTGGCTCAGTTCCACATTGAGAAGGACAAGAACAAGTGCACCATCAAGTTCAATCCGCCGGTGAGCGCGCGGTACATCTTGCTTAAGATGTGGAGTCCACATCCGGATCCTCTTAAGAATATTGATATTCAGGGGGTTATCGCGAAGGGATTTGCTGGTCCACAGCTATTTCCCGCTCAAACACTGCAATGAGACTGAGACAAGGGAGGATATCAGTTCTTGCAAAGCATACATTATCTGGTATAAAGATCACCGATATGAATGGTCGAGTCGTTCCGAACTAGACGGGGCTTCAACGGATCATGGGTTGACCGCCAGCCGGGGGCAAGGGAGTTTTGGAGTTTTGGTTATGATGCATCTTGTTCAAAGGCGTCGGGCTTCATGGTACTTGGATGATGAATGGCTTTTCAATGGTCATGGGTTTTGACGCCAGCGAGTTGTATGATGTCCTCACAGCATTAGGTCGAAGGGCGCTTTCTCGAACGAACCATATGTTTCCTCGGCCGTTACGCGACCGCATATATCTTGTACATTAGGTCTTTTCTACCTCTTTGTGTCGTTTTGCAATGGGTGCATATCACATGGACTCAGGTGGATATTCACCGATTTCTTTTGCTTCGCCCATTGACGGCTTCCTTCACCACAACTCGGTGTCCTCATCGAAGGTCCGTGGCAGCATGGGTTGACGAGGCGAGATCGTGATTTCGTGGGTTAGGGTTCAGTATGAGCTGAGCGAACAAGTCAAACAGGAAAGATGGTCAAAATGAATGAATCTCTCTGTCTCGACTTCTGGCATTTTCAACCACCATGATATCGCAACAAGTGTCAAAATGTTAGAAACAGCCCCCAGTCATTCTACGCCCCGCGCAAGTAAGCTCCTTTGGGTACCTTGCATATTTGCAACAATGATGAATCATAATGAAAATGGCTGTACCAAAATGGGAATGCCACTGCAAATCTGATTGGGCAAACGCGCTTCAAAGAGGCGGTAATAGGGTAGAAGATAGCTTCCATCCCGCTGTAGCAGTGGAGTCACCCACCGTCGATTGTAGTGGGCCGAGTGGCAAGCTTTTTTGCCATCCTGAGGGTGGCTAGTTGCTTCTAGTGCAGCAGCCTTACGATTTGCGAAGAACTGATTTGGCTGAGTCACCGGTGATGGAAAATGAAAATTGCAATGCAAGTGGAATGCCGACAAACTCGAGATTCTTAATGGCAAAAATCGAGGGCGTTTGAGAAGTGCCGGGCGAAGTTGATTAGCCGCATGTATGCTGTTGTCGAAGACGGGAAGGTATATATGTAAGGGTCTTGGTACCCGCTGCCAAAAAGCTGAAAGGTTGCCAAAGAAACTGCAGTCCAGATTTGATAGCAGCCCCACTTTACACCTAGCCCAGTCGCTATCAGATTATATTTTCCTTCCATCGCCCACCCCACCAGTCGTCATTCGCAAAGCAGCAATCAGCATTCTATACCTCCCACCTCCATTGCTTCTTCTGTCGCATAAACTCATCTCTCCGTCTCTCGGATTGCTCCTTCACTACAAAGCACGGCAATACAAACATCAGCACTACACGAAATAATCCGAAGCCATGGCTGTCCGCGCCCAGTTCGAGAACTCCAACGAGTAAGTTTTGCTTGTGGCCTCCACGTCCCCGAGATGGAATTCTGCGATGCGAAAAAGATCGAAAAACTGCCCCGCCCGCCACCGGCGACAACGACATCAGTACCATGCTTCGACAACACCGTGACCAGCAAGGCGACTCTGTGAATCCGAATGGGGAGCGGAGGGTGGTGGTTGTCATTTGGGATATCAAGCGACAGACATGCTGACATTTTGTCCGTTTTTTCTCAACAGGGTTGGAGTCTTCCACACTTACAAACTCTTACGCTTTGGTCGCCGTCGGCGCCAGCGAGAACTTTTACAGCGTCTTCGAGGCCGAGCTCCAAGATGTTATCCCTATCTGCAGAACCACCATTGCCGGCACAAGGATTATCGGTCGCCTAACAGCTGGGTATGTCAAAACTTTTTACTCCCCAAGTCCTTGAAGGAGGGGGCGCAAAACCAGAATCTTGATATGGGAATGTTGGTAAGCTAACAACTCCAAAACAGTAACCGCAAAGGTCTCCTCGTCCCTACTAGCACAAGCGACCAGGAACTGCAACATCTGCGCAACTCCCTCCCCGACGACGTGCGCATACAACGTATCGAGGAGCGTCTCTCGGCCCTGGGCAACGTCATTGTGTGCAACGACCACACGGCCCTCATCCACCCGGACCTGGAGCGCGAGACCGAGGAGATCATCGCCGACGTGCTCGGCGTCGAGGTGTTCCGCCAAACCATTGCCGACAACGTGCTGGTCGGCAGCTACATGTCGCTCAGCAACCAGGGCGGCCTCGTGCACCCCAAGACGTCGATCCAGGACCAGGACGAGCTCAGCTCCCTGCTCCAGGTACCGCTCGTGGCCGGTTCCGTCAACAGAGGCTCCAACGTCATCGGCGGCGGCATGGTGGTCAACGACTGGATGGCCGTCACCGGTCTTGACACCACGGCGCCCGAGCTTAGTGTTATCGAAAGCGTCTTCAGGTTAGGAGAGGGCGCCGCCCCTGGCCAGATCAACTCCAGCCTCAAGGATACCATGGTCGAGTCTTTCTACTAAATCACTGGTTTTTCTTTTGGCTTCTTCTTCTGTTGGAGTTGGTTTTTTCTGCTTGGTAGGGAAAGGGATGGATGGATGTATTGAGAGGAGGAAGAGGAGGAGCGGAGGCGAGAGATGACTGTTGTAGGAGGCGGGATTCTTGTCAGGTATACCTTACAACGACAATGGGTAGTCGTTTCTGACATGCATGCTCAAGCGTGAGCAAAAATTGGCGATTTTTTTCATCCAACAAAATGCTTCCAATGAGTGGCGTTTTTTTTTTTCTGCGTGAGTATAGATATCATGATGCGTGTGAGGGTGAGCCCGGTTGTGGCTCGGAACGGATAGGTTGCGAGACTGTCTGCATTCTGGGGAGTACTCTGTCGCATTGAAATGTCGTTATGGACTATAATCATCACAGGAGTATTTCTACCTTTCCGAATCATTCAAGCGGTCACTCCAATGATGATGATGCGTAGCATATTTCGACAAATCTAGAGCTACCGCATCCCGCTCGGAGCCCCCCATGGTCAGAGGAGAAAAGGGATCACCAACACTTGTCACCGGCAAATCCGATTAGAAGACATTTGGTTTCGGCTTAGGCCTGGAAGACTGGCGCAGACTTTGTCGTGATTCGACAAGGTGGCCGACATCTCTTGAATGAAGGATCAAGGGACAAGCTTTCAAAACTCTCTTACGAAACTCTTCAAGCCCTGGCAGGCAGAGATATATAGGTAGCATGGTGACGATTGTCGCATACGAGAAGCCATGCAATCCAACACTCAAAGCTCCAGTCCTGATCAAGTCGTCATGAGGTTTTGACCAACCAATCAAGTCATCGCATAACACCTTCTATGATCTGTCTACAGAACAAGATGGACGGAGAGGGAAGCCCGAGTACTTGGGGGTTGTGGTGCGGCCTGGGAACAAAAACTGAGACTTGTATCTCGGGGTTAGGGTTACACCTGCAGTTGACCGAGACCAAGAAGATATTGTAGTGTGCATTGTCCTCTTCAGTTCCATTTCTGTGAGTGATCTTCAACCCCTTCAACCCCTTTAGATTCTTAGAGAATGTAAATCCAAATAGACACGAAGCGAGATGCCATCCATCCAGAGACCATTTCAAAGCAGCAGCATGTAAAAGTGCGGTACCTACGTACATACTAAGCCCTATGCTGCCGGCATTGGTTGCAATTGCGGGCGGCCAGCAGTCAGCGGCCAGCGGGCGGGTGGTGATGCAGTGTTTCATGCACGATGATGTGGTTGTTCGTTTTTTTTTTCACTTTTCAAGGACTCGTGGACTCGTGGTATTATATGTACATACGCGCATCATTTTATAGCCCCCTTCCCTTCTATGCTATGCTATGCATATCAAGTTGTTTGTTGTTGACGAATGCTGGTTAGGTTTAGTTCCACAAGTTCCACGACATCACTGTTAGGTACGTATGTGACGTCTAGATTCTTTGTGAAGAAAGTTCCATGCTTTTTCGGTATCTGTTGGCTGGGCTTTGACCACGGCAACATCTTCTGTCGTGATGATATTGAGGAGATATGCCGTGGTGGGAGGAGACAGTGGATTGCTTGCTCGTGAGTGGAAAATACCAATTCGAGATGAAATTCGTCAATTTGGGCTTTTTATCGATTTCCGGGGACGCGAGATCCGATGAAATTACACAGACCCACGGTACTGTCTGATAGTCTGAGATGTACTCGGCAGTTCCGAACCGACTCCCGCGGCGGGTGCTCGTGGTCATAGGGCGAGACAATGTCTCAAGTGTTGAGGATAAGGTAAAAAGTTGGAAAACTGATAACCAACTCTCCAGATGTGCTTGTTTTGGAGGGAAACCCCGTAGTATGTACAATCTGCAAAATGATGAAGATCTTGAAAAGCGGTGATGGTGGATTTTGATCATGTTGAGTTTGATATGCACAAGTGCTGCAACCTTGCACAAAGTGGGTGACAATGCACTTTCTTCCACTTTGCCAAGTGCGGTGCCTGCCCACGGTGGTCCCGCAGTCCGCATTGCCGGGGCCGGACCAATTGGCGGGATCCTTGTCGCGTTGTGCAGACGTCAGGTTGCCAAGCCTTCGAAAAAGAAGGTTGGGAATCTCTAGCTTCTTCACGACCCCGGAAAACAGAAAACAGAACAGGAAGGGAAAAGTGGAAAAGCGAACGAGTCCCGGTTTAGCGAACCCCTGGAGGTTCATTGGGCCCGTGGCTGTGTCTCCTATCCCGCCGCGATCCCTGTTGCGGACGGTGCTGGTGGGTGTCCACGCCGGCCCCCAGTGGTCGTGGTTGCGGTGGTGGTGACCGTGGTGGTGGTGCCGCCGCGTGCGCGCGCAATCAGCAAAAGGGGAGAACGGGACCTCGCTTCGGTTCGAACTTCTCCAGACCGTTGGAACCTTTTTTAGTTTTTTTATTTTTTTCTATGAGGGTCTACCCCCTTGATACTTATTTTCCCTTGGTTTGGTTTCTTGAATGGCTTTGGTTATCGAAAAATTCCTCTCCTCTATCAACGTCGAGGTTCGACATCCATTTCACCCAACTCACCTGTTCGGACGATAGCATCTCGTGCGCCAACATCGGTCTACACCTCTCCGGAGCCATATATCGGTCAAGACTTTTGGACCCCTGAAATGAGCGCATGAACCACGGCACGCCAGCATAAACTACTCTTCGCCCCGTCCACCTCCGCAGTCCGCACTCTCTTCGAAAGCCCGACTCGAGTTCACCTTCGACGCAAGGAACTCCCCATCTTGGAATCAAAAACACGACTTAGGATCCCCGCCGCCAATTGCCACCAATTCCACCCAAACAACACCCCGTGGAAGCTGTCGAAGCTTGTTGCATTCCACTGTCCTTGCTGCTTTGGCGTCGAAACTGGCTTCAGTCCCAGAGATCCCCTCCACATATTGTACCACTCTCTGTATTCCCAGAATAATACGGCGGTAGAGGATAGCCGGACAATCGGTCATCTGGACTTCATAGAAAACACTCCGGCCCCGCCAAACAAAACAATAAGCCGGCCGGCCAGACCAACAACGGCTAGATTCGCCTACCAGGGACTACCATACCAGGGGAGACACAGGAGAAAAACACACGGGACCTCCAGGGATACTGTGGCATTCCAAACATTACTACATCATGCCCCTTAGACCCAATCCTGCCCTGCCCCCCTCGCAGCCAGCAAGAGACTTACCGCCTCCCACACGCCCCATTGAACGTCCAACTCCTCCTCCCAAAGCCCTAGCCTTGCGAGGGTCTCTGGACACCATCAGATCCGTCAGTTCAGACCACAACCTCGTTCCCCCAAGAGTACCTGAGAAGCGCATAGCTCCCGCTCCACCGCCTCGCCCAGCCTCGACCATCATCGTCCCAGCCCCCTCCACCTTGCCCCCCTTGCAAGAGTACCACAGCGGCTTTTCCGAGCAAGACGCTGAGTCGGGCTCAGGCCCCAACAAACATCGCCGCGGGACATCGTTCCCGAACCTGATCGCCCTCACCTTTGGCACCGGAAACCAGCCCGCCTCCTCCTCCTGTTCGGAGCAACCGGACAGCAGCTCCCAAGGAGGGTTTGCCGACTGGCTCAACAGCTCGGGCTCGGCAGCAGCAGAAGCATTGGGAATGGCTCCCACCTTGACAGCCCGCAGCAGCAAGGCGGCGGACGGTCACTCGTCCTCGTCCTCGTCCTTGACCGGTTCCGTTCGCGACGGCGACACCTCCATGGACAAGACGCCCACAAGGTCACGTAGAAGCGGGACCAACGCCAGCCAGTTCAGCAACCGCAGCAGCATGCATGAGCCATCCACCCCCAAGGGAAACGTCACCTCCCGGCTCATATCAGCCATCTCGTCCAAGTTCACGCCGGGCCCGGCGCCCTCCAGCCCGGCCGTTGACGACGAGCTGTGCAACCTCGACATCGAGGCCGCCCTGTTTCCCTCCGGAGCCCCCACCGACACCTCTTCCCCGGTGGCCTACAAGAACCTGCAGGCCAACGCCATCGAGCTGCTCACCAAGATGCAAGCTGCCTACAAGGAGCGTGTGATCGCCGTCCGCGACCTGGAAGCCGAGAAGTCCGCTCAGCGCGACGAGATCGACGCCGCCGAGACGCGCGCCCAGCACCTGAAGATGCAACTCGAGGGCATGGCGCGCAAGGCCTCGGAGCACGAGCAGGCCATTCAGAAGCTGATGGACGAGCTGGCCTTTGAGCGCAGCAAGTTCCGGCCCCCTCTTCCGCAGCGCACGTCAACCATCATGTCGGAGTGCAGTGTGGTGTCGGAAGACCTCGGGGTCGACGCCGACTACAACACGCGGCGCAAGTGGCGCGAGAGCGCCAGCACCATTAAGACGGACTACTCGTACTCGACCGACACTGACAGCGTCGCCGAGAGCGAGAGCGTCTTCTCGGCGCGGTGCCGGAGCCCCGTCATTCCCGGTGGCGGCGGTTTTGAGTCTGGCACCATGAGCATCGTCAACAGCCCGGCTCCCTCGGTATCGGCCCTGCAGCGCAACGTGAGCGTCACCAACAAGAGGCGATCCATGGGTCCCCCGCCTCCGGTCCCGACCACGCCCAAGCCCAAGATCGTCGGCACCCAGATGAGCGCGTTCCAGAAGATCATCCGCGGCATCGCGCCCGGCTCGGACTGCCCGAACTGCATGGGCCAGGACGCCAGCATGGCCTGGGACACGGTCGGCTTGCTGCGGGATGAGAACAGGCACTTGAAGGAGCGCGTGGGCGAGCTAGAGGTGGCTGTCGAGGGATGTTTGGATTTGGTTAATGGCATTGGCTTGTAAAAGAAGCTCTTCGCCCTTTTGTCAAGTTCAGTTGATGTGGCGTTTTAAAGGTTTTTTTATGATGACATTTTACCTTCTTGGCTTTTTTTGTTTTGCTTTTTTTTCTTGAGTATAATGGCTGTGGATGACAACAACAACAATTAGCATGACCTAGCTAGCCAGCCGCAGGCTAGATGGACTCTGGATTTCGTTTCTTTTTTGCATTGTGTGTGTGTGTCTGTTGGGTTTCCGTTGAAACAGATACCATTTTTTGTTCAAATGCCAAGATGAGATGATAGATATACCAGAAGGTTGGGGTGTTGGGGGTCGGCACGGGATGGAAGAGAAGGGTTTTATGATGTCAGGATGAAGAAGCAGACAATGGGCGATCAAGGCCAAGAGAGAGCGAGAGAGAGAGAGAGAGAGCATGCATGTAAAAAAAAAAAAAGACAGATAATGTATATAAAAGTGCTGGTGGTTCTATTAATCTAAATTCGATATTCGAAGTTTATAGGGCAGAATGGTGCTGACATATACCCCTTCCTGGAAGTGTGTTAACACCGTTGAACACGAATGTCTTGCCGAAACATACAAGAAGCAGTCAGTAATATAGACACGATCAAAAACCAACGTTTCTGAATGTTTATCACTTTCATGAGATGATATGTATGCTCTTTAGAAAGACCAGTCTATTGTAGCCTCCGCTCTCCCTCTGAAAACCCCACGTCTTATGTACTGCTATGACACGTACCTCTTTCTGTGTATTTCCCGCCATCCGAGATAGACTTCCCTGGTGAAGCTCTTTCAACCAGAGCTCGGCTGCCAGCTATCTGATGATATCTGGCGTTTGTAGTAGGCGTCCTGTTTGTCGTTTGTTCTTTGTCGAACCCCATATCAACGGCCTGCCCCTCCTCTCAATATCCACCCGGATCCACCCAGTCCGACTCAGACACTCTGCTCCATCTCCGTCTGTACCTCAGTGCGCAGTGACGGTGGACGCAGTACCATCGTGGTGGTGCTCATCCTTGAGAAAGAGGTGCTCGTAAACGCAGTAAATAGCAAAGGCGACGGAGGCGGTGCCAAAGCCGGGAAGAGCGCCCTTGAAGCGTTCGGCGCGGGTGAATTCGCCGGTCGTACGCCAGGACTCGCTGTGTTCGGGGTTCTCGTGTTGGTCATCAGAGCTTCCTCTAATTTTGTCGAAACTGGTCTGTACTCACTTCTCCTTCCAGGGATCGTTCTCGGGCACTCGGGCAGCTCTACGGTACTCGCTGATGTTGAACCCCGTGGGGTTGGTCTTGGGGATGGCCCGGAGGATCCTTTTTCGTTGTCGTTGTTAGGAATCGCGAAGCTGGTATACTTGTAATCATAGGCAAGACTCACCGTGTGACGCGCATTTTGGTGACCGGCAATTGCTTGTTAACGTCGATGCGGGAATGGCTTCACACCAGAGCGGGCTTCAATTGGTTTGTAGCGACGTCGACGACGTTGTCGCCGCACCCGAACGTGCTTGGGCCAGTGCGACTGCCCAGTGTGTAACAGGCAACCCGCACCCGCCGCACCACCACCCCCAACCCTGTCCTTGGCGGCAGAAAGGGGCCTCGTCTCCTCGTGGGGAACACTGCAACCGCAGCTGGCTCGTGCGCCCAGTCAAAGAAAAAGGTACGTACCCATTTGTACCTTGTGCTCTCGCTGCACTTGACATCAACCTCGAGTGGCCCGTGCGATCAACAGCCTGCCGCCTCGGCGCCTCCAACCTTCCCGCATTCAACACTGCAACTGGAACTGGAGCGATTGAGCGAACCTGCCCGCCCGAAACAAGTCAGATAGCAACTGCTGTTGACAGCCTTCGACCGTGCACCAGAAACACGCACAGCACTCGACCAGCTTTCGACCCCGTCCGACGAAATCTGTCAACACGCACCACAGAACTTACACACCTTATCAACTTTCCAGGCTGTACCCCTCCGCACTCGTTCCCCTCGACCGCAGTCGTACCGATCATTCGCCTGCCAACCACGACGACGATATCATCGAGCCCACATAGGCCGGTTCCACCGCCGACTGAGCGCCCGGCCGCCCCTCCGTCATCCCTCAGAGCAGCGCCTGGTCAGGAATGGTGCATACACGGCTCACCCTTTTAAGATCAACCTTTACAAGTCCGATATCACGATAGACGCATAGCATCGAGCCCGTTCCACTGGCTGTCGCTCCTCCGCGATGCCTCCTCCACCCATCAACAGGTTCCCCAGCGGACCTTCGCCCTACCATCAGCAGTTTCCCACACATGGCCAGCACACGGCAAGCCATCCTCCGCAGCTGGCAGCAAACCCCGCCTACCTCAACCAGAACGCCCAAGTGAACCCCTTTTCGGCGAATAGCAACCTATTAGGCCTGGGCGGGGCACTGAATGCTGGTGGTGGCGGCTTCAATGTGGGGGGGACTCGGGGCTGGCGAGCCATGCTGCGAGGATGTCATTCCAGCACGGGGCTCAGCTTCAGCAACAACAGCAAGCTCAACAACAACACCAACAGCAGGCTCAACAACAGACGGCCCAACACCCACAACACGCTCAGCATGCCCAGCACCAACAGCACATGCAGCACGCACCACAACAGGGCCACGGTGCCCTTGCCGACCATCCCACACGATCGCAGCAAAAGAGCCGGATACGGGAGGTGTGGAAGTACAACTTGCACGACGAGATGGCCATACTGAGAGACTTGGTGGACAAGTATCCGTACATTGCTATGGTGGGACTTTGCAGTTATCCCCTTACTGGAGAGAGGAGAGCTCGGAAATGGCTAACGTGGGTTGGGCTTCTTTCTAGGACACCGAGTTTCCCGGCGTTGTGTCGAGACCGATGGGCGGGTTCAGGGGTAAGAGCGACTACCATTACCAATGTCTCAGGACCAACGTCGACATGTTGAAGGTCATCCAGATCGGCATCGCCCTGTTCAACGAAGACGGCGAGCAGCCCCCCGCACGACCAAACTCGACCGATTCTATGGACCTTGCAGGAAAAAGGGCGGCCAATCAACAGGGGCCGTTTCCCTTCGCGTGGCAGTTTAACTTTAAATTCTCCCTTAAGGAGGACATGTTTAACCAGACCTCGATCGAGTCTCTGCAGCAAGCCGGTATCGACTTCAACCTACTGGAGAGGGACGGCATCGACCCCAAGGAATTCGCCGCGTTGCTTATCCCATCTGGCTTGGTGTGTTTCGAAGAAGTGCGCTGGATCAGCTTCCACGGTGGCTACGACTTTGGGTACCTTACAAAACTTTTGATCTGTTCTCAGCTTCCTAACGACGAGGTTGAGTTTGATCAGATCATGAAGCTCTATTTTCCCTCAACGTATGACGTTAAGCACCTCATGAAGCACGCGATCAAGCAATACAACAGCGGTGCGCTGACCCCCAACGATCCGGGTGCAGCCGAAATCCTTCAAAAGTTCGAACAGAAATCCGGCCTGGAACATATCGCCGACACTCTCAAGGTTAAGCGCGTGGGTAGTGCACACCAGGCGGGTAGTGACAGCCTTATCACCGGCAAGGTCTTTTTCGAGCTACGGAAGCGCATCTTTAACGGAGATATCGGTGGCGAGCACGTCGGTAAGGTCTGGGGTCTTGGCATTCCCGATTTCTCTGTTGTAGCCAGCCTTCCCAGCCTTAACACGGCAGCCGCGACTGCTAGCAATAACAACAATAACAGCGCCAACGCCGAGAGCTCATCGACTGGACAGCAGCAAAACGGTGCGCAGAACGGAACCCCCAGCACGCCCAACGGCGCTTCAGTGAACCTTGCCGGTGCACTCGCGGCTGCGGGCGCCAACGCAGCTCAGGCGGCCGTCGCCGCACAAGCTGCCGCTGCCGCTTCGCACAACACCAACGGCGGTGCTGCGGCGGCGCTGGGCAACCTCGGACCTATGACCCCCGGTGGCGGAGGTGGCGTGTTCGGCCAGTTTGCGTTCGGCAACAATAGCAACAATAGCAACAATAGCAGCGCCAACCGAGGTTAGAACCATCCGGCGGCGGGCTCTAATACGAGGGAAGCTAGGGGGAACAAGGGAAAACAAAAACGGGATAAAGCAACAGCAGCCGCCTCTCAGTCGGAACATTCTGCCGAACCTTTTCAATCTCAACTTCCCACACATCCTGGGTTCGTGGGACATCATCCTCCTCCTCCCCCTCCTCTTAGGGTGATGCCACATTATATGCATCCTGCTCTCCCTCACCTTGGGTCGGTGGTACATGGACAAAATTTTCCTGCTGGGTCGTCGGTATATGGACACAATTTTCCTGCTGGGTCGCCGGTCCATGGTCTTGCTCAGCCTGGATTCGGACCTCCTTCATATCATCCTGCCGCTGTGGTTGTGCGTGATCCTTTCACTGGGGCGCCATTGGTATGGGACAGTGCCGGCCGCTGTTACAAGCCTGCGGGGAGTCCCTGGTGAAATCTAGGAATGGGGCGGTGTAAACGATGGGAGGAAGTTTATCTGTGTTGTATGTGTGTGTGTGTTTTTGTGTGGATAGAAGAGATGAGATGGAATGGGAATGCGATATGCATGGGTCAAAGGAGTCTGATATATGCTGGCTTGCTGTTATTTTTGTCGTCTCCCTACCTACCTACCCTTTTTTTGCGCTCTATTTCAAATTTTTTTTTGGTCTCTCCGTATGTTCTCAAAAACGGGTTATATCTTTTGGGACACCTCCTATAAGCTTTTGCCTTCGTTGTTCTTCTGCGTGATGGATCGATTGTGCGCTTTGGCTTGTTTTGTTTGACGAAACTGCAACAGTCAATTTCCGGACAAGAGAATACCTAGGTCTAGGTCGGCGATACATGCGTGGAAAGGAGGCAAAAAAAAAGCGTACAACGAAAGTGCCTCGGGAAACACATTGTGGATGGGACACAATAAATCAACTGATGAGACAAGCGAGCAAAAAGAAAAAGGGATGGGATGGATTGAAAACGACGGGATCGAAAACAACGGCGGTACTTGCGAATCTTCCTTGACATCTACATCAACGCTAGTTACCTCAACATCCTAGTTACCTCAATATCGTCTGTCTACCTCTTCACTACAACACTACAACACTACAACACAACACTACCATACACAACCCAGCGAAAAAAAACCAGTTATATCCTGGTCTTTTGATTTTGATTCAGCTTCTTTTTTCCTTTTCTTTTTGATTCAGGCTGTATACTAGTCCATTAGCAGTTACACTACACTACACTACATTACACTCGTGTGGTTTATTATATTTTACGTTTTTAACTTGCCATTCAGCTGTTGTCTGTTTGCTTTAACACTGGCTCCTGGCGGAAGGCATTCAAAAACATGGAAATGAATGAGAGACAAAAGGATTAGCAAGAATGGAAGGCAACATGGACGGGCAGCGGTGTTTCGATGGTTCGGTATACATGACATGACTGACTTACAACAGTAGTTTTTGGTGTACTTGTTATTTTCATCTCCAGCTTATAGAAAAAGGGGTCGTATAGTTGATACAGAATGAGTACTTACTGGCTTTCACTTTGCGAACACGTACTGACGAGCGGGTAATGACACTTTATCGTCAAGTTAAGCACACGATGTGATGTAAAGTCATTAAGTCTCGTTGAATTCTTCCTAGAGGTATGGTAATGGCATCGCTGTTTTAAAATCTCATAACCGTCTGTCTCTCTCTCTGTGTGTGTACTGTATGCCGTATAGTGTACCTTGTCCCCAATCTTCCCATTTCCCATTCCACACTCTTATTCCCAATGAAACCCTTTGTTCCGCTGCTGTGTATCTTCTTCCCAGGAAGGAGGTGTCTAGACTGGAACCAGACTCATAACGATAATTCCCCAAATTTTGGGCTCCTCTCCCTGAGAGACCATAAGACCATAATAATGATAAAACCCCCGAAACACCCATAATCAGAAGCGTTAGTTAAACTGCGCCGTATTGCAGCCCCCGAATTCCCGAAATGGAAAAAAAAAAAAAAAAAAGGTTCGAAGAAAGTACTGTACGCCTGTGCAGTCCGTCTCAAGCAAAAACCTTCTTCAACGCCACTCGCGAGTACACCTCGCCCGTAACCAAATCCTTGACCTGTCCATCGGGCAGCCCCGCCTTGGCCGCGTACTCATCCAGCTTCGCCTGCCCGTACACGCGCCCGTTCGGCAAGCAAAGCAGGTCGTTATCCAGATGGCTCTTACTATGATGAGCATACGGCACGTTCTTAGCGAGCTCGTTCAGCTCAATCGAGCAGATCGGACAGACACTTGTCGTCATGCTAGTCTGGCTATGGCCCGGTTGCGAGGAAGACGTAGTCTTTTGCGTGCCGTGGCAGGCGGGAGTTTTGAGGGCTGATAAGCCGGAGGACAGGGCTGTGTGTAAAAGGGGGAACGTCGGCAGGCCGAGGAGCTTGTTATGCGCTTCGACAAACGTGGCGGCTAGCTTGGACCACCGGTCGGGACTGTACCACGCGCGGTACTTGAGCGGGAGGAGGTCGTTGTCGGTGGGTCGGATGGCGAGCAAACCCGTCATTTCGCGGACTTCGTCCGGGTATTGCTCTTGAAAGGGCGCGAGGTATTTCTTGGCGTGGGCGATGGCCTCGACCGACTTGGACTGGGTATTGACGCGCAAGAGCTCGACGTATTGTTGGCAGCGGAGGAGGAACTCGAGGTTGGACTGGGGAGTTAAGAGGGGGAAGGGTTAGTATGGTGCCGGTATAAGTGTTTGACGTGGTGAATGGGGAATGGTATGGCATCATACCTGTAACTTCCGAAGTTCCTTCTTGTTATCGTTACACCACGCCAACGCCTCCGTGACGCTGCCGTTCTCGAGGGATTCACGGATATTACTCATCGTCAGGAATGTTTCCACGTCTACCAAGTCGTGCATCTCGCGCTCGTTTGTTAGGGCCTGGGCAGAAGTATTGTATCCGTGCCGTAGCATGTAGTCGACCAGCAGTCGATCCAGGCGTTTCCTGGACCAAGCTTCGTACTTGACGTCCTCAACGGAGTGCATGTCGGAGAGCTCGCGCAGATGCGCCACACGAGCGTCAAGCTGCTTGTAGAGCCGTGTTTCCTCGTTGGCGTACGTTGACAGCTTGCGCTTCATGCCGCGCATCTTGGCGATCATGGTATCGAGGTTCTTGACGACATCTTCGGGCGATGTCTTGCTGTCGAGCGATCCTTTCGCTGTGTCCTTGAGGAGTTTGTTGAGGGTTGTCGACTCTTTCTCGACTGTGAAGTGGGCGGATCGGAAGTTCTTGCGGAGGAGTTCGTATGGCAGACGGAGTAGTGGTTGGTCCTATAGGTGAGGTAGAGCTGATGATTAGTATATGGCATCCGATTACAGCGATAAAAGGGAGGCGAAGGAGCAACTCACTAGTAGAAGATGGTTGTCGTGGTTTATCTTTGAAGCTTCATGATCTGCCATCTTGGCAGGGCAGCAACACACTTAGTGAATCGCCAAGACGGTGTTCCGGGGTAAGTGGAAGCTCCAAAGTCCGGAGATATGGCTGTTGTCAGAGTCCAAAAAAGACAAGACGGGATGAAAGAAAGGGCGGGTGGTACGTTGGTTGATACACGGGATCTATGGATGCCGGAAAGGTAAATGACGGGATGGAAGATGAACCTCAACGGCCACGGAGCCGGGCCTGCTTTCCAGTGTGTCAGTCCCGTCGTACAGCGCGCGGGAGCGGGTACCCCACTGATGTCAACGTCCATTGGCTATACCCCACTTCCCCACCTTAGGTGAGCTACCTACTAGTGCTGCACAAGTTGCATAAAGGCTACCGAGTGGGTCACCTCTAAACAGTACGTACCGCCATCGCTCTCACGAATTGGCAACGAGGACAACAGCACAATTCACACCCGATGTTGATTTCCATATTATGCTCTGTAAGTAGCATTTAGGATGTTTGGACTGTTACTTAAGGTATAGAAATCCTCAGGTTTTCTGCGAAGCGTTACCCGGGCCTGGTGTGAGTGATGGCGCTGTGATTAGCATCGAATGACAGGCTTCAACTGATAAGCATGTGCGCGCTGCCGTAGCTTCTTCATTCTTTGGCTTTTATATGGTCAGCTGCACTTCATAACTAACGTTGGTGGAAGATCGATTCAGATGTGAGTTTGGCATGGTAGTCTTTCAAAGGATCAACACTCACGGCAGCCTTGTTGATTCAAAAAGGCTGCCACCTTTCCCCGTTGGTTTGAAACTTGCCCATAGAGGAAGTGATGTTGATGGAGGGTCAGATGCTCGTGCTCGTGATCACAGTTACCCAAATCATGTGCCGACCTGTCTCACACTGTCATCTCAGAGGCCTCAATGGCATTATGAGAAAAAGAGAAGTTAGTAAGGGCGGCCGGACTTGGGGTGTGATTGAGTCGTTGCATCCACGATAACCAACGGGCCTTTGCAGTCACGCACGGGGTTTTCCTGTGCATCGGAACCATCTGTAGGAAATCTGTAGGAAGAAGGCAACTGGTTTTCACAAGGTATCATGTCCCGACACGCACAGCCCAGAGATGTGTGCCTTCTTCACCTTGGACAGCCACACTCACTTCCTGGGTTTAACCAGGAGGGAGTTGGTCAAGTGGAATAGGCAGGCAAATGGGAAGGATTGGGGTCGTATTGTTTGGGCGCACGTGCCTGGAATGGGATTAGGAGGCCGCACATGTGCTACCCGGTAGAGTCCTCGACGCCTCCAAGGTGCCAATCTTCCACTTTGATTTGACACGTTATGTGTTGCCAAACAGATGCATGCCGTCGAGAATGCCCTCATAAGATGAGAGAGAGCCAGGGGTGCTCAGAAGATAGATGGGGGGATTCCCAAGCGCGGCCAGGCTACACTAATAAAACAGTGGGGAAGAAGGGGTGAGTTGACCGGGGAATGGACATTCGGACATTCAGCATTCACTTTCACTTGAGCATTGCGCATGGTCCGTGCACAGCAAGGTGTGCCTCTACTTTGTAGGCTTTTTATACAAGCCGGGCGGCTCGACCTCCTTCGCTGCCGCTCGGCTCAGCTCACATGACTTTCTCCAGATCAACTTCGAAAAAGAGGCTTTGTTAAGCCCAACGAACGCAAGACTCGAAACTGATTTTCCTCAAATAACCGGTACGTTTTCCATGTTAAATCGATTGATAAACATCCTTTTCTTGATGCCCAGGTTTCTTGTTTGCGTTGTTGTTGGTTGCTTGTTTCCTCGAACTTGAAGCGTTGTCGGATGGGTCCAAGTCCTTGATTGACGGCAGTCACGAGTTTTGCACATGACCTCGACCTCCTAAGCGTCCCGACTACCAAAACCTCCAGTCAAGGTATTTGCCTTCACGATTCCATGTGCCTTTCCCCATCAACGCGAATGGAGTCCTGGCTGGTGGATGCACGCTGCACAATCCGCCGTCGAGTCTCCAAAGACTCTTTCTGTTCTCGCGAACCATGCAACCGGCGTCATTTTCCTACAAAACCCGAGGCGACATGGATCGAGAGAACATCGTCTTCTCCATACAAACCATCAAGTCATTGATCAATCCTACTTGTCGCATCACGAACACGAATGCAGCTTCATATAGGGCTTCCACGACGCTTGCGGACAGATCGCGGAAACTACCACACTCAGTCCTGTTCACATCGGGACCCTTTCTGCTGCCCAGCCGGTATCAGCGGAGCGACGTGTTGATTTTGTCGCATAAAGCGCTGCCATCATCTGGAGCTGTGCCCAACAGGCCCCTCGTTACCACAAGATCTATGTCAAGCAAGTGCTTGCCAATGATTAGGCGGCTTGGAGTGCGAGACTTCTGGGTTTCCAAGTTGCTGGTGGTGGTGCTTGCCTCTGAAATTAGGGCTGAACATGAGGCATTGGCAACACGTAAAATGGGTCGTTGCATCCCTTGATGATTGTTTACTGACTATGAGGTACCAGCATCCTTTCCTCTGAGAGATACAAAATGGCTGCTCCTATGGCTATGGAGCATCCCGACCTCACAGACCTCTCCAACACCCCAGGACAGAAGCGAAAGCGCGCATCCGAGTCTGCTTCGCCCGATTCTCGCAGGAACAAGCGCGGCGTCCCACCTGCGACAATGTCGGTCCCCGAGCCAGAGGCCTTTCTTGAGAATGCTGTTAGCATCGCGCAAGCAGCCCATGATCATGTCAGCGCCGACGATTTCAATGCGCTGGCTCAGGCTGCCTCGGATCACACAGACACGGCCGACGCGAACAGCGCTACTAATACTGCCGCCGCCGCTCTCAACATGTATCCCACCCTTCATGTTCCTCCACCAACTGAGGAGACTTTTGCTCCTCCCCCGCCGGGACCAGAGATGCAACACCACGATGAGAATGCCTATCACAACCCGTCTCCCGTTCAACAGCCAGACGGACTTCCACCTATGACCCCTCAGGCATCTCTCCCACCGCCCAACGGTGTACAACCTGAGCCGCCAAAATGGGGAACGCATCTCCCGCCAACGCCCAAGCCGGCTGTTGGTAGTGAAGAGTGGCACAAGATGAGGAAGGACAACCACAAAGAAGGTAGGTATTGAGCATTCACCAACTGAGGTCAGAACTTAGTTAACCAAGGTAACAGTGGAGAGACGGCGTCGTGAGACCATCAACGAAGGCATTAATGAGCTTGCGAAGATTGTACCCGGATGCGAGAAGAATAAGGGATCCATTCTTCAGCGTGCCGTCCAGTTCATCACCCAACTCAAGGAGAATGAGACACAGAACATCGAAAAATGGACGTTGGAGAAACTTCTCACGGAGCAGGCCATCCAGGAACTAAGTCAGTCCAACGACAAACTGAAGCAGGAAGTGGATCGACTATATCGGGAGAAGGAGATGTGGAAGAGCATTGCCGAGTCAGCCGGTTTACAGCCTCCTCAACCAAAAGAAGAGCCAGAGGGCAGTAGTTAGGGACAAGGATGGATCTTTTGAAGGGAGCAGTTTCTACTTCTTACTTGGTTGGATGAACTATTATTCTTCTGAGGTATTGTTTGGCATTTATTAGATACTCGTGGGGAGTGAGTGGACCCCGTGTTCAGCCGTCACTCAAATCATTTGTTTTCAACATCATCCTTTGAGGAACATCGTGATAACGGTGCAACTGTGTTTTGTCTTGTAAATTTTTTGGGAGTTTTCTTTGGTGGCTGCGTGAAGCTGTAAAGCAAGGTTTACGAAATACTCTTGGATACTCTTGGATCAACAAACTGATGATGGCATCTGAATATGAGTGGAGTTATAAAACAATGTGTGAAGGAAGCTTTCTGGGTCCGGATGGAGTTTGTGAGCAGACACACGGCAGGTCCCCAGATTCCAGCGGGGTTCAGCGGAACTCGGCGGGGTCAAAGCCAATCACCTGATAGGCTGGAGATGACGCAGTTAACTGATAGCTAGGATGCTGTGATATGGCGCCCGATAACAATTACATACTCTTAGTCTCTTCTACGACTATTCACGAGGTGATAACAAGAGAGAGCCGATCGCAGTGCTAACGGAAAAGGATACTCAGAAAGGGTTATCTGAAGTCCACGGCACAAAGACAAAGCCCGGGGTGTGCGGCGCAACGGAATCAGAGGACGGAGCTGGTTCCATACTTGTTCATTGCCGTGGTCGGAAGGCTTGTCCTCTTCCTTCGCAATGGTGATGATCTCGGGATATTTTGCCCCTATTAAGCGATAGCTTGACAGTCGGGTACGTGACGTCCGTTCCATGTACGTAAACACTTCGTGTCCTGCCCGTGTTGGCAAGGCTGCTGTAAGTGGAAAGTCTAGAACAGGACACCCAAGATTCCAATCAGCTAATCATCTCCAATTAATGTACGTACAGACATCCAACGTTTCCCCAATGCTGAACTGTCTTGACGTCCTATATCGGCTTCCCCGCTTCTCATTCCTCATGCGGTGGCATGGGGCTACTTATACAAAATACCAATATAAGCCGGCGATAGCCACTTTACTTCCATCTTACTTCGCTTCTGTTTACTACATCGTACCGTCCTTTCCTTCTCTAGCTCCATTGAAAGTTGAGTGGCGTCCAGTTCAACTTCCTCTTCTCCGCATTACCTGCAGGTATCAGCTGAGGTTGCTCACATCCGCTTCTCCGAATCTCATCTACTTCTTACTTCGTGTTGTACTTCTGTAAGTCCCAATCGCTCTTTCTGTTTGTTGTTGAAAATTGGTTGTGTATCCCGAAGGGAGTTCATTGACTTACACAATACCTCTAAAAGAGGTGTACACAGGTTGGACAACTGATTGAGTTGGAGATTGGTTATAAGAAACCATCTCAGACGAACACGCCAGCATCATCACGAGTGCGACACACAATATGGCCTCCAGACTTCTTAGGAGCAGCTACACCGGCGGCCTGCGTGCCGTATCTACTGCTGCATCGACGACGATTCGCCCTGCTGTAGTTTCCGCAATTCGCCAGTTCCCTGCCCGTTGCCAGTCCTCTGCCTCTTCCAACAAGATGGGATTTCCATTCTGCCGGGAACCCGAAGGTCCCGTAGTCAGGACCGAGATCCCGGGCCCCAAATCCAAGGAGGCCATCAAAGAGCTTCATGAGGTCTTTGATACTCGGAGCTTGAACATGCTCACTGATTACAACAAGAGCATAGGCAACTACATTGCCGATCCTGATGGCAATTATCTGCTCGATGTGTAAGTACCTAGCGACCATGAGTTTCCACAGACTTAAAAATACAGAAAAAGCTAACCACCCAAATCTCTTCCAACAGCTACGCTCAAATCGCCTCCATCCCCATCGGCTACAACAACCCGGTCCTGCACAGTGCCGCCCAGAGCTCCGCCATGGTCAACGCCATCATCAACCGTCCGGCCCTCGGCAACTTCCCTCCCACAGACTGGGCCTCCACTCTCAAGACGGGCATCCTCAAAGTCTCCCCCAAGGGGCTCGACCAAGTCTTCACGGCCATGGCCGGCTCCGACGCCAACGAAACCGCCTACAAGGCCGCCTTCATGTGGCGCCGCCAAAAGGAGCGCGGCGGCGCTCACGTCGAATTCACCGCCGAGGAGATGGAGTCCGCCATGGTCAACCAAACCCCCGCCGGCTCCAAGCCTCTTTCCATCTTGTCCTTCAAGACAGGTTTCCACGGCCGCTTGTTCGGCTCCCTATCCACCACCCGCTCCAAGCCCATCCACAAGCTTGACATCCCCGCCTTCGACTGGCCGCAGGCCACCTTCCCAGCGCTCAAGTATCCCCTCGAGCAACACGCCGAGGAAAACGCTGCGGCCGAGCAGGCGGCGCTAGACGAAGTCGAGCGTCTCATAACCACGTACCACGTGCCCCCGGCAGCGGTGGTCGTCGAGCCGATCCAGTCTGAGGGCGGCGACAACCACGCTTCTCCGGCCTTCTTCCGCGGCCTACGCGCCATCACCAAGAAGCACGACGTGCTGCTGATCGTGGACGAAGTGCAGACAGGCGTGGGCGCAACAGGCAAGTTCTGGGCGCACGACCACTGGAACCTGCAGGATCCTCCCGACATGGTGACCTTCTCCAAGAAAGCGCAAACGGCCGGTTACTACTTTGGCAACCCCGAGCTGCGGCCCAATAAGCCGTACAGACAGTTCAACACGTGGATGGGCGACCCGGCACGGGCGTTGCTGTTCAAGGCCATCATCGAGGAGATTGAGCGCCTGGGACTGGTGGAGCACACGGCGAAAGTGGGCGATTACCTGTATGGCAAGCTGGAGGCTTTGGGCGAAAAATACCCCGGCCAGTTTGCCAATCTGAGAGGTAAAGGCCAGGGAACGTTCATCGCGTTTGATAACCCGCGCCGGGACGAGTTTCTGGCCAGGGCCAAGAAGTTTGGGGTTAATATTGGCGGGAGCGGGCAGAGCGCGGTTAGGCTGCGCCCGATGCTGATTTTCGAGGAGAGGCATGCGGATATTTTGGTGGATGCTTTGGAGAAGATTGCCAATTCTTTTAAGTAAAGGGGTGGGACGGGACATGATGATGGTTATGAGTGATGGATGTAGTTCATGATACTTGCTGGTTTTGTCTCTTACTTGGCTGAAAGGCTCATGCGATGCCGCCAGAAAACAGAATGGCAGGAGCGGGAGTTGGGAATGAAATCGAATTTGATGAAATGTGTGTGCATACATGGTGGTGATAGAGAATGACTCTTTATCGAGAAACCGCGAGTATTCAATATGACAATACGTATCCAAACGACAACGCTAGCATTAATCCATGAACACTATTCCTACGATACAAACGTCAACCAGCCAATATGTACCATGCAACTCCGTTCTCGCTCATGCCAATGTTCAATCTTTATGCAACACTTCGTATCGTTCATCCTTCCACCTATATCTCATATCAAGATATATGCATCATATCCATGTACAGTACAAAGGAAACTTCCGAGAAACGCACTCTTCACAAATCCAGCCCAAAATCTCACAACAAATGACCATAAAGCCCCGACTCAAACCCGCCACTCGCAAGTCCGTCAGCCTCAAAAGCAGTCGATGCCTTCTCAATCTTCTCAAACTGCTGCTGCGAGGGAGCCTTGCTGCCCAACTTCTTGACCAGCTCCTTGGTTATATCCTCCACCTCGTTATCCAAATCGAGCCATCCCCTCAGGAACTTACCCACATCCGTGTTCTCCACGTTACCCCTGATCTTCTCGGTGCCGCGGCCGCCAGAGCTGTAGATGTTCACGTCCACGGCGCTGTGGCCGTGGGTGCTCCAGCCGACGCGGGCGCGGACGCTGACCAGGCGGGCGAAGAGCTGGACGGCCAGCAACGGGTTGCTGGCGATCGAGTTCAGCTCCACCTCGGAGGCGTCGTGGATGTTGAGGTGCTTGACGACCAGCTCGTCGTTGATCCAGCGGAGAAGCGAGTCTTCCTTGTCGCCGGTCTCGGCAATATGCTTGATGAGGAGGGCGGTGAGGTACTCGGATGACGCGTTGGCGCGAGCAAGGATGGTGGGGTGCCAGTTGTAGACGGGGAGTTCGCTGGGTGCCTCTGTTTGGGGTGTTAATTACTGTCAATGATCGAGACAAGAGGGGGGATGGGAAAAACGTACGCCAAGCAGTGGACAGACCACCAGTCTCATGATCGCTCGTGGCAACCAAGATGGTCTCAGTGTCCGACTTCTCGATGAAGTCAAGAACAGACTTGAAGGTCTTGTCGTACTCAAGTACCTCACGGACCTGAGCAGCAGGGTCATTGATGTGACCGGCATGGTCAATTCTGCTGCCCTCAATCATGAGGAAGAAACCCTTGTCGCTGTCCTTGGTAGCCTCCTCAAGCGCCGCAAGCGCCGTCGCAGCCATCTCGCTCAGACTGGGGTACACATCCGCCATGTTGCGGCGGTCGATCTCGAAGGGAACGTCCGTAGTCGCAAACAGACCCAACTGAGGCAAAGAAACGTTCTTGCCCAGTCCAAGGGAATCGAAACCGGCGCGGTTATCAACATAGTTCCATCCGTACTTCTCCTGAGCGAGCTTGGTAACGTCGATATCATCCTGTCTGCAGCTGCCCGGGGTGCCCTTAGGCAAGAAGTGGCATCTGCCGCCGCCCAACATGAGATCAACAACGCGACCAAGAGGACCATGGCCAACCTCGTGCAGCGCAATCTCATCGCCCTGCATGCGATGGAAGACGTGAGCAGCGAAGCAAGCAGGAGTGGCGTCCGTGATATCGGTAGTCACCACCAAGCCAGTGTGGTATCCAGCGCGCTTGGCAGCCTCGAGAACGGTACCGCAGGGCTTGTGATCGGGGAGCATCGAAATAGCGCCATTGTAGCTCTTGAGGCCGCACGAGAAGGCCGTAGCGCCGGCAGCGGAGTCGGTCACCAAGCTGTTGCTCGAGCGCGTGCGGGAGGTACCCCAGAAGTGACGGTCGAGGGTGAGGGTATCGTCGATAGGCAAGTCCTGGGTGAGCTGGCGGAACGAGCGCGTAAGAGAGAGCGAGGCGGGCCCCATGCCATCGGACACCATGAAGACCAAGTTGCGCTTGCCACCGGAAGGCGATGAACCGGACTTCTTGCCGTCGGCTACCGAGGAGTCAGAGACCGCTGCCGGCGAAGTCGATAAGTGTTGGGTGGAGTTACTGTGCTGGATCACCACGGCCAGAACGATCACGACGGCGGTAGCCACAAGAGCCCAGGTGAAGAGCGCAAGTTCGCGCCATCGTGACCTGGGAGCGGCATTCTCGTTGTCGCGCTCGTCCCGGCGACCGGGAGACTGGTCGTCGGAGGCCAACAACGGCCTGCGTTCCGGAGACGGCGCCTGTTGCGAAGGGTACCCACACCCCCGGTTAACATTCCAAAATCTCTCTTTGTAGGACTACGGGAAGCGGAGAGCTTTCAACTTACCATTGTGGTGTATTAGAGATATGGTGGTTGCGATCAGCAGCCCAGCAGAAGAAAACCACAGTCAATCTTTTGGCTGGGACTTCTTCCTATACCGAGCTTTCAGTTGCGGTAGTAGGAACAAAAAACAAGGGAGGAAAGGGAAGAAAGAAAAGAGATGCGGGAAAGATGGGACGGAAAAGAAAGATGGGACTGAAACCGACTTCGAACGAGCGGCTGGCGCGTGCCTGTCTGTGCCCTCCGTCCTCCGTCTCCGTCACGGTGGTCGTGTGACGTGGTGCACCTGGACCTTATAAGGTAAAGCGTTGTCTGCGGTGACTGTTTGAGCACCTCTTTGGCTACCTAAGGTATCCAGGTAGAGACCGTAGCAGGACGTTCCTCCTAGCATCTAACTGGACGTTATCAACGCAGCACAGCGGTCAAGACGCAGTGCGGACTGCGGGCAGCACCGATAGGGCTGCATCGGGTGCGGCAGGAGCTGGAGCCCACGATTCGTCCGCCTGACCACTAAAAGCAACCCTGTCAGTCCCCTGTCGTGCTTCCCCAATCCGTCACCTCAATCCATGTCTAGTGGAAGCCAAGCCGCTCGACTCCGGCTTTCATTCACACAGAGAACACTGTACTGTCACAACCCCAACACCAACCGAACTTGACGATATCAACACACCCCACCTCATTCCAACCTTCCAAACATACCAAAAATGTCCTCAATCATCCGGAAATCCCTCCTCACCTCCGCACAGTCCTTCTGCTCTGCCTTCGCCTCCCAAACCCCTCCGCCGGAAATCCTCACCAAACATTTCACCTCCAAAACCGATGACATCATAGTCCTCGAGCACGGCTTACCTCGCTTGGCACCCTTTCTCGGTCGCGAATATCGGGGTAAAGACGGATTTCTGGAATACTTCAAGACGATTGGGGAGCAACTGAGTTACAAAGACATGACATTCTCTAATTACATTGTGGACGCCGAGGTGCGCAAGGTTTCGGTTAGGGGACAGGCGGTGTTCACGAACACGAAGACGGGACAGAGCTGGGACGAGATGTTTACGTATGTGTTGGAGTTTGACGAGGAGGCGAGGGTGAAGAAGTATGAGGTTTGGGCTGACTCGGGGGCTGCGTATTTGGCTAGTCGGGGAGAGTTGTCGTGATGAGGTTCGAGATTTGAGACTGTGTTTCAAAGCTTAAACATGACGGTTGTTCTGGACTGTCTGGAGGAAACATGACCTTTTTCTGGGTTCTACCCCACAGCCAACAATGAAAAACAATGATTACAACCTAGTATTTTCAGGTATCAATAATCAAACAGCATTAACCATCCAGACGCCCATGTCATCCATCTATCTTTTCGCACAAGACCCAATCCCACTACCACGACCAAGGAACTGCTTACAACTAATCCAACCGCTCGTATCAAAAGATAGACAAAGCTTGAAGAAACTCAAAGAGATTTACAGTGAAGTAAACCAGAAGAGAAGGGGCCGAATGAATTTCAAAGCTCCTCTATCGCCTCGCTCTTCAAACCAGAGTACCGGACATAGAGCCGGTCCTTGAAATGAGCATGCTTGATGCCCTTGGGCCTGCTCTTAGCAAAATGCTCAATAGCCGCCTCCGGGGTATAGCCGCATCGCTCAACAAGGTAACAGACGAGGAAAAATCCCGTTCTGTTGAAGCCGTAATGGCAATGGACTCCAACATAGTACTCCTCTCCCCAGTTCTCTCTCTTCGCCCGTTCCTTTTGTTCGGCGCGGATCTTGTCAACAACCTCAATGAAGCCCTTGATCTCCGCATCCGTAGGCGGGACCTTGGACACCGTTGGGAACTTGTGGTAATGTATTCCTCCCTTCTCGAGGCCCTGAGGGTTGTAAACCGGGTTGTCGTGCGAAATGTCGATGACGTCCTTGATGACCCCACCCACTTCTTGACAAATTCTGAAGGACTGTGATCTTCGTCCACTTCGCGCAATGTCTTGATGGCCCGGAAGATACCTCCAATGGGTTCAGAAACAGGCTCCACAGCCTGCCACTTCCGAAGATTCTTGACATCCCACTTGCCATCTTGAGAGAGGTACTGCAGTTGCCAACCCAGGGCAAGACGACCAGTGATATGCACGACCATAAAATCCGAGATCAGCCCGGCCAGAATACGGACTGTTGATGGTGTATATAGTAAGGCGTGCGTGGCTGGCTTGCCCATGATAATTGAACGCACAACCTTCTCGGGGTGGAGAGACAAAGACGGTAGACTCGCTGCCTGCTCAGTAGGCGTCACCGGATCGTCCGCTCCTTCCTCTGGCTCAGCGACCCGTGTCTTGTGTGCTGGCTCTTGATCCGCACACCCTCGAGTATCTTCGTGCCCTTGTCCCAAACTTGTCATGGCATCAATCTTGGATCCCGCTGCGACGATGTCTACCGGCGCTGCTGAATCAGCAAGAACTGAAGTGCCGGGTGAAATTGTGTCTGATATTGTCTTGACGTCTTCTAGAAAGTCGCAGACTTTAGCAACCTCCCTGGGAGGAGTCACTTTATCATTTTCTCCTCCCACCAAGAAAACTGGCACGTTCAGCTTTTCCCAGGTTTCCTTCGAGGGCATGCCACCTTGAGCAACCCCGTTGACATAAGTAGGTAGACAACCCCAAGCCATGCGCCGCCAGACTGAGGTGTTACTTTGGTTGTTGTACAAGTCTTGGAGTCGCTTTGCTTCGGAGTCGGCATCGGCGCCAACGAACCTGTTAACGCTCGTACTCCCGCTTCCGCCTCTCCTGTCCCACGCTCTCCAAAAGTTGAAAATGAATTCGGGGATCCAAAGCAGAGCCCTAAAGATTGTGATCTGCTTCTGGGATGGAAGGCCTGAGCTGGGGCAGATTGCAATCAACCCAACGACGTGCTTGTTCAGTGAAGTCTGGGGTGGCAGTCTCGGGCTCGCCAGGAGTGCGGCAAGAGAGGCACCCATACTGTGACCAATCAATACCACACCCTGGCCATCCTCTTTCTCACGGTAGTCCTCGATAATAGTCTCCAGGAGCTCTACCAGAGCATCGGTGGTATATGCTTCCCATGACCGGACTGAGAACTCGGATCTCCCGCATCCTGGAAGATCAATAGCCAAGCAGGACGCGACCGACGTCAAGCTGGTGAGCAACGGGTGAAACTGAGCTACCGAGCCGCCAAGTCCATGGATGAAAACGAGAAGTGGTATCGGCGCTGGTGACTTTGGAAGACGGTCGGCTTGTTGGTGTCGGCGATAGAAGACACGCAGGCCGGGATAAGTGAACTTTGAGGTGGTATAAGTTTTGATCTCACTACTTCTTTCCAGAAGTGGTGGATCCGTAGCCACGGGATCTAAAAGGAGGCGTTGTCAGTGAGCACCTTCAGGTTCTGAGGAGCCATATTGGCCAGGATTGACTCGGATGGGGATAGGTGTACAAACCATACGGGGAAGCCATCTGCAGCCAGCATTAACGCCTGGAACAGCTGCCAGGCCAGCGAATTATAACAAGACACTATGGACTACAGCGTCAGTTAGCATGAGACATGGGCAAGAATTGGTAAAGAAAGACAGTGTAAAGGCGTACATGAGCCAAAATATTTGATTAGCACCGGTGGATGGTGATGCGTAAAATGGTACCGAGAAAAATGGTTGGAGTAGAGTGAAGATAAGAGGGACAAGGGGACGGGTCCGTGTAGTTTATGAAGCGGCAGGGCGAGTATGATGTGTGCGAGCAGAGAAGATGAACAAGAAGCAGCGTCCCAGGGCTGTCACCCGTGCCGTGTGTTTGGGCGCAAAGATTGCAGTTGGGTTTTCGTTTGTGAGTTCCACGACTTGAAGCGAACCGTGAGTCAATCAGCCTGCCGCGCGGGACCAGGAACCTCGGTCATGGAAGGAAGGTCCTTTCGACATGGTTGCAATTCTCCCATGTTGGTGGAACGTACTTACCTCTTTTATATGCCTTGTGCCGCAGTTAAGATATCTCGTGGTGCGCTTTCCCATTACACAAGGTGGACGCGCAAAATATTAATTTGAGATGTGATTGAGTTTGAGGGTTCTATCAAAGGCAGCAGAAGTTGCCCTGGAGAAATATTGCATTGAGACGGTGAAACCCATCTTTTTCACACGCGTTCTGCAACCATAGCATGAATGCCCTGTAAGGTACCTCTAGGGCCTTCTTTCTTGCGTTATAGTGGAGGCAGGTACTGTCTTGTGTGTCAACATCAGCGGAGTCAACGATCGTCATTCCCGCAAAATGTAGATGAAAGTCGGTTTCTGATTGGCCACATGATGTTACCTTTTCGCCTTGAAATGCCGACAGCTACGAGTTCATCTGAAATCATCGGGAGGTACTTGGGTACCAGATATCTGTCTCTTTTGAGCAATTGAGATGGAAGAATGTGATTGAAAAAGACAGTGGAAGCTGCTTCAATGTCAGGAATGTCTTATCAGAGCCTCATCATTCAAGAAGTTGACTGTCAAGTGCGTTCGAGACACCAGTTCAGTAATATTCCAACGCACGTCACTTCCCCCTTCAGGAACGTCTGACGTGCGTGCTCCACCGAGACCGCTTGCCCTGCAGCACTGAGCGGCCCTGCTCTTTGTATCTCTTGGTATTGAACTTCAACTGCGCTGACAGCACACCAACCGCCGCAACTAGCCGTTTCATCGCTTCCATTGCCCCTGGGCGGGAATGGAATGGACTCACCAAGAAGCCGATCCTGTGATGCGCTAGCGACCCGCGACAATGGATCCCGAGCTCCGTTGACGGCGGCCTAGTCCTGCAGATGACATTGAGGTGATTTCCAACCGGCTGTTCCCGACCCACCGACATACCCGCCTAGCTGTTGTCATCGCTCCCTTTCCTCCTTTTATCCTTTGCTCCCGGATGAAAAGTGTCATCCACAGACATCCAACAACACTTCTGCTACAGTACAGCCCAACACTCACATTCCCTCCCAACGCCTATCTCGAACCCTGCGATTCCCTCGAAGCTCCCCTCCAAGTCCGCTCCCGAGATTGTGACAGCTCGGGCAGCAACAAAGCTCCCCATCTTCGAAACAATGGCCACCTCAGGCCGTTTGACCTTCCTGTACCCTCAGCTCTTCCGCACAGGAGCACTCTGGTCCGAGCCAGCTGCCGCTCGTGCCGCCCGCAAGCCCCGTCGTCTCGTCGCTCCTCTCCCTTCTCAGCAATCATGCTGCGCGCATACCGCTTCAGCTCCTTTCTCGAACTCTGCCTCTCGGAGGCAAGCCGCCTTTGTCAAATATGGAAAGGCCGTAGAACCACAGCCATTACATGAAGAGACCCCGACAACGTCTTCCGAACCAACAAAACCAATCGCCGATTCAAAGCCCAATGCTGCCCCGGCCGAGAAGCAACCGCAGCAGCAGCAGCAGCCAGACAAAAGCGAGCCAACAACACCAAAAGAAGGTGTTCCCGATGCGCCAAAGGCAGTCCCAACCTCAGGGTCTCCCGAACAGCCACCTACGGCAGCCGCTACCAAAACGGGTTCAGATCCAAAAGCAGACAAGAAGAGCGCCACGCCCTTGGAAACCATTCTCTACATGGAACCGCCTCCCTCCGACCACACCACGCGCCTCCTGACCGACCCCGAAAACGGTAACGGCCGACCACCGCACCTCCAACCGCCTCCCTACGTACACCACTTCGACAGCTACTCGCTCGTTAAACAGCTCTCGAGCGGCGGGTATACGCTCCCGCAAGCGATCACGGCCATGAAGGCTGTCCGCGGGCTGCTGGCTTCGAACCTAGACGTGGCGCAGGCGGGCTTGGTGAGCAAGAGCGACGTGGAGAATGAGACTTACCTCTTCCGCGCGGCCTGCTCGGAGCTGAGCACCGAGGTGAAGAACAACCGGCGGGTGGCGGACGAGCAGCTGCGGCAGCAGCGCACGCACCTGCTCCACGAGGTGGACATACTCACGCAGAGGCTCAACCAGGAGCTGTTGACGCTGAACGACAACGTGCGGGGGATGTTCAACGACCGGAAGATGGCGGTGAGGGAGGAGCAGAAGGCTGTTGACAGTCGGGTAGGTTTCTCTTCCCCCGCCTCTTTCCAGAAGGACAAGGAACCCCCAAAACGTAGACGACTGACAGACATGCGCCGACAGATCCAACAAATAAACTATAAAATCTCGGTCATGCTCAACAGCGACGCCCGTTCCGACATCGAAGCCCTGCGCTGGGTTCTCATTCGCCGCTCCGTGCTGGGAATCCTGTTCATGGCGGTCGCTACCCTCGGTACCCTGCGCTACGCCACTTATGTGAACCACGAGCGACAGAAGGAGGCCGACAGGAAGAAGCGCGAGGCTGAGGAGGCCAGGAGACATGATGGCACGAGGGACGGTGCGCCGGCACCGATGGCGGCGGAAATTCTTATGGCGAATTAGAAGTAGTCGCTTTTGGGACTTGGAAACATGGAATGCAATGGTACAGGCATATGGAGGAAGCGAAAGGGGTGGATTTTGCATGTTCAAGAACGCATCATGGTGGTTCAGCTGTTCTGTTGTTAAGCCGAAGGGACATGGGCAGGGGGGGTTAGGGTTAAACCAGGAGATACCCAAATAAACAATTGACAGAAAAGGGGCCTCAACTCAAGCCAACCCCTGTTTCTCATCTCAACTCAAAACCGAATTCCAAACCACGCCCCTTTTTTTTTTTCGCTCCAGACAATTGTCTTAACTGAGTGTCTCATATAAATGTGTTACAACGTCCTATATCATATCTATATATGCCTTCCCTCTACACCTAAATCCACGACCCAACAAAAGCCCCAATCCCCTCTCCCAACCCCACAAACTCTTCTTCACCACCCCTTCAACCACTTCAACCACCAAAGTTCATCTTCAAAGCAATAGTAGGCGCATGCTCCTCCTCTTCCTCCTCTATCTTCCGCCTCCCCGCGACAGCACCACCACCAGCACCGCCCATCCCGCCCGCCCGTCCACTCCTGATAACCTCCTCCATAAACGCTCTCTGGCCTTCACTCATCGCGCCCACCACCGCCCTAAAGGAGGTCTGATCGGCGCTCGCCAACTCCAGCAATCTCGCGCTCGTCTCGCGGTATGCATCATCCTTCGCGGGTTCCGTCGCCGCACGAGAGAGGAGAGTGGGAACAACGAGGGCCATGGCGATTGATGCCCCCTGGCCTCCGTCCTGCTGGGATGAGCTCCGGGCAACCACAACAGTGAATTGCACGAGGGTTTGGGCGATCAGCGCGCGGGCGTGTTCCGGGTCTTCGGGCGAGGTGTTGGTTACGAAGGCGATGAGGCGCGGGAGTAAGTGGCGGGAGAGGGAGTGGTCGGCTGAGGTGGATGAGCCGGAGGTGTTGAGAAGGAGGGAGCGGATGCAGTTGGCGGCTATTTTTGCGGTCTGTAGCACACACTTACGTTAGTTATCAAATGGCTCTGAGGTAAGGGGGAAAGGAAGGGGGAATGAAAAGGCTTACCATTCGGTCAGTTAGACAGTCTACCAACTCATCTAGGAACTTGGCTACAAGCGGCTCGCTAGCTGACAGGTGGTTTTTGCCGCCGGTGAAGAGGATGGTGATGGCCAGGAGACAGTTCTTGACGCAGGTCAGTGATGTTGGGACCTCACGCTTCTGGGCATTGAGGTAGATGGACAGGAAGCGGCGCAGACATCCCAGCAGCTGGACGTCCGTGGGTGAGTTGCCCTCGTCCTCGTCTCCGCCGTCTCTTCTAGAGCCGGTCATGCCGTTGATGAAACGCTTGAGCGTTGACAGATTTTGGGGGACAATGACCTCCTGGCATGATGGGGTAGCAAGGATGGTCGCGAAGATGTGCAAGATGCAGGCGTGTAGATCCGTCTTGATGATGGCTGGGAACACCTCCGCGGAATCAACGAGTGCGTTAAGCGATGTCTTGACGAGGAGGATCGCTTCCTCCGTCATTTGATGGCGGACGGGCTGCTGAGCTTCGCTGAGGTTGGGCAACAGTCCGGAGAGAACCAAGACAATGATCCTGGTAAGCTCAAAGAGTTGCTCAATGTCATCAGACAGCTCGCTGTTCTCAGGGTCGTCGGCCTGCTTTCTGGCTGCCGGATGCGCCACACACAGGGCACGCGCAATTTCGACGATGACACCCTGCACATCAAGGCCTTCAGTGAGGACGAGACGGTCCAGGAGATCCATGGTCTCAGAAAAGATAGCATCGCGATAGATGGCATGGCCAGATACACTTGGGTGAAGGATCTTCTTGAGGGCATGGAGAATCTCCAGTGTCTGTTCTCGGGTAGCGAGGGACTCGCTTTGACCTGGTTTCGTGGCGAGAGCTTCAAACGCGATACCGAACAAGACAAAGAAGAAGGCAACAGGCTCATCGCGGTAGTTGATATCTGCCCCCTTTGAGCTGTTGTTGGTGCTGGGTCCTGATAGCTCCTTGCCATCGAGAGCATCGAAGACAAACTCGCTATCTTGTTCAATAAGGCTGGCAATGGCATCTACCAACTTCAACCAAGACTCTTGGTAGAACTTGAGCAACGTCTCGCGGTTCAGCGCTGCGTAGACAGTGTCCAAACTTCCAGAAAGCGATGGAGGGCCAAGTGTCATGGAAATATCCGGCTCGAACCGTAGCCGAGCAAATTCGCGCAGAGACTCGAGCCATAGGGGAGTCAAGGTACCAATATGGGGCTTGAGGACATCCAGTAGGTACTTCTGCTCAGAGCTGGCAACCTGTAGCTCGGCCCAGGCGGCGAAGACGGACATCTTGACCATAACCTGTGCGTTTGAGCTGAGTCCCTTCAAGTCACCAATACCGGCATTATCCTCATCCTTTGCAAAATTCTCCAACGAGCTCACCAGCGTCTTCAGAATGCGGCCCATCCTGTCCACGTCAGTGACAATGCCCGTTGCAATGAAGCTTGCACAAACGTCGACGGCTTCAGAGGCCAGTTCGGGTGACGAGTCCGCAGCGAAAGCGGGTGTAAGGGCGGAGCTAATTTGCGCTTGGTATTGCTCAAGCAACATGGCCTCCTCGAAGTCTGGATCGGGAATCTTTCCAAACATCTTCAGGACAGCGCCAATAATCTTCAAGCCCCAGATTCTCTGGTCCAGGACTCCCGATGTGGACGCCGAGAACGCCATGCGGACAACATCAGCAATCTTGTTCTGAAGGGCCGCCTGCGCAGCAGATTCGCCATGAGTCGCGACGTCCTTTTGAACGAGAACAAAGATATCGTTCAGGCAGTCCATGGCGAAAGTAGTGACCTGCCACTTCAGGGGCTCCACATCTGAACCGCTAGGAGTGTCTTTGTCGTCCTTGGCACCTCCTCCAGCAGCGGCGAAGCCAGCTACCTCTTCGTCCTGCAAGTCAATGCCTCCACCAGACCTTCCGGTGTTCGTGATCGCCTGAGCCAAAGCCTTCGGCCTAGTCATCTTCAAGATATGTTGGAAGCGCGCAAGCCAAGCGGCAGTGTCCGAAAGACAGGTCTGGCGGAGCCAGTTCCTGATCAGGTTGCGCATGCCATCATGGTTAGGAGAGGCGTCAAGCACCAACCACAGGTGATCCTCGAAACCTTGCTCAGCAGCCTTGATGACGTCGTAGGAGTTCCTCTTCATAAGGTTGTAGAGACTGTCCACGGCCACATCCCGGAGGGCGGCATGATCGGACTTGATGTACCGCTGAAGGTTCCTGACGTAGTCGATGAAGTCCATGTACCCCGGAGCATACAACGTCAGATGTTCCATGCAGGCGAGACTTGCCCCTTGGATCTCCAAATCCTCCTCTTGCTGAAAGTATCCAACCAGGGTTAGAATCAGCTCCCTGGACTTAGTAGAGTCCTGTAGATCCGGGCCAAGAACGTTGATGAGCGCATCAACGCAGCGAGCAATCGCGGCAGATGAGGAAAGGTCAACCTCTAAGTTCATGGTGATGGGAGAAGCTAATTCAGGGTTGTGTGTATCCGAGACGTAGAGCTTAGCCAGCATTCCGAGTGTGCTAGAAACGAAACTGGAGAAACCAAGTCCAGCAGCATCCGATACGCGCGCTATAGCCTCCAGAGCCCAGTAATGAACAGTCGGGTGTGGATCGTTACACAGAGACATGAGGATGTTGAGAATCGTCTTCAAATGATACCCAGCTGCCATACTGCCAATCTTGGTCTGGATGCATCCAAGAGCCATGGCGCAGCCCGCTCTTGCGCTAGGTTCTCTGTTGACAACAATAGTATCAACGAGGAACTTGATCTCTTGGTTGGTGAATGCATTGCCACAAGCGCTGCAGAGTCTCGCAATTGCCTCGTACGCAATGCTACGGACGTACTGATCAGGGTCAAGCACAAAACTTCTCAACAGCTCCTGCAGAAGTCTCTCAACGGCCATGTTTGTGATGTCGCCAGGTGAAGACCTAGTCTCCTTGCAAGCCACCCGAAGAGTAGACAGAAGGGCCGTAGCCACGTTGACGTTGACAGCAGCCCCACGTCCAGTTTCCCGCCGAAGAGAGCCAGCACCCATGAAAGTCGTAATCTGCTCCAGGGCACTCTCCTGCACCTTGGACGGGGTCAAGGGGAAGACAAAGGCAAACAATTGGATAGCCATGTTGACCACCTCGGTGGCAGCAGGGTCGGGAAGCCCCGGGTTATCCGAGTTGCCGATATACAGAAGACAAGCGTCGTTCTCCAGAGTGCCGCAAACCGGAGATAGAAGCAGCCTTTCGATGCACTCTTCCGGTTCATACTCTTGCTCGTTGCTATCCAAGCCGTTGGTCTGCTGTCCTGGGAGGCTTCTTGTTGCGAAGCCCCTAACAAGACTGGTCACACCAAAGCCTGAGTTGTCGCCCACCTCCCAGATCGAGTCGAAGGTACCTGCTGCGTTCGCGATCGACGTGCTGAGAGAGCTTGGTGTGTAGTTATCGGGGTCGGCAAAGAGAGAAATGGCAAGAGTCAGAAGGTTAGACTGTAGGAGAGCTTCAGTGGCGCCAGCAGGGCTAACGTTCACAAGCTTGGTATAGCACTGAAGAACTCTGCGTCGCACCATGACCTCCAAATCCTGGAGTTGCAGGGCTGGTGTCAACCTCTCGGCGATATCATCCGATGTCTTCTTTGCTGGTAGTGTCTTGAGAAACGCAGTAGTGCTTTGCAACATCGTAGCGATTCTCTTGCACACATCCACAGTCAGAAGACGGCTATTGTACTGAAGGAACGCTAGGATAGACCCAAGCGCACATTCCCTGACATGTGTGAGAAACGAGGCATTGAGCAGGTTCCTATGGACCGCCATGCTATCCTTTGCCAGAACTTTAGGCAGCGCATTCTTCCAGAGAAGAAGGAGCTGCGAGAGGTGAATTTTGACAAAGTTGGGCCCAAGGGACATCAGTCCTCCTATCAAGGTCCAGGCGACTTGGATCTGGGTGCTTGCAACTCGTAGTTCCGAAGTTCCGCTTGACTTGAGCAAGTTTGTAGCCATGGTCAGAACACGACTGTTGATCTCAACTGAACCATAAAGAGGCCGTTGAGGGCTTGCGCTGAGCCCGGCAGCGAGGCCGTGAGCAAAACCGATGCATCTGCGAGGGGAATTCCTTCCCGTCCCAAGAAGACTGAGTTCTCTGCTCAAGCTGTTCATGCAAACTGACAGACAGGGAAGAAGCTGTTGCGGACAGGCCAGCACAAACATCTTCATACAGGCCGCAGCGTATACCTGGACAGTGTAGCTAGGGTGCTGGAGTACTTGAAGCAGACCATCGCGACATCCCTCTGAGAAATCTGTTGCCGCTGTTCCTAAGCTAGAGATCAATGACGACAGAGCACTCAGTGAGACAACCAATGTGTGTTTGGATGGTTCTGGCCTCTCCTTGAGAGCCTGAGGGTAGTTCTTGAGAATATCGTTGACGATAGCTTTAGCAGCCGTAATTTGGCCCGATTCGCCCAGGATCCTTTTCCCTATTATGTCCTGGATTATGGTATCAACCATGCGCCGCGAGATGAGCAAGCGGTACCGGTTGTTGAGGATGTTGTTATGGCCCAGAAAGTCGGCAGTGAGGATCTCGAGAATGCGGAGATAGTTGACTTCTACAGTCTTCTCCCCAAGTTTCTGGAGAACGTTTCCGATACAAATAGCGATGGCAGCTCTAGCCTTGTTTGTAGCAGACATACGAACGTATTGGGTAGACAGATGCTTAAGTATGTCGGCCAGCGACAAAGCCAAGTCTGGTGTCCTCTGGGTTGGAGCAGGGCTTTCGGGTCGTGAGGGCATCTCATCCTCATCTTGAAGCCCTCCGATTGTCGACTGCCTCTTAATCGCCTTGGACTTGGATCTTTTGATTAGGGGCAGGGGTGCCTCCCCAATGGCTGACTCGGAGTAACCCCCGACAAGCGCTTGGGCAAAGCAATCCGCTGCTGCCGATCGCGCATTTGATGATGGGTTGTCGAACGTCTTGAACAAAGTCGACTTGAGCTTGTCAAAGTCGGTCGAGTTCTTGAAATAGGGGGTTACTGCACAAGCGACCGAAAGGCATCGGCAAGCCGCCACAACGACCAGCGACCCTTTGTCTGCAGAGGCGTGGTTCCTCCCCTGCTTCCATATATCTCTTGCGACACTCTCGTCCATGCTTCCCTGTATCATCATGACAATCTTCCCCAAGGCGGTCAAGACAGCTGCGCGAAGCCCCGCGTGGCTCGAAGCTGCCTTCAACAGCTTCAAGAGCGCCGAACATACCAGCTGGTGCAAGCCAATGGCGCTGTCACCGGCCGAACCGTATATGTCTCCCAAGCAAGTCACGGCCGCATGTTTCATCCGAATCTCGCTCTCCGCCTTCAGTTTCCCGTTCGAGATGATACCGACCAGCTCGTTGACGGTTTCGAACAGAAGCTTCCTATCGCCCTTGTCGAACACGTGAGCAAGACACCGGCCCAGCGCGTTTCGTATGACCCTCGTTGGCGATGGGGAGGTAAGGTTCAGGACCTTGAAGGCCTCCTTTTTTATGTAGAACTGCTGCGCGGTGCAGTCGTCTGGTTCGAGCGCCAGGACATGCCTGCTAAGTGCCGAGACGGACGTCAGGAGGTATAGTTCCTGCTGCTCGGCGGGGAGGGCTTGGAGCTTGGCGAGATCGAGCTCGGGATTGGTCGTGACGTGGGATGTCAATGTGTTCGTGATGCCGTTGCGCTCGCCATGGGCGGCGTCGTTGGGCTCCCCAGGAGCTGGTGTTGATGACATTATTAGGTGCCGGTCGAGGGCTCTGTCGGTGCGGATTCGACGGCGGAATTAGGTGTATATAGCTGTACTGTAGTCTGGTCTAAATAATTCGTATGGTCGTTGGAATGGTCGAAGCTAGCATCATCGGGCAATCCGGTCTAGAATAGGAGTGTCTCTGAAAGTTGTTGAAGCCAAGTGGAAGGTGTCAGTCGCAAGTGGTGGGAGTTGACCTGGCCTTGAGTTCTCCGGTTGACATGGTCGAGGTCTGTAACATCCAATGCAGCTCACAGGAGGTTGCAGAAGTCTACGGGCGCATGTGCATGGGCGTCCAGGGAAGCAAGCGTGCTATACCTAACAGCCCGTGGGCCAATGAGGGGTCTCCGAGGGGCAACAACCCGACAAGGGGTTCGGGAGACGCCCCTGCCACGGTGGTGAACCGCCGCGCTGCGCCCATGGTCGTTTTCCTTTCCGCCCCGCGCCCGAACCCCCGGCCGCCATTCGGCACAACTTCTTAACAATTCTCGGAAGTTTGGCTGAGAGCTTCCGTCCATTGTCGCGGGAAGAGCCGCAGCCTCCTGCGTTTGTACGCCTTTCTTTTATAGGTGGTCGATTCTTCAACGCGCTTCGTTATTTTCTCTAGTGGCTATATTTCTGACCGTGATCTGCTCATTCTCCAGACTGATAATTCGCTCGCAAACCGCAACCATGGCCTCTCTCACGCGGAGTATCGTCATCGGCCCACTCTCCCGGTCTTCTCTTCCCAAATCCACGAGCTCCTCCTCGATATGCGCGCAATGTCGGCGCACCTTCATCGCCAGTCCCGCCCTGCAGTCCGGACACAACAAGTGGTCCAAGATTAAGCATGACAAGGCCGCCGCTGACGCCAAAAAGACTGCAATCCGGACATCATTCACCAAGAACATCACCTTGTACTCGAAGCGTGCGTTCATTCACATCCACATCCACCGATCATCCCGATGCCCCCGGCCGGCTGAAAGTCAAAGCCCGAGCTTACGCAGTTACGCGAGTTGTTAGTCTATGGACCCAACCTGAGTGATAACCCGCAGCTTGCCTCCGTTGTCGCGGCGGCCAAGAAGGCCGGCACACCCAAGGCGTTGATCGAGGGAGCCATTGCCCGAGGCCAGGGCAAGTCGTCTGAAGGCGCCACGCTGGAGCCCGTGATATACGAGGCGATTGTGCCGCCCAACATTGCACTGGTGGTTGACGCTGCGACGGAGAACACGAAGCGCGTTATAGAAGACTTGAACCAGTACGTCAAGAAGGCAAACGGCACCAAGAGCCCGTCCAAGTTCCTCTTCGAACGGAGGGGCCGCGTGATCTTTGAGAAGGGCGAAAGCGGGCTGGATGTAGATGATATCATGGAGGAGGCGATCGAGGCTGGCGCTGAGGACCTGGAGAACGACGCAGAGGGCAACATTATTGTCTGGTCGGACCCCTCGTCAACGCAGCAGATCTGCAAGGCTGTTGGGTCCAAGTTCAACCTCAAGATCGCCGAGTCCGACATCGTGTGGCATGCTATTGAAGATACCAGGGTGCCGCTGGACTCGTCTGAGGAGTTGACCAAGTTTACGGACCTCCTCACAAGCATCAAGGACTACCCTGATGTCCAGGCGATCTGGTCGAATGTTTCTAGGGGAAACATGAGTGATGATGAGTGGGCCAGGGTGGCTGAGCTCATTAACGAGTAGTCCTGGCCCGAAAGGAAGCAAAAAAAGGCACAAAACAGACGATTGTAAACATTGATATACCCCCCTATTTCCAAAGATGATGTCTAGGCCCGATGCAAAGCAGAGAGGTTCCTCCGTCGTGACCAGGATACCTAAAATGACATGTTTCCATAAACGCCTTGTAACCCAGGTCAATACTCATCCATCTCTAACCATATCAACTTCCCATCTCTTCCTTTTGCTACCCCAGTAATCATACAATCCCCCTCAGCCAAAGTTGTCCAGAACCCAGCCTCAAAGCAGCGTTTGTGCCCCCTCTTCAGCCGAGCGCCAACGGCGCGTCTCGTCTTGCCACAAACTTTCTTCTGAACAACCGACAAATCCCGTAGGTAACCGCCCTACTCGTTGCTGCTGCTGCTGCTGTTGTTGTTGTTGTTGTTGTTCTGCTGCTGCTGTCCCTCGCTCGCCAGCCTCTTCTCCCTGAGGTAGAGTCTCCTCGCCCTCAACCTCTCGAGCTCCTCGTGGATCTCTTCGCGGTCAAAGGGCACCTTGTTGGCGTTCTCGGGCTTGGGCCAAAAGTCGGGCACGGTGAAGCGCTGGTCGAGGTTGGTGCCGAAGTAGAACATGATCCCGATGGGGAACATGACATACATGCCGAACTGGTTTTTACAAGCAAGTCATGGTCAGCCAACTGTAGCTCACGCGCCTAAGGTGTGACGGGAAACGGAACTGGGGAAGGAGGGACGAAGGAGGGGCAGCTTGGAGCTGGGACGGGATGTGGATGGGGCGCTGCTCACCTTGAAAACCTCGAGGTTGAGACCACCCATCTTGATTAGATCGGCTGTGACTAATGTGATTTCTACGGGTAGTGGTAGTGGGTTGTGGATGGGGCGGCGCAAGTAGCTACAGAACGTGGTGGTGTCGGGTGGGTGGTGTTGACTCGACGGGACGGATGAGTGGATGCGGACTTTCAATGTTCGGGTCATTGACGGAGCTCCGTCCAGTGCGCTCGAGTTCCAAATTTACAGTGGGCCGACGCCCGTAGAACACTCCCCGCCCTTGTCCGGCCGTGCTTCCGCTCTTGGCTCCCCACAGCAACCGATCCCGGCTGCCCGGTGACGAAATGCTGCCCCTGACTCTTGGCACATGTTTATTTACTTTCACACCGTCGATGGATATTCCATTGCGCAAAGCTACCGTAGAATTCCGGGGGATAGCTTTTCAACAACCCTGGGAATCTCTTTAAACCCTGCATTAGGTGCCTTAGGGCTTGGGTTCAAGAAGAGATTCCCAGGGTTGTTGAAAAGCTATCCCCCGGAATTCTACGGTAGCTTCACGTTCCGTGAAGAATTCAGGTATCATTAAGTCCAGCACTATGGTAAAAATAGCTGTTGAAATCAAAGACCGCTCGGCCATCCCGCTATGCAAGTCCTACTTAGGACAACTTTTGGTAACCCTCCATATCCCAAGACCTCTCCTCCCAATCACTCTAGCCAGGGTATTCCAAACGCCGTCATCCCCAAAGTCCATATCATCCAGGTTCAAATGCTGCCGATACTGCCATACCTTCCGAAACCGTAGCCCATCCAGGCCCTTGTTTGGTAGGTAAGGGTCCAGCCACGCAGCCGATAGAGGCGCCACCAGATATGTTCCGTTCTTCTCTTTCAAATATTCGTTGTTTCTCCTATCCGCCGGGGTATCACACGTGGCGATCTTCTCCAACTCTTCAAGCATCGTCTCTCCTTTCATTCCCATGAGATCCCGCGTGATGAGTACCTCATTCTTCCCATTCAGAAGCCATGTCGGTGGCATATACGTCTTCCACCAAATCGCTTGGGTCGCATCAGGCTGCTTGCTCAGAAATACTTGCGCTGGCACGATACCACCTTGGTGATAGGTTCCAAAAAGTGTGCCCAAGACGAGGTTGAACACAATCCAGGACCCCAGCCAAATGCGCAAGGCCGACTTTTGTTTCGGAAGTCGAATGGAAGATAAAAAGAGGGGGACCGTTGGGAGGAGGAATCTTGCTTCTTGGTGCTTTGATAAGGAGAGAACGGCAAGGCCCGAGATGGCCGAGTATAGTCGTATGGAGCATATCGGTCGGGTGAATAGAAGCACGGCGGCCGGTCCGATCAGCTGAGGAAGGTTGGCGAGCAAGTGCTGGTACCACGGGTGCAATCCATGTTGAGCCAAGTTTACCGGGTCAATATTGTAAAGAAAATTATTGAGTGGCGTCAACACGGGGTTCCTTATAAGGTACGACCAGGTTATCGAGTGCGGTGTGTAGAAGGCCGTGTCGAGGGCGATGGCAAATAGTGTTGTCGAGATACCTGCAAAGACTATTGTCATAAAGGACAACGGACTGTGGGCTGTCAGCATACGTGCTAGAAAACGGTTATCAGGCAGACCAACTTTTTCCAGTAATATTTCAGCAGCTGTAAGCCAGGGATCAACACAAACGCGGGGAATGTGATGCGATTGAACACTCCAAAGACTGCGACGAAGCCCAATACCGCCGAGGCAAGGAACGAACTGCGATGCTGTGCCGGACTCTGTCAGCAACCCTGATACCCGGACACATCAAAATCATCCGTTTGGAGTACTCACCGGATTCTCAACTATGCGCTGAATCAGCACCAGACACCATGCTACCACCAATGTTTCCACCGCGTTCGAAAAGGTATGTGTCTGGAACGTCCAGGTAACGTAGGAGGAGGCGACAATAAGGACGGCAACGCGCCTGTGTCGCGGCGATGGTATAAGTTCGTGGATGGCCCAATCCTCCAGGACGAAGCTTATGGCGAACATGAGAACGCGCAGAGTCCAGAACACTGCGATAGGCGGAATCTCGCCATCATTTCCATTTCCTATCCATAGCCACCGAAGAAGAAGCATCGGTAGCCCGTATACAGGCCATAGCGGGAAAACGCTGCGTATCGGGTACTCGTTCGTGAATTCCCATGTGTGCCGAACGGGATAGTGAAAGATCTGTCCTGAAGCGCGAAGAGTGTCAGCTTTGAGCCATGCGATCGGCGGGGTCCAGGTACAAACATACCGGCTATAACTTCTGGGCCCTGAAAGTTCTCATCTGGATGAAGATAGCTTGGTGATAAGGCAAACCAGAGCCTTGCTAACAGCAAAAGAAGGTATGTCCTCCGCCACATGTCAAGTTCGTTGTGTTCCTGCAAGCGCAGTCATTCGCTACCGATGTGAGCATCCGTTGTTGAAGCGCATGCAGCCGTTCGTGGCACAGGTCAGAGGAAAGCTATGTGTAGGAGGGCATCACCAGAGGGAAAATTTAAGGAGTGAAGTCGCCGTGATTATAATAAGGGCATGATGGCGTGTCGCGGAAAGGCTGCGCTCAAGTAATAACCCGAAAGCGACGAGGAGGACCTTTGGGTGGTAATCCGAAAAGAAGGGATGGGCCTGTAACCTCCGTGAGAAGAGAATGTCCATGGACCGGGAGTGGACGGTGGCATCGTGCCAGAGCTCAGGTAGGAGCGAACCCTGTCCGCGAACAGCTCTGGACAGGGGGGTAATGGTCAGCGCCAGGCACGCTAAAAATCCAGCCGTCCGTTTGAATCATGCAAACCCTGTACCACGCTGTAGCCAATCCAGCCTCATTGCCGTCATCGCAATGGTACAGAGCATCACGCCTTCTTCATCAGGCGTCCAGATGTTGCCCAGATAAGAAGCGACGATGTCTCACAAGGCACTCTGGGAAGCATTCACGAGTACCGGGACAATCAGGGATTCAACTTTTCCATGGAAGGCAGGGTCATATGGTGAAGGTAATGATGAGCGACTTTTACGGCAAGCCCCTGCAGGTACTATTGTTCGAATCTTGAGAAGCTTCGGACTTGTTGGCTGCGATCGGAAAGGAAGGCTTCTGGAATTCTTGAATCTCAAATTAGGTGGGGTGAAGACATTTCCAGATTCCCCACGCAGTTGCCCGTCCGCACTCGGGCCACGCGGCAGGCTCGTTGGCGCGAGTCTAATTTCCTCCCGTACGGGTGCAGCGACTTGTCGATCTACGCGAGCCGGACCACGACGAGTTACATACCATTTATACGTGTATACCAACATCCTAGGTAGCGCCGAAGGACACGATCTTGAAAACGGAAACTATATCTACATGATCTGACTATACACGATACCATACTGCGATGCGTGTAGATATAGTAAGCCAAGAACTATCAGTCTGTCACTATAAAGATGAAAGGGTCAACACAGTCCATGGATATCTTGGAGCCTTCAAGCGGAACGGTCTTGAAGACCCATATGTACCTCAAGGCTTTGAAGTTGACCCTCGGTGTTTCTTTCCTTCCGAGCTGTCATGACGTGCTCAGAAGAACAATGATACCGCAGCTTTCGACGAATTCAATGTGCATTCCGGCATTTGATAACACGTGGTCAGGTACTCATGATACTGAAATTGACACACCATACACAATATCCCTAATAGTACGTCGAGAAGCCTTTCTACAGTATTGATACGCCAAGACCCGACTATCATATCCGTAGTGTATATATCAAAAGCGTCATGTTTCTGATTGATACCAACTTCAACATACTGGTTGGAAATCACAATATCTCCGGCACGGGAAACTATGTTTATATGTAGCTTATAGACAACTTCGTATGATATCCTGTTTGATGCAACGTTTTTTGTCTGTATTGCAAGCAAGAGACATGTTGGTTCCAACGTCCTCAGCTTCATGCCTTACAGCAACTGCTTGATGATTACGATGTCTGGTTCACGACATCCCATTCCGGGCATTAATACCTAGTACCGATTAGCTATTGACAAATGTTCGTTTCCATGGATGGTGGCAACTGCCCCTGGGGTGGTGCCCAACGATCAGGTCGTCTCCGGTCGTTCTAACCTGAAGCTCTTCAGCGTTGGAACAATTCCCGTCCCTCCAGGCACCGACTGCCCAACCCCACAAAATCAATCCCAAGAAGGCTGACCAGTTGGGCCAGCACTGCTAGGTGGTCCATGCACGCACTTTCCACGCGTGCAATTGGACCCTTTGCGTGCAGCGGGCTCCACAAAATGAAGGCAGAGGCGACTCGTTTGAAGGACTGCGCCCGCCAACGGGCACTCACGCGGACCTCAACTTTCATCACTAGCCCAAGCAAACTACAGGCACCATTGACGGGGAAACCATAAGAGCCAACTGCAGCCGGTGAATCACACCGCGTAATACCTTCCACTCATCTCATTGTTTTCCAAACCTTCTGCAACGAAAGAGCAGGCCACTTGCTGCTTTGGATTTGAATTTACGCAAACAGGTATTTAAAATAACACCCCCTCCCACTTCTTCCCCCCACAATTGAACCATCTCCTCTTTGCATCATTCACCCACCAGCATCAATCGCATTTAACGCCACCTCAGCCCATCGACATCCATCGACTTATTTTCTAACGTCGAGATCGCAAATACAGACATCAATATGGCGGAGAACGACGAGCGCGCCCTCCAGAGGGTATCTCTCCAGAGCAACGATGGCCAGGTCATCACCGTCGGTGAGTCGAGTTACCCCGCCACGTTGGCTTGCCTCCTTTGTTCCCCTGGGATGGCAGCCGACTAACCGACGCCAAATACAGATCGTGTGGTTGCCGAGCGATCTCTTCTCATCAAGAACTTGATCGAGGATTTGGGCGACGAGGCTGTCATGAACGAGGCTATCCCCCTACCAAACGTGAACGAGCCTGTCCTGCGCAAGGTTGTCGAGTGGTGCGAGCACCACCGCAAGGACCCGCCCCAGACCACCGAGGACGAGAACGACAGCCGCAAGAAGAGCACAGAAATCGACGAGTGGGACCAAAAGTTTATGCAGGTCGACCAGGAGATGCTCTTTGAGATCATTCTCGTAGGTTCCCCCTTCGTTCCATCGGTCGACGCTTACTTGACATGCATACGACACTCGGGTTTTGCAAGGTCAGGCCATGCTGACATATTCCTCATTCAGGCTGCCAACTACATGGACATCAAGCCCCTCCTTGATGTCGGCTGCAAGACCGTAGCCAACATGATCAAGGGCAAGTCCCCGGAGGAGATCAGGAAGACGTTCAACATCACCAACGACTTCACTCCGGAGGAGGAGGAGCAGATCCGTCGCGAGAACGAGTGGGCCGAGGATCGTTAAAGGCAGAGGTCGCCCGTGTGCTTAGTCTACCGGGACTTACACACGTCAGCCGAGTCTGGCAGATATATGGAGGTCTGTTATGATGGAGATGGATACCAAAGACATCCGTGTTACGGACAACATCTTGACGCGGATGTGATGCAGTTTGGTCTTCAATTGGAGGGATTACAAATGGAATTCAGGAACTCTTCCATGCAGTGCGCTCAGTCGTACTTCTGCGTTGTCAGGCGTTTAGAGGCGTTGCTTCTAGCTTGTTTTTCTTGGGCTGAATCGAGGGTTTTCTTATAATGACACGGTTAGTGAACCAGGTACTCATGCGGTTGAATGCGTTCTTATCGTCCAGACATGCCATATCGCCGTGATCCCGTGTTGTTTCCATGATGCTTCCCAACACGCCTAGCGTGTCATTCGCATTGCCTCATCCTCACCACCTATCACGTCCGAAGTATGATCAGTAGCTATGATCAGTAGCTCATAGTGACAGGAAACCCTTTGTGCAGCTAATTGCGGTCCGACATGCTTCGAGGTGCGCCTGAGTGCCGCTGTGACCAGATAGAAACAGGATTCAGACTAAGGGAAATAAACGCAGCCATGCATCCATCTGGCTCTCACTCATAATAGTCTCCAGTACAAGAGTCACGTTTCTTACTCCCATGGAAGTTGGGAAACACGAACATGCTCACGCGCAAAGCCAGCTTAAGTTGCGTTACAACTTTAACGCAACTCAGAAAAAATACCGGAACTGTATATTTACAGGGAAGTCCGGGAATAGTTCAAGATGGTTCAACCGAGCGCTAACCCAAGTGGTATATCAGGGCTCATGTAGCTCGGTTCGAAAGCCAGAGGCGTTGAGGTCGTCGACGCTATATGAACAATCTGGACAAACGCTGTCCACGTTTCGGAAACCATCACCGACAGCGTCACACAGATCTTACAGATGATGCAGACATGTACACGGCAGATGGACCAACTGGGTATCACAGTTCCATGAGCATGGGTAAAAGTATGGGAATCAAACTCTCGTGCATCGACACCACGCTTTCTCTCATTCCAGATCCTAATTTGCCCCGTAACGGTCCCTCTAAATGTTGCCATAAAGCAGTAGTACTCCGAAAGTTTACGTTTCCCAAAAAAACAAGGATCAAGTTCCAGGATATTTTCCCCCCCGCCGAAAGAACACAGCTGAAAACCGACCGCCGCCGAGCCAGAACTTGGTTGTGATCACATCATCTTCCGGGTTTGTTTTGCTTCCTGGTTTGCTCCCTCGCCACTCTTCTCATTTGTTGTGCTTCCTAATTGATATGCGGTGACTCCATGCCAAACAAAACAACCCCGTGGCGGGAGGTCGGGAGGATTTCGTTATCGGTGTTGGTTTTCGTAAGGACAAAGTCGCCGAGAAAAGAGGGCTGCCGTCATAGGGTCGCTTCTTTTAAACACACCACGCTCCAGTTTTAGAAGAATAGAGGTGGTGGTTCAGAGCAGCCAGGAAAAGAAGACCATCGTTGGGGGTGGAATATGGAAAAGTCGAGAGAGCACTTAGAGGCCGAGACGGGTCTTGCGCCAGTGGCGACGCTTGGCGTTGTAGCTGTTTGGCGTCATGTTAGCATCCAGTGTCATGATGAAGCAATCGTCATGCGTTCTTGTTTCCAGAGAGTTTGCGAGAGGGCATGTTGCGCCGGGAACGGCAGAGGCAGCTGGTTTGTTCCCCAACTGCCCCCATCTCTATCCCCGTCACTGCCCATTGCTCTCCCTCTTCTCTCCGGCTGGACGCCACTGCAGTGGGTGTTTTCATGGTGATATGTACCGGATGGTGTTGCCAGTGCGGAGGCGAATCCACTGGGGGATAGGCCTGTTCTGCTTCTGGGCCTTAGCAAGCTTCTGCTTGACACGGAAGGTCTTGTGGCTCTGTTTTCGCGATGCACATCGTCAGCATAACCTGTCTTTGTCGTCGTTTTGGACGGGTGAAGTCATAGACCCCTCCCCGGTGCCTCAATCGATCGCTCCGAAACCGTCATTTTGGAAGTTCCGTATCGCTGCCATTTCGGGCATCGCAGAACGGCCAAAAATTCGACAGCAGAGCAATTCGGAGCGATCTCTACTCTCAATACGACGGGGCGTTACGTACCGGCATTTTGACGGTGTTGTCGAGTTACCGGTCGATTTGGCTGGTGTCGATGAGGTGGGTTAGAATATTTGGTGTGGGCTTTCAAAAACCAAGCAGAACACTAGGGCCCGAAAGTGCGCAGGTGGCTGAGTCACGTGTGTGCTTGTGGCTCGTACTTTTGTGGCACAGTCTCCCTTCGCGTCGAAGGTTCCGCTCTTTGACAGGCAGGTCCATCTGGGCCCAGAAGGCAACGCACGGACCATTGGAAGCGGCTATCGGAGGCTTCCACGGCGCCGTCTCTGCCAATCGATTGCCGGGATGTTTACAGTTGGGCTGGGCGCTGGGGACGGCTTTGCCTCCCGAGACCCCTGAGTGCCGGCATGATCAAGGAGCTCTTTGGCGGCATTGGAGCGGCGACCTGTCAACGACAACAAGAGAAGACCATCTTGAAGCAATCTAAACCAAAACACCTTTGTCGCAACACCACGGCGTCACAAAATCTCGTTATCCTATCCTCAACCGTGCACGCTCGAGCATCCGAAAGCTACCGACTGGGCTGACCGCGACTCACTGTCATCTCGATAATACGCTACTCCCCGTCATCATTTCCGTCGACTAGTACGGCCCGATCCGTCACGTCAGAGCCCGATCCGCATCAAGGAGTCGCCCTGCCCGGTCAACCCATCTTGTTCGCCTCGTGTCATCTGCCTCGATCAAAGAATTTCCACGAACTTTACGCGCATAGACTCCTCCGGGGCACCAACCAACACGCAAAGATGGGTCAGAGCATGTCATGGCTGTCTAGCCTGTCCAACCTCTTCTGGACAAAGAAGGAAATCCGCATTCTGATTTTGGGTCTCGATAACGCCGGAAAGACGACACTACTATACAGACTCAAGGTAGGCTCACCTCCTGAAAAAAAAAAGGAATACGCATGGCAGCGCATCAAGGTTCAGAGAGCTGACAGTCTTTGTGTAGATTGGCGAGGTAGTAACGACGATACCAACAATTGGGTTCAACGTCGAATCAGTCACATACAAGAACCTCAACTTCAACGTGTGGGATCTGGGTGGTCAGACAAGCATCCGCCCCTACTGGAGGTGCTACTATGCGAACACGGCGGCGGTAATATTCGTTGTTGACTCGACCGATATGGAGCGATTGCAGACCGCGGCGGACGAGTTGGCAGCCATGCTGAACGAGGAAGAGCTTAAGGACGCTGCGCTTTTGGTATTCGCCAACAAGCAAGATCAACCAGGTGCAAAGGGGGCGGCAGACATTTCACAGGCTCTCCGCCTAGGCGAGCTAAGGGACAGGAACTGGAGCATCATGGCCTGCAGTGCAGTGGATGGGACAGGCATCAACGAGGGCATGGACTGGTTGGTGGTATGTTTAACCTCTTCTCCTGCTGCTCCCGGCCCGTTATCGTCTCTATGTTCTAACCAAGTAAGCAGCAAACCGTAAAAGAGGAGTAGTGGCCAAAACCAGTGGAATGCGCGAACATCACCACCGGTTTTGAGATGATGCGGGAACGACGAGGAGAATCTGTACAACAACAATGACAACAACATCAACATTCGGGAATTGGTCGTATCGACGGAATTACATACACCAACACATGACTTGGGTATATCGGATACGTACGGCGGCGGCGGGCCGGGTTTCTCGGCGTTCTAAGGGGTTATGTCCCGTGGTGGTTGGTACCAGCGGATGCCTTGATGACAAACAAAACGACATAACGGTTCAGAGATTCTGCCTACATACTACAGCTTACGAGCTTTCTATAGCCTTCTTTTAATTAATGGGACCGGCTCCGGCGACCACTCGACGCCAGAGCCGTCGGAAATTAATACTTCAAGCTCACAACAAAAGACGAATCATGAGCTTCTCATCAGTACATGTCACCAAGCCCACATTCTCGCGCTGCGTCTCCGAGAGCGATAGCGCTCACACTTCTTCTGCGCGGTCGTTCTAAACTTTGTCATGGACCCTCCAGGCAAAAGTTCAGAGCTAAGGTTAAAATGACCTAACAGTACACAACCAGTGAGGTATTGTACAAGTATCCTGTCCACGGTCCGATTTTTTTTTCAATTCCGCATCCCGCGCTCTTATAAAGGGATACCGTACATAGGTGCGACAAGGTACCAGCTCATGACCTTACGTAAAACTTCAACTTGATAAGCAGAAACAACACTTTTTGCTAATAAAGAACTCTAGACTGACTCTTCCTTAGATTCCCTTCCCACGTCTACCAAAGTTGGCCTCTGCAAATCCAAGTATAGGGTTAATCCAGGGGGACTGTGTGAAGAAATAGCGACGGTGACAGTTCAAACTTAGCATGCTGATATGTGGAAGAGAAAAGAGTCCACAGCTAGCAAGAAGGCAATTCAAGCTGAAGCATGCTCGTGGTTTGCCAACTCATCTATGCTAAGTGTTCCTTCCACAGTTGACCATAGCTGAACAAAAACAGGTAGGTGGTTGCTTCTCCTGGGTATCACCCTCGTTGCGAAGTCGTTGCCCACCCAAGCTTCCATCCTCGTGAAGTTCATTCTCGGAGTTGGCTCGTCTCCTGCTTTCATCAATCAGACGAACACTCCATTACTTCTCCACGAATTCCGGGGTTTCCCATCGTGATAGCGCACGACTGAGACAACTTCGGGATATATGTCCACTTGTGAGCGGCGCTCCGACAGCCCAGTACCGTGTAGCACGATACCTTCTATAAAATAAAACACTGTGGTCCCAGCCTCTTTGTGGATCTTCAGCATTCTAGACTCGGGGTAAAGTACCAACGCAGTAACAGAATCATTTGGGTGCATTTACCGGAGACATTAGAGGTTAGCTGCTCTGCAACAATAAGCCCATCACGCCTTTTGCCAACACCCCAGTCAGCTATATACTCCGTGCCAATAACATAGCCAAGCCAGACAAACCAAAGCTACTTCTTTCTAACAACCACGTTTTTCGTTCTAACGAGAGTAACGCCGTCGCCGCACCATATCAAACATCAGTACATAGCAAGACCCTGGTTCGCAACCGAGGCAATTTATCTTGGACCGATTAAGTATAATGCGCTTCAGCAACGTGTTTGTGCAGACGACTCAAAATGTATTATCGTGCACAAGATTCCTAGCGTTGGGAGGCTGCTTTCCAGCATGAACATTCAACTACAAAGTGAGTGTCTTCTCATATTTCATCGCCATCACAGCAGACCAACTAGCTATGGCAACTTACAACGTATACCTCTAGTGCCTGTTCCTCCGAGATTATCGTAAGCGACAACAACCTGACAAAAATGTTCATTGGACCACACAACCACCGGGTAACCATCCGGGCGGTTCCTGATTGCTACCTTACCATCAATAGTAACCTAAGAAAAAGCAATTTGCAGCAGGAACCAGACTCTCGGCGGAAGCTGTCACATTCAGTCCGATGTTGTATCAGCTTTCCGCCTGGGCTTAGATCTTCAAAGCCCCCAGTCTTCAGTTGTAGACCTTGTTGGCCGCTCGAGTTTAAAAGAGCAGCTTTGGCCTTCTGGATGAGCGCTGGTTCTCACAAAGTTCCTCATCAATCATTTAGCTCAGAATACTTCTTCCTCTACCCTTCAGTTCAGAGACACCGACACCGACAGACGATTCTGCAATCATGAGTACTCCCGCCAAACGGAAGGCCGGGACGCCATTGTCCGATGTTCAACCTGAAGCCAAGCCAACAGCTCCTGGTCCCTCATCCCTTGGCCCCAAGGAGAAGTCACCTACTCCTGGCCCCGCACCTCCTCAAGCCAAGGGAACATCAACACCATCCAGTCCCGGAGCGCCAGCGGCCGACCAGTCTGCTGCCCCTGATCTGATGTCTGGTGCACATTGGCTGCAACAACAGCTTAATGAAGCAGACGACGACGAAGATTCAACACTCGGAAGTGATGCTGAAAGCTCGACTGCCTCCGTTTCTTCCAGTATCTTCAACTACCGTACTTTGCACGGTCGAACCTATCACAGCGAGTCAGTAACCGACAATGAATACTGGGGCCCTAACGACTCAAAGCACATTGATGCTTTGGATATCTACTACCATGGCGCGTGGCTAATGCTCGGCGAAAAGCTTCATCAAGCCCCTATCAAAGGAGACGAGATTAAACATGCTGTAGATATCGGTACGGGATCAGGATTGTGGGCTATCGACTTTGCTGATAAGTACACTACCTGCGCGGTCATCGGTACTGATATCTCGCCCATTCAACCCGGTTGGTGCCCTCCAAATTTGGACTTCCAGATCGACGATGCAACAAAGCCATGGACGTTCAAGGGGAACCACTTCGACTACGTACATATCATGTTCATGAATGGCTCCATCGCAGATTGGGACGCTATCTACCAAGAGGCCTACCGGTGCTGCAAGCCTGGTGGTTGGATTGAGCACGTTGATGTGGCGTCTATCATCAGGTCTGACGATGACAGCATCATCCCCGGATCTGCCATCGATCAGTACGGAAAGATTCTGGTCGAGGCCGGAAAGAAATTCGGCAGAAGCGCGTCGGTCGCTGAAGAGGGGAAAATGGAGTCCGGCATAAAGGATGCTGGGTTCGTGAACCAGCACGTGAAGACATTCAAGGTAGGTTGCGTCACGAGCTACCATCAACGGAATAAACAGCTAACCAGCGAGTTCAGATGCCCACGACCGGGTGGCCAGAGGATCCTGCGCAGAAGCAAGTCGGCCTCTGCGGCTACGCTGCAGTCGCGTCAGACGTCGAAGGTGCTATCCAGTTCCATTTCGGTCAGATCATGGGCTGGAGCAAGGAAGAAATCTCGGCTTTTGGTGCCCAACTTCGTAAGGAATTCAAGGAAGGAAAGCAACATGGATATTGGCCCTGGAAGTGTGTGTATGCGCAAAAGCCGCTGGACGCCTAATTAGCAGGACGATTGCAAGGGGGAAGTCCAACGCACGGCGCTGACGGTTATAAATATTTTGTTATCTGCGTCGTACATCAATGTTCGTAGACATGAGCCGGTGAATGCCGCTCAGTGAATGTAACGCAAAAGTTTCAGTGTCCTAAAGAACCAGACATCTCCTTTCCCACTGCCCCAGCTTCCGCTCCATTGTCGTTCTCGAAAAGCCAAGAGTTGGATGGAACAGAACGACGCAGGAACAGTCACCATCCAAACGGCACATTGAGGCTGTGCAAAAGTGAGTGCCGAATCGGATACCACTTGATCCTTTTGTGTAGGCACCCAGGAACCCTGATCTTGACAAACGTGAAATCGTGTGGAAGTCTAGAATCCGGGGAAAGCCACCAAGGGGAAATTGATTGACAAGGGGTGTTGGAGGTCTTACTGATCTTTTTAAGATTCCCGACACCGTGGTTTAACGGCGTGAAAGGTACCGGATATTTAGGGAGTGTGTTCGTATGACCTTTCTAAAAGCCGAGAGAACCTTATGAGGCATTACAGGTAAGGAGCGTTCAAGAAGAAGTAGGTGGTGAAGACACTGTCAAAGCTGCGTTAACAAAGTAACCAGTCCCATGAAGATCCACGTTTGAAAAAGATAAAAGGTGCAAGTAGCATGAGCTGAAGGCACGACACCGAGACATATCTGTCTCCAATGTGAATATCGCACTTCTTCAGCCTCACCTAAAAAAAAAGTGAAAGAAACGAGACACTTACCTGACTAATCCTCTGCCCCTTACATCATTTCAACCATCTCCAATGTCACGAATGCTACTGTCCCCAACGCACTTTGCCGCTGAAAGACATATGCCTCAGTAGGATCCGGAAACCGGAAACCAATGATCGCGCAATCTGCCTCCAAGTCAAGTGACAGGTGAGCCAGGCATCTTTTTAATACCGTCCAACTGAGCCAACTTTCTTGACTCCGGTCATTCTACGGCCAGGGCTCTCCAATATTTCCAAAACTCAACCTTGAGAAGTGGATATCTATGACGGGCAAGCGACGTAAATGAGGCAACCAGCTCAAAGACCCCAGCAGGAACAACTAACTGCACGATGGAACACCAATTCAGAAAAAAGCCGCCAGAAGCCTCCCTCGCATGCATGGCAACCTCCAAACATGAAACAAGTGTTCTTCGCATGAGATGAGTTGTATGCGGCTCTGCTGAGGTTGGACCGCTTCTAGCGACCTAATTACTGTGCAGTAGCGCAAGGCAGCCTTTGTCGACAACCAGGGGAAGAAAACCAAACCTTTCCCATTTGATGCCCGATTTTCCTTTTTTGGTCATTCCGGTCGTGGCCTGCGGACTGCTGAGCACCGGAACATCATGCATGAAGGCCTTTGGGAAGCACGGGAGAGATGAGGTGGCCCCCTACAAACCCCGCGTCACGTCTTACGACAGCGACGACGGGTCAACGACGACGACGGGCCTGTGCAACCACCACCAAGAAACACCATTGTCCATCATGATAACTCCGATGCGGTGTTCCTACAGGTACATATCGTATCCATTTCAGGCGGCGGCCTGTCCTGCAACCGCCCCGGACGGACACATACGCACCCGACCTCCAAAGAAAGAAGCTAGATGTAGGTACCTAAAAACAGGCTCCTCGAGTTATGCACTCGGGTAACATGACCTCGTACGCTGGAGACGGGAACGGACCTAACCACTCCTGGGCTATTGAGTGATTTCTCTTCAGGTCACCGGCGCAGCCATTCAGTTTCAATAGAGAAAAGAAACCGGAACTGAAGCCTCGAAGATAGCTTTGGATTGATTTGATGGGAGAGAACGAGTGACTTGTTTTTTGTTGATGACAGGGAAATATCGTGTCGCCGGGAGATGGTTGAATTGCGGCGTAGACGGATGAAGACGGAATGGATTGGGGTCGAGTTCCATCCGGCGAGGAACGGGAACTGTGGAGAATTTGGGGATGTGTGGATGTCCAGTGTGGGGAGCCCTGACCCTGCGTCCCGCAATTCGCAACGTCCCTCGCCAACACAAGCCTGCTGAACTTCGCTTCCCGTCCCCGTGTCTTTGTGCAACACAACTCCTCGCCAGTCTGGTTTTCGACACCGACGGCTATCTGCTTCACCCACCGCATCCAGCCAACTATCCTTCCTCTTTGCGTGGGACAGTCCCTATTCCTGGCGGTCAACACTGGCATGCTGCCAGAGTCGGCAATCTTGGTGAAACCCGCCGACAGCGCAAACACAGAAGAGGAATGTAGGCCCGAGGAGACCAAACTGTCCACCTTCGGCTTCCAGGTGTTATTGTCCCCAGGGCATTCGTCCAAGTCCTAGCTCGAGCTGGCTTATCACCACCACCCAGGTCAGTCCTGGGACAGGACGACAGGACTAACGACGCCGCACACTTCAGACGGAGATTGAAAACGCGGAATGGAGCAACCGATAATCATTCGGCCAGGCCGACTTGGCAATACCCACGTCTGTTGTTGATCTTTTACCGTTATCCTATCGTCAACGGCCTATCTCCGGGGGCCCAACTTGACTCATCAAGTCACGACTGCATTGAAACTGCCATGGTCCACCTGTCCCGTTGCTGGTCGGTGTCCCTGTGAGCAAAGACCTGCATGAAGGATCGCAATGGATGCCTGAAAAGGTGGGACACTCTTCTTAAGGCGACCAATCAAAGCTGCGAATGGCGTCCCTTTTGCTCAATGCAATGACATGCCATTGGCCGTTAATTTTCGGCAGGGGCCAGTTCAATGGATGTCCTCACTCCTCAGGCTTCCTACTGGAAGCTTTGCGAGAATGAGCGCTGCAACACTGAATTACCTACTGCAAGGACCTCTCGGCGAGGATCTTTTTCTGCCGTTACGTTGCTCGGCCGGCCGAGGGTCCGACTTACACGCAAATGCGCTCCCTTGGCTCCCACAGGCGAAGAGTCAAACATGGGGTCCCGGTGGAACAAACGTGTGCCAAGGGTTCTTGGCTTGTTTGTTCTGTCAGAACACTGCAGCAATCCCAGTACCTTGAAGGGAAAGGTCAGAAGGGTTTACCAGATAGGACCGAGTTCGTCCCAAGGAAGATGATCGGCCCCGCGGTGTCTTGAAAACATATAAGTCGGCCGACCCGGCTCCGGACTGACGAACTCAGACCTTCTTTACTTACCTACTTACTCATCCATCATCAAGATCAAGCATCATCGTCAGCTTCAAGCAAAGTGAAACTTACGTTCCCTTTGTTCCATCGATACAACACCAAGCACCCGGCGTGTAACAACTATCTACCCCGGAGGGCACTCTCTAGAACCAACGACACTACTCGAACTAAGAGGAAGCTACACGTCTCGAAGCTCTTCTCAATAGTCCTTGACATCAAAAGTCAAACACAAAATAGCACCTTTCAACAACACCACCGAGCCTCATCAACAACAGTTAGCCATGAAGCGCTCTTCTTCTCGTGCCTCTGCCCCGTCGGCAATCAACATCAACACCACCGCACCCATCACAAGCCCTCTTACCTCGCCCAAGTCTCCAGATAGCGTAAGCCATGCTCCCTTCTGGGTCTCTCATCTTCATGGGACTAATGAAACTCAACAGTACAACGAGATGAGGTTCTCGTACGACTCCGGGACAACAATGGCCCCTACCAACAGCCGAAAGGATTCGGGGAACACAGCCAGCTCGGCAGAGTCATCATCAAGGCCACTAGGAAGATCCAAGTCACACAACAAGCACGTCAACGCACATAGCTACTGCGGACGACACTCGACTGAGTTCCTGTTTGGAGGTCGTTCCATCAGGGACCTCTTGAGCAACCTTAAGCACCGAAGAGACTCGCGGGAGTGATTCCATCCTCATCATTATTGATTCCTGAAAATGGATCAAGTTTGTGAAGAAAACTCAACTTCGGCTACGGTTCTCATCCGTCTGCACTGGCTGGAACAGGTTGCATTGGGGGGAACGTAATACATTACCAGCTCGTCTCAACAAGGGAGATTGGATGCTTTGGGAGGAAGAACAACAACAACGGGATACCCATCTACGCTCAACGATGACATGACAACTCCTTTTCGTTGCATGTAACAACATCATTTGTATTTTCATTTCTTGTTCTATGGGATATGATACCAAAGGAGTTATGGGTTTATGAAGAACAGATATGGAGTTGGGTGCATTTTTTGAGGGCTGGGTAGTGGTGTGGTTAATACCAGATATGAGCCATGCATGCTTGGGAAAGTAGGGCAATACCTATCAGGATGTTGGACTACAGCAGCGTAACTAGTAGTGTAAAGACTGGAAATGTAAGACAAAGTATTACCGGTATCACAATTCTTCACGGTCGGTTAACACGGCAAGATGCCACGAATGCCCAGTCCTGGGCGACGACAATCGACGTCCGTTCTTTGGTGAGAATGATGGATGCCGAGACTTTGAGCGGCGAATTTGCTGTTGTGAAAGTCGCCTATCCTTGGCTTCGTCTCATCATTGCGCTTTATCCTTTTTCTTATAATCATTCTAGAAAATGCCATGAAAGTGAACAGAGCGTTCTTCCGTCACATGCAAATATTCATAACCACCGGTCTAGTGTAATCGACGGTTCGACAGACGGGGTCGGTGATCGGCGTTCCAGACGCCGGGCCGCCGATGGATGGTGGGCCTCGCGGAGTTTACACTCAAGAGCCCCACAAGGAAAGAACCATCCATGATTCAACCCCAACCCCTGTCCCGACGCGCGAATCCACAGCACCTGCCGCGGCCTCGGTCGGGTTTCTTTTTGGGTGTCGAAAATTGTTGTTGTCCCCGCCGCCATCGGTACCGGTTCCGTCTTGTTGGGGAATCTCATCCACTGTATCCGTCCATCACGTTCAGAAAGGAGAACATCGGATCATAGTTTGACTTTCTTCCCACAACCGCCAAGTCGAGTTCATCTATACGAACATCACGACAACACAACAACGAGAAACCTCACACGACAGCAAACAATGGCTGGCTCCGCTCTCCGCAAGGGCTACCTAGTCCTCTACAATGCCGCCTCGGCCGTCTCCTGGGCGATGATTCTCGTCCGCGTCGCGTCCGTTTACTTGGCCAACGGCGCGGGCGCCGTGCCCCTGGTCGTTGACGACTTTGCTCGCGTTACGCAGACTTTTGCTGTCATGGAGATCTTCCATGCTCTTACCGGTATGCTTATGCCCGTTCCCATCCCCTCGTTCATCCTCTCCCCGCTATCCGTAGAAATGACAAAGCTAATTGGTTTGTTTGCAAAAGGCATCGTCCCCGCCCCCCTCTTCACCACCCTCATGCAAGTCGCCTCCCGCCTTATGCTCGTCTGGGGCATTTCCTACCCTTTCCCGCAGCTCAACACCTCGACTTGGTACAGCTCCATGCTTACCGCGTGGTCCACCACCGAGGTCATCCGCTACACCTATTTCGCGCTCAAGCAGTTCGACTTCATCCCTTACTTTTTGCACTGGTTGCGTTACTCGGCTTTCCTGGTTCTGTACCCCATGGGCATCAGCTCCGAGGTGGCCATGATCATCAAGGGGCTCGTGGGACCGGCCGATAAGCTCGCGCCTTGGTACCCGTATGCGCTGGTTGCCGTGCTGTTGTCGTATATCCCTGGCTCGGTGATCCTGTATAGCCATATGTTGAGCCAGAGGAGGAAGCAGGTTGGTGGTGGTGCTAAGGGCGCCGCTAAGAAGGCGAAGAAGAGCCAGTAAGGGGTTATACCCTTTAAATGACGAGGGGGTGATTGATGGGGGAATGGGACTCGGGCACGGCTTATGCCTCCATCTCTCCTAGCTGTTGGAGTGCTGTGGATAAAGTGTATGCTCTTTACAAAGTCACTTCAGGTGCAGATTGTGTGCGGTCGAGGTTTACTGGGGGAACATACGTACGACTCGCAACGAACTCCGGAGATGTATAGATTATGATAGACGTTTTATGATGGGATAAATAAAAAGACTTTGGGTACTAGACAGAAGCATACGGTGTTTGGGGTGCGCTTCACGCGCGAATGACACCACCGTTGCTGCTTTCGTACCAATCGTTCTGCAACCACTTGACAACCATGTCTCTAGCATCATGTGCCATCTTCGTATAACCAGGGTTGTCCTTCAGGTCGAACATGGCTATAAAACGTGTCAGTAATCGTTCGGCCTATCATGATTTCTTCAACCGGTCAAAAGGGGGTGCAGTTACAAATGTGGGCCGAAACCTCGTCCATAGCCTTATTGTTGATAGCCTCCCTCCAGTCCCCAGCGGGATCCTTCTTGGGCAGGACGCAAAACGTCCGTTCATTGCCCATCACGGTCCCAACCATGCTCACTTCCTTTGACCCCGCGGCCCGTCCCAGCCGGGTGTAAAAGTTCCCGAATCCAACTCCAAGGTCTTTGTTGAGCCGTACCATGTACGCCACCCGGCGCCGCAGCTCCTCCCTTCTATAAAGCACGCCCACAAACTCGAGATGCGACGTCGCCCAGCTCACGCTCTGCGTAATCTGATCTCGATTGTAATACGCCGCCGCTCCACCAGCCGCCGCAGCAGCCGCAGCGCCGGCAACCATGGCGATCTTGCCCCAATTGCCCCAGGCACTGCCATTACTCTTCTGCTCCTCCTTCTTCTCCGGCGCCGGCAAAGCGGCTACTTGTCTTTGCTGCGTCGTGACATTAGATTGCGCCTGCACCCCCTTTGCTCCGAACAAGCTAGTTAAGCTACTCAGTTGCGACAGCGCCGCCGAAGCCGTTGCATAGTGGCCTTCTACGCCGTGGGCGAAGACGGCGGGCGCGATGCCCAGGTAGGGCGTATCGAAGCCGAGGACGCCCTGGATGTAAGGGAACATGAGCGAGTTGGGGCTCGGTGGCCGGTGGAGCGGCGCAGAGTTGGCGGTGCGATGCTCCAGCTTCGGGTCCTCGACGGCCGGGTCGGTGCTGCCGTGGATGGGCTTGTCCGAGGAGAGCTCGATGGCGGTTTCGGCGGCGACGATACCGCCCATGGAGTGGCCGACTAGGATGACGCGGACTGAAGGGTCGATAGTCGGCGAGGATGTGCCGGCGGCGACTTCGAGGTCGATGACTTTGTTCATGAGCCTGTGATGGGTTGAGAATGAGGATGTTAGTGGTGGTTTGGTTCAGGGCTTTCAGCATGTGACAGATAAGCAGACAGCGGTCGATGAGCAACATACCAATCGCGAAATCGCCCTACGCACTCGCCCAAGTCTCCTCGAGTCTCATATTTGGGGTATACGACGACATTGACGTTTATCTTGGGGAGGTCGGCCGCGACAAGCTGGCGGAGGTGCTCGGTGAAGGCATAGTTGTCGCCAAAGGTCGACTCACCCCCCTTTACACGATAAGGTTAGTTTGATGCGTTGGCTGGAGCGTCGCATAATGATCATAACATACCTTGAAGCCGTGGATGAAGCAGAGAAGTAATGTCTTCTTCATCCTTCTCCGGCATTGAGACTGATCAATGGAAGTGGTGCAAAGAGGATGTAGGGGAGGCTGCCCGAGGGAATGCGACAATGTGGATGTAAACTTTCCGCGTTGCCCCGGGCTGTCACGATCGTCATGTGCAGGGGCCTGCAGGGCCAATGTGGGGGCGGGGCCGTCCTATGGAAGGGACCTCCAGGGGAAAGCTCCAGTGGATGCATGGACGCTCGGTCTCGAGTTCCGGTCTTTGACCAGAATCCCATCCTCCAGAATTCCGACATCCCCAGTTCACAGTCATCTATCATCCAAATACATCCTTGGTTAATTTTAAACCATCAGACCTTGACTTCAATGGAGGTATATGAAGTATTTAACAGCAGGAGGACTTTCTTCGACACAGGTATATCATATTAACATCATGGCATCTGGAGGCTGAGGCTCGGTATACATGCTGGACCAACATATCCTGCGAGCATTGAACCGTCCTGCTGATCCATTTGTACAGTATTAACTTGAAGGGCGAATTACTTGGAGACAGTGCCCGCTCATGGAATGACACAACACCCGCTTAATCCACAATGCGGCAGTCTAGCGGTCGAATACTCTGGTTCTCTAAAAGGCGCCTAGACTGATTGTGACGACTGACTTTTCCAACAGCTTGAATCCCTTGAATTCTGGCAACCAACAAGCCAACAGACCAACATGATATTGCGGCATGAGGGACGTATCTAGAGGTGAGCACTTGACCTTTAGTGGAGATCATCCCGTCTGAAAGCGGGTCCAAGGGATCGAAGTTTGGGTGTGATTCCTGCAGGTTGCATTTGCAATGTCCGGCCCTGCCACCGCCTCGTGCCAATCCCGCTACCGCACCCTTGAGCTCCCGTCCTCAGTGTTAAATAGGAGTCCGTGCTCAGCACCCCAGGCTCAACCAAGACGCGCCGAGTCGGCGACGTGCTTTTTCTCTTTCGCAACAAACGCAACCCCTTCATCCCTCCCCATCAATTGCCCTGCCTGGTTTCGGCTTCTCCGACTGCCCCAGGGTCAATACCACAATCAATCAACTATTTGGCATCACAATCATTCGAATCGACAAAAAGCACAGCATATCATGACCTGAGAGTTCTTTGACTTCGTGGAGCTACTTGGTTCCTTCTGTTCATCAATCCCATCATAGGCATTGTTCATAACTCCATTCATTTCCCATCTTTGCCTGCCAGCGTTTTCTCCCTGCGCTTGCGCCTCCCTCTCTTGCGCGCGATCCGTTAGATCCTCTCGTCCCGAACAGCGTCATCGATCAGTCCTGCACGACCTATTTCATCTTCGATACTCCCACTGGCGCACCCAGCAAGCTTCCTCGTCCCACCACGCTTCGTGCCACCATGTCGAACCCCGAACATAGCTTGGGGGTAACGCCTCCTATCTCGACCGCGCTGCCTACCGATGCCGAGAAACGACAGACCGACGCCCTTTTCAAAGAGCTGCGCGCGCAGGGCACGTTCGAAAGTCAGGCCGAAACTGAGAAGAGATGGGCGGTGCTCGCAGACCTCCAGCGCATCACTGACGAGTTTGTGAAGAGGGCCGCCCAGGAAAGTGAGCCGCACAACTCCATCCTCATTCGTGATGCTCGAGGCAGAATTTTCACCTATGGCAGCTTTCGCTTGGGTGTGTATGGGCCGGGATCCGATATCGATACCCTCGTCGTCGTACCCAAGTACGTCACTGTAAAGCAATACTTCGACATCTTCCCCAAGCTTCTCGAGGAAATGGCTCCCCCTGGCGCTATTACCGACCTGACCCCGGTACCCGAGGCTTTCGTTCCCATCATCAAGTTTGAGTACTCGGGCATCAGCATCGATCTTATCTTCTGTTCGATTCAGAGCCTTCGTCAACTTCCCGACGACAAAGAGTGGAACTTGAACAACAACAACCTCCTGCGCGGCTTGTCCGAAAACGAGGTGCGCTCGCTCAATGGAACACGCGTAACCGATGAGATCCTTGCGCTGGTCCCTGAAGAGAAAACATTCAAGCTTGCACTTCGCGCCATCAAGCTCTGGGCTCAGAGAAGGGCTATATATGCCAATATTATGGGTTATCCTGGTGGTGTGGCTTGGGCTATGCTGGTCGCCAGAGTATGCCAACTCTACCCGAAGGCGACTAGTGCTGTCGTTGTCCGGAAGTTCTTCACCATCATGCTCAACTGGCCGTGGCCGCTCCCGGTTCTCCTGAAGAATATCGAATACAACCAGTCCATTACGCGTGTAGCGGTGTGGAATCCCAAGGTAAGTCATCCCCTCAATATTGTCGCGCTGATGTCTCACCACAGACTAGATATACCCGAGTGATCGCAATCACAAGATGCCCATCATCACCCCGTCATACCCTTCCATGTGCGCAACACACAACGTTGGAAGGTCTTCAATGGCGGTAATTCAACAGGAGCTGGAACGCGGGGTGCAAATTGCCGAAGAGATCATGCTGGGTAAAAGGCCTTGGAAAGATCTGTTCGAGAAACACACCTTTTTTACCAATGGCTTCAAGTTTTACCTGACAGTCATTTCATCTGGTAGGACCAAAGAGGCGCAAAATACCTGGTCTGGTTTCGTCGAGTCAAGAGTGCGTGTTTTGGTCCAGAAGCTTGAGCTGCACCCTTCCATCGCCCTTGCACGCCCCTTCAACAAAGGTTACGACAGAGTGCACCGATGCAAGACAGATACTCAGGTCGAAGAGATCCAAACTGGAAACCTCTCATACATGGTCAAGCCGACGGATACAGCCACGAATGGGAACGCCAAGGACGAAAGCAAAGTTGAAGTCAAGGCGGAGATCAAGAAGGCGGACGGTGTTGCCCCGGATTCGGCTGTGCCGACTGTGAAGGAAGAGCCGAACGACGTGGTGCATCTAGGAACGGTACCTCTTAAGCCCGAGGAGACACCCGTAAAGCCCGAGGCCAAGGACGAAGACGATGGCAAGGTTAAGCTGGCGGATATACCGGAGAAGGAGCTGGAGATTGAGATTTATACCACTAACCATTACATCGGTCTGCAGCTGGTGGAGAAGGCTAAGTCTCTGGATCTGTCTAGAGAAGTGGACGACTTCAAGGCAATGTGCACTTCGAACGACATCTTCAAAGCAGAGTTGATGGGATTGACTATCCAACACGTTAGGAATTTCGATCTCCCCGATGACGTTTTCGAGCCTGGAGAGACGAAGCCTACGAAGCCGGTCAAGAAGAAGAAGCGTATGGCAGAGGGCGATCCTGCGAACGGCCCGATGGCCAAGCGACAACAGATGGCGACCGCGCCCCCGACCATCAAGAGCGAACAGTGATCGGAGGATACACAGACGGGTCTTGTTGGTGGCTACAACACGAATCAGTTGCTATGTGCGATCAGAATCACACGCGAGGTGTAGAGAAATGTATCTAAGATAGAGTTGCTAAATCTGCTAGACTAATAAATTTAGTTTTTCGGGGCATAAGTGCCCCATCAACTAAGTCAATGTCCCATCTCGCATGATATGACTCCTATGTTTTCTTTTGCTTCATTCAATGTTATATTAACAGCTCCCTTGCTTTATGGATTGTTTCTGCTGGTGAATTGAGCTGTGAGTTGTGCTTGACAAAACGCCATATGTACAAATGCCAGCAGCCAATCATGCTTGCACGTTGCCCCTGTAGATCGTCGCCCGTCCTCCAATATTTACACCGTAACACCCGTTTTGGTATTCCCCGTCTCAACCCAACATCTCACCGAGGAGAAAACCTCCTCTAGTACTTTCGCTGTGTAAACTCATACGAAGTACCTGAGTCAACTTCGAGGGACCACAATCACACAACGCCTCCAATTCCCATCCGATATGCAGCGATAATGCACCGGGAACCAAAGGCCAGTCGGGCGCTCCTCTCCGCGCCCTTTCCTCCGAATCCTCCTCATCATCTTCCCTCACCAGCATCCACACCTTCGCCATCATCGTCATCACCACGGCGCTTCAAGCGCTTCTGCAGTCTCCTACCCACATTAATAACAACATCCTACCGCGCGGTCCTTAGCTCCGTCTGTATCATGGCCGTCCTATTCTGGCTCGTCCACCTCCTCTTCTTCTCCCTCTTCCCAGATTTTACCACCGGCAACCCCTCAACAACATCTCCATCCTCACCACAAGAAGAACCCTCAGTAGCCGACCTGGCCCTCCAAAAGGTCCTCAAAGACGGCCGCCGGATCCTCGGCCCCTTCCCCTCCTCCTTCAACAAATCCGCCGCCGCCAAGCGTCGCGCCCAATGGATGACCCCCCTGCCCGATTCTATCCCTCTCACTGCCCTGAAAGCCATTCCGGGGACGCACGACAGCGCGACATGGAACTTTACTACCGAGACAAGGAACGCGATCCCTTCCAACCCGTCTTACCTGCCGGCGGAATGGTTTCGGTGTCAAAAAAGAAGCATCGTGGAGAGCTTGGAGGCGGGGATCAGGTTCTTTGATTTGAGGTATGCGGCACTTGAAGATGGTGGGAAGCAAGGAGAGGAAGGGATGAGGTTGGTGTTTTGGCATAAGATGGTGCTGTTGAGCGAAGTTGCGACGGTGGAGGATGTGTTGTTTGGGTTTTATGAATGGTTGGAGACGAGGGGGAAGGGGGAGACAGTGATGATTAGTTTGCAGTATGAGGTGAGTTTTTCTCTCGTTCTTTTTCTTTTGATTTTCTGTTCTTGGGGGAGGGGGATAGTGGTGTTGGTGTCTTGGTCATGATGGTGATGATGACCTGGGGCTTTCTTGGTGGTCTCGAATATGTATAGCCAAATTTGGTTATATGTAAATAAAAGGGGCCCGGCCATCATCTCAATCATCACTACGTATCCTTCCTCATACACTAATTACTCACTCACATCCTTCTCTTACACCATCACCCTCCTCCTACCAAGAAAACTCAGACAAACTAAACTAAACCAACAACCCAAATCCAGCACCCAACCCGCTCCAAAGCCTCCAACACCCCTCAAGTCCAACGCCTCCTACATTCCACGCTCACCACCCCCGCCGCCCGCCGTTTCATCTACCCCTCCCACTTCCTGCCTCCTACACTCGGCCACGCCCGCGGCAAGATCGTCCTCCTCAAACGCTTCGACTTGCCCGACCTGTCGTTAGACCAACAACTCGCCATACCAGGCCTCAACTTCTCTCCCTCGCTCTGGCCAGAAAACAACAGAGGGTTCGAGCTGGTTTACAACCAACTAGGACTCGACGACGACACCAAAGACGAAAACAAGAGGAGGAACGAGACGGCCTACATAGAAGATTACTTTGAGCCCAACGACCTGCCTAACCAGATGAACGGGACGGTGGAGGAGAACGTGGGCGCCAAGTGGGAGGCTGTGGAGGAGCACTTGAGAACGGCGGCCGCGGCTTCGCAGAGAAGTGAGGGGGAGGATGATGGACTGTGGATTACCTTCACGTCGGGGGAACATGTGTTGAATGAACCGAATATTACGCCGGAGGTTATGGCGTTGGGTCCGGAGGAGCAGCGGATGCCGGGGCGTAAGGTGGATGGTGGTAAGGGAGGGACGGTGAAGGGGGGAGTTAATGAGAAGTTGTTGGGGTTGTTGAAGGAGGGTGGATCGGATGGTTTAAGGGGGAAGAGGTTAGGTGTTGTGGTAATGGATTTTTGGGAGATGGAAGGGGAAGGCGATTTAATTGGGGCGCTGTTGGGTTTGGACTGATGGTTAGATACCTAGACTAGGTAGCAATCGCCTTGTCTGCTTCATCCTGAATTTTGCCTTGAACGTTTCTTCTGTTGTTGCTACATCTGAGCCGCTCAATCGTCATCGCCATCATCGCTTCCGCTCGACCACCCTTCATGATACTCATCAGCCATCTCCGCCAGCTCATTTCCAAGCTGCTCCCTGTCCTCCATTCCAATCGACCGAACGACCGTGGTCCTCAACAGCTTCAGCCTCTTGCACACCGAAGCATCCGTGGACAGACTGCTAGTGACGTTGAGGCCTCCTCCTCTCTTCAGTAGCTCACCATTGCCATCCTTGAAAATCTGTGGGAAGCTATCCAGAAGAGGGAAGCGAAGGGAGGTGTGATAACTGTATGAGAAGAACTTTGTTAGCGACAGACGACAAGCATGAAAAAAGAAAACGAAGGAAAAACGTACCTCCTCGTAACAGGCTCATACGAGCTCTTCCTGCGGAACCTCTCATCCTCCTCAGCCTCCTCAGCCTCCTGCGCCTCATCACCAACCTCATAACCTCTCGAGGTGATCACCTGGCTAAACATCCTCGGTCTGTTATCACCCCCACCACCACCGCCACGACGACGGATATAATCCAGCTGATCCGACGGAGTAAAGTTAATATCAAGGAACACTCCCTCCGGGTTCTCCTTCGCCATCACAGCCGCATGTCCACTCTGCTTCTGTTTGCCAAGCTGCCTCTGCCTGAGATCCGTCGAGCCTTCCTCTTCCTCTTCGTCTATCGGCTGCGGCGCAAAGCTCATCCCCAAGCTCGCCACATTCTGCTTGCCCATCGCATTAAGCGTATCAGCCAGCGTGCCCAGCGTATCCCTATTCGCCTTATCCCTCAAGCGGCTCGGAAGCGTGACGCTCTCCATGGCCGTAGCCAACAACGCAGTAGTATGCCACTGCGACCCGGCGTCCAGGGCCAACTTGGTCGGGTCCAGCGTAGCAAAGGGCACCGTGAACGGCACCACGACGCTCGCGTACTTGTACACCTCCGTCAGCGTGCGCGCCTTGTTGGCCAGTCGAAGGAGGCGCTTCTCCCTCGTCTGTCCCGGTTTGAAGGAGTCCCCATGCTCGTTGCCCCACACGAATACCGCCGTCTTGCCGTACTCATCCCGCACCCTCTCCAGGTACTTGACCGCAAAGCCGCCCCAGGCGTCGTCGATACCCGTCAGGACTTGGATGCCTTGCATCTGGTCGGCTTCTTCGATGAACGGGCGGAGGTCCCGGTCGAGAAGGTCGAATTCCTTGTCGAGAGAGGCGAATAGGTCTTCGCCTGTGGCGTAGCGCTCAAAGGGCATGATGGATGAGTTGAGCTCGTACTCGTTTAGTTGGACGACGGAGCGCGGGTGGTAGAAGACGCGGTTGAAGTCGGACCAGTAGCGGACTGAGTCTGTTGAGAGGGGGGCCGGTTCGAGGCCGGCGTCGAGGGACTGTTGGTAGGCGGATTGAGGGATGGTTGGCTGTTTTTGAAGGACGGTTGGGCCATTCCTATGGTTGAAGTGAGTCAGTCAGTTGGTGGATGGAGGAGGCGATGATGACCTTGATGGATGCTTGGGACATCGATCGAAGAATGAAAGAACCCGGTAAAAATGTCCGCCAGGCCAGAAAGAGGATTGCTCAACGTACCACAAAGCTTGAGGCGTCTGTCCCTCCTCGAGATTATTGTACAGCGCATTTGTCTTTGCCATGGACCCAAAGCCACCTTTCAGGTCGTAAATAACGGTCCGCGGCATGTAGGTCTCGGTGCCATCCGCGCCGATGCCGGGACGCCAGTGGATGTCATGGTTGACGGCTGACTCTTGATCTTCGGAATATGTGAAATATGACTCCTGGAGAATTTGTTAGTTCCTACTTGGGGTTTCAGGTGAGATCAATGACTTTTGCTTGCCTGGGCGTTCCAAAAATGGGTTGCTAGATAATTGCTCTGCTGCCCGAGCTGGAGCGTGATGATTTCGTGCATTACGTGGCAGTATCAAAGAAAAGGAAAATTCGAGTCAAGATGTGTCTGAATCAAAATAAAATCTCTATTTTTTGAGGGGAAAGTGGCCTTCAAGAGTGGTTGTTGAGTCTGGGTTTCGAATTCGTTTGTCGTCAGATGAAAAAGCGACAATGATGATGATGCCGATTGCCTGAAAGGAGCAAAGTGCAATGCTACTGAAACCCTAACCCTGGTCATGCTCGGCTCAGGGGCCGACATCATCATCGCCAAAACAGTTCCTCTGTTCCTTATCATATTTCACTCTTTCAGATATCAAGACCCAAAAATTGCTTGTCGCATCTACCAGTAATCTAAATCTAGCAATACATGTAACTTATTGACGAGACTTCTAGGTACTGTACAGTTACTGACCCCAATAGGTCAAGTAGATGATTTTTGTGTGAGGTATGTCTTGGAAGCCCTTGATAACAGGCAAAAAAAGAAAACGGACAAGAAGACTGTACTGCTGTAAGGGCTGCGAGAATAGCTCGAATATTTGATACAGGATATTGAACGGAATAGCAAAATCATCATACAAAAGAAAACACAAAAGGCCCATTCATTTCATTGCTCCCTCGTCTAAATCCCCTTTAAAAAAAACCCGTCTAAAAAGCCCCCATTTTCTATGACCAAAGCAGCCCGAGACTCCAGAAGAAGAAAAGGCAAAGAAGTCCCCAGGTCCGCACCCGCTATACAAGAGACACGCTAAACATGCCAAAAGAGCGTGCAAGAAGGAGAGAGTGAAATCCAAGTCATGCTATAGATGCAAGTCGTCGTCTACTCGCGAGAAACGTCACGGCCGAAGAGCTTGGACTTGACCCAGTCATTGATGACAAGGAGACGGTTGCGAGCTGGCAGGATATGTTAGTTATACTGTTCCTAAAACAAGCGAGGACATTTCCAAGAGAAAACTTACTGCTGAAACACATGGACAAGTAGGCACTCCTCCAGAAGAGAAAGGTGAGGCTGCCACCGGAGGCAAGGTTTCCGTTGAACCAGCTCACATCAGCAACGGCCTTCTCGCTTCCGATGTAGGCAAGAGAACCCTGGTGAGAGTAGTGGAAGGGCTTGATGTCCTTGATGCGGCGGAGCTGGCGCTCGTGCTCCTCAATCTCCTTCGAGATCTCGGCGGCGTTGCCAGGCTGAAGGTTGAGGGAACCGCTGAGCTCGCGGACGCGCTGCTCAAGGACCTCGGTGCGGGCCATGTTGTTGAAGAGACCAGCCAGGAAGTTACCCTCCTGAGAGGCAACCTGGGCGGTAGGGGCGTATCCAGCAACGGCGCAGTCACCGACAGCCCAGATATCGCGGGTACCCTGGACAACGAGGTACTCGTTCACGGCAAGACCGCGGCGAGAGTCCTTCTGGGCAGGGATGCGCTCCATGAGGTCCTTGACGACGGGGCGAACAGCGTTGCCAGTGGCCCAGACGAGGAGACCATAGGGGAGAGTGATCTTCTCACGGGTACCATCGGGCTTGCTGATCTCAGCCTCGACGGTCTTGTCGGTGACCTTCTTGACCATGGTCTTGGTCATGATGTCGATCTTCTCCTCCTTGAAAGTGCTCTCGGTGTACTCGATCAGCTGCTTGGAGAAGCTGGGAAGGACGTTGGGAAGAGCCTCGATGAGGGTGACGCGGAAGCGGTCAGCAATATCGGGAATGAGCTTCTTGATGTCCTCCTCGAAGAAATCCTGGAGCTCGCCAGCGAACTCAACACCAGTGGGACCACCACCAACGACAACCATGTGCAGAAGACGGTCAATCTCCTCCTGGGACTGGCCCTTGAAAGCGGCAGTCTCGACGCAGTCCATGATCTTCTTGCGAATGCGCTGGGCATCACCAATCTCCTTGAGGAAGCAGGTGTGCTCACGGACACCGGGAATGCCAAAGGTGGCGTTCTCAGCACCGACACCAACCACTAGCATGTCGTAGGGGATCTCGGTCTCGATCACGTCGCCGCGAATCTCGGAGGTATCGAGGACGCGGACGACCTTGCGCTCGGGGTCAACGGAGCTGGCCTCAGCCTCGTAGAACTTGACGTTGGCCTTCTTGTGGCGCAGAATGGTGCGGATGGGCTCCATGATGGAACGGTGCTCGATCAGACCGGTCGTGCATGACGGGAGCAAGGGGGTAAAGAGGAAGTAGTTGCGGGGCGAGATGACGATGACATTGTAGTGCTCAGTGTCGAGCTTCTTGAGAAGAGAGACAGAGCCCCAGCCAGTGCCTGAAAGAGATCAGTCAGTCAGTATGAACTCGTAGAGGGAAGAGAAAGCGCATGGCGCAAGGATGCGCGTATGACTCTCTCGTCTGCGCAAGAGTTAAAACTCACCAAGAACAACGAGGGTCTTCTTGGACGGGTCAGGCTCAACCTGAGGACCAGGGTTTCTCTCCTCGTAGATACCCCAGCCGACATAGGCGATACCGGCGAGGGAAGCGAGAAGAGGTGCCCTCCAGAGCCACCTCAACTTGCGAAACCGGCGACGCTCCTTGGGGGGCTCGGGGAGAGCAGGAGTGGTCTCTGTGTGGGCGCGACGGATCTGCTGAGTGACAGCAACCTGCCTAGACTCAGAGATGAGGGCGCGACGAGGCGCAGAGCTGAGAAGGCGGGAAATGGCCTGGGTCTGGAGACGGGCAACGCCCATGGAGGGGGCCGAAAGCCTGCCCAGAGCTCTGGATGTGGACGCCATGGTTGGTCGTTTAGTCGTTTTTTGAATTGACGAGCGTGACGACGCGGTATGGGGATGGCGACCTGGATGGCCTCGAAAGGGGAGGTAGGGAACACGGAGGGAGGGGTAAAAATTAGGTGTGCTTAGGTGAGAAAAGGAGGAAAAGGAAGCAAAATGGAAGGATTCTGAAGGGGAGGTGGGGGATAAGAAAAGTTGAAGCTCTAGCAAAAAGGTTACGGGCGGCGTGATAAGCGAGTCAGCTAGGATTGGTTGCTTGGCCTTGTAATAGGAGTCTGAGTAGGAGTGACTCTTTTTAGCCTCTCTTCACTGGCGGCCGTCTTATTTTCTTCTTCCAATCTTGCAACCTTGACTTGGGCTAAAAATGCGCGTACCCGTGTCTGAGCTACACCGAATCCAGGACCCAAGAAAAAATAAGGCCAAACCTGAGTTCTGGTTAAAACAAATTCCCGGGTTCTCGATTCGTCCCACCTTCCTGGTTCTTACTAGTCCTCCTCATCTCCCATCGGCGCAGTCCATGCCGTCCTCCCGTCACTGTAGGAAGTTGCCGTACAACGGGGGTGGGAGCGAGCCAAGCATTTCAGCGAAAACAGCCTCGGGACCCCCCAAACACCCCCAACTGCCCACTGGACTCTGACTGATCCTAGATCGAGGGGATTGTCTTGTGTCTGCAAAGGCTTCAGGAGCGATCCATGATGGAAGGAACCCGCCCGGGTGGGACCTCTCTATCGGGCCTTAAACCCTCTGCAAGGAGTGCCCTATTCCCTATCAGGTTGGCGGGTTTTGTGGGTTTTTTGGCCAAGTCGACCATCAATCCCATTGATGCAAAACTCGAGAGCCTCACGTCATACAAATTTTGCGATTGGACCGGCAGATGAGACTTGTTTCTTTGCCTCTCGTCTCAGGATCAGCCCGGTGGCTTTTTGCCAAGTCATCCAGGGCAAGAAGACATAAGTTTAAAAAGGAGAGCAAAAGACCTTCTTCTTTCAGCTTTGAGCAATCGGAGACGGCGAGAGTGAAACGGGGCGGTAGGTTCTATCGGGGCCAGTGCCGTCGGCCAGCATCGACCACCTAGCTAGCAACGGTCTGGCCGCTTGGTGATGGTACCATTGCGATGGAGCACATAGGAAAAAGAGCCAGCGAGCCAAGACGGAGGGAACTTAGCCATATCAACCGTCAGCACTTTGAGCAGGGGTGGTCGCTGCGGCTCTGGCATTCGATGGCATTTATCCCATCTGCTTGATGCGAACTTCCCCCTGCGTTCGACCACTTGTCAAACGGGTCAAAACAGACTGGATGACAGAGAATGCGCAGTGGCGTGAAGGCACATGTCAAAGCAACAGATGCCTCGAGCGCCGCCCAGGATATGTCACATGCAATGCCGTCTCAACATTGGGGTCGGACGGTTTCGGTCTTGGGAGCCCGAGTCGTGCACTTGTGAAAGTTGGACCAGGCTTTCCACTCCCATAAGCAGAGCTCCGAACATCGCAATCGAGAGGAAGCTGAAGCATGTGGGAGCAGTGGCAGATGTGCAGTATCGTCACCTCGACAGTCGGTACCGGGCCGGTGGTCGGGGTGCCAAGAAGGAAGAAGTGCCCGGTCCGGCCTCAACCCCTGCACGGAGCCAACGGGCACCTCACCTCACTACAATGTCCGAGTCCACCTAGCACGACACAGCAGCAGGCACCACGGTCTGCACCGACGGGATTTTGCCGAGTGTTCCATCCCAATCCCGCGCTCCCATCCACCCGGCATTAGAATGGTGGTGCAGTGGCATCTTCGGTTGCATCTCACAGAATGGAATGTCGTACCGTACGCAGTGATGCTCCTGGTGGTGTCAGTGGTGATGATGCAGTGCAGTTGTTGCAGGGAATTTTATGGGCCGCTAAAATAGCCAGAGGGGCCAAGGCTCCTCCCACTGTGGGCTCTTGATGGTCCACCTGGCTAAACGCCGAACTTTGCAAAACACTGTTGCAACCTCGACGGCAGAGACGGAACTTGAATGGGATCTCGGGATTGTCAGTCGAAGGCTCTCGGTATCTCTGTGATGGATGTTGAAGAGGATGACATTTCGAAGTTGAGACACGCTGCGTTCTTGCCTGAACAAGCAATGTTCTTGCCCATGATGACGGCTTCCATGTCATCATAAATGGAAGGTACCTCGACGGTGTGGATGCCCTCCTGCCTTACCCGATTGAAACTCTAAAGTCACAAATGCCTCGAGTCATGAACTCCGGGGAAGGTGTGTTTGATCGCCCTTTGCCCTTGTTCCTTCCCTTTACAAGCTCGTGAACAACCCCGCCAGGCTCTTTGAACCCTGGAACGGCCCAGCAATCTTCTGAGGCTGAGGTGAAACGATATCTGCCGGGGCGGATGAGACGACAGTCAGTGCACCCTCCCAACACTTCCAAGCAACATTTAGTTTCTACACTACAACATCGATCGCTTCACTTGGCAAGACCCTGCCCAGACATCTTTAAGTTGCGCGGCGACGACATGAGGCGGCACATCTCATACACTACCACCATTCAGGTAGCATCCCGTCTTTGCTCTGGTCTCGACCGTTCCCGTCTCCGACCAATCTATCTTCACGTTGACCCTCCTTCCAATCTCGATATCTGGACTCCACGGATCTCTGTTGGGATACAGCTCTGTCCTATGGATAGCAGATGACGTTCCAAAGCTTGTCTCCCGTTACCAGAAGTATGTGGCTGCCTACCATGGTAACAAGGACGAAGATCCGGAGCTTCTCACTGATAAAGCATAGATTAAGCACAGCTGTCCACTCCAGAACATAAGAGTGGTCGAGCAGACACTGTCCTCGCAGCTTGTCGCCGCGAGGCCTCCTGGTTGAGGGGGTGAGGCGGCTCGGGCCCGAAAGAGTTTACCTCTGTCATGCGCCGGCAACGCGCCAAGGTAGACGAACTCTTTGAGGAGTCGAGTTTCGATCGTTGCATTGTGTTGCTAATACCACCTCTGTTCTACTTGAGCTGACACTCCTCATCCATCTCCTTCTCTTTCTCTTCTCTCTTGCTGCTGTAGCCAGGCTGGCCTGCTACTTCAAGTCTTATATACACATCATTTTTTGTTTGGCTTTTAGCACTAATTATAATAACCAGATGTTGATAACTTCTTTTTCCCTGCTTGGTATTTCATCTTCTGTTTGTGAGCCACCTTGATGCTATTCCTCACTCATATTCATGACCACGACATCGATGGCATATCAAGCCTGCCCCCTGCATCGAGTTCATGTGTACATCAATCGGCTTCCCCAGAAACCAGAACAGCCTGAGGATGCGGAATGGCACCATTTGCTCTGCCTGGAGGGAGCGAGACACGGGACGGGACGAGAAAAAGTCCTGTGACGATTCGGGGTTCTTTGATCGGAGGAGGCAGCGACGAGGCTGGGCGTACAGATGGCGGGAACCCAGTTCATCTATCCCGGGCAAGTTACCGCACAAGGACTACTACTTATAGCGGCAAAAGCACGGTGATACAGGGCGATGAGACAAACGACGCCACTGGTAATGGAAGGGGGGGCGGTGATAGAGGGAAGGAGACTAATTCAAACGACATGGGGGGTGCCGACAACAACAATGAGGCGGGCGGGAAGACAGGATGCGGCAAGTTCAATATCTTTTGCAGGGGCAACAGAACAAATGGAAAAGGCCGAAACAATAATGGCGACGGTTGGGACAAAGGAGGCGGAAAGGAAAAGGACAGCGGGAATGGCGACGGCAACAGCAGTTCTAGACCTAATAAACCGGAGAGCACCACCATAATATCGCCAACCCCGGGTCCAACGTCGCTTTCGCTGGTTTCCGGACAAACTCAGGCTCCAACTCTGTCTCTCCCGGCAGACCTTTCTCTCAGCTCGATGGAGTCATCTTCACTCAAGGTTTCTCCATCCTTTACAACCAGTTATGTCCCTGAAGCAACCAAACCGAACCAGGCAACGTGGACACCTGAGGTGAGCTTCCATGGCCATCATTCTTACTTTTCAGTCCACTAACAGCAGGAGTAGCTTATTGATCCGGCTACCATGACTGAGCCCATTCCTTCTAATCCTGGGCCAGACAATGTTATATATCCCTCAAAATCCACAAAGGTACAAACTGCGGTCGTAAGCGTCACCAGCGCTTCTCCCATGGGTTCTACTACGAGTCCACCAGACGTACCATCCTCGTCGTCAACGGGCGTTCCAGATGTTCGTCAACAAAGCATTAGTACAGGTAGCAACACGGCCGATCCGCAAAGGGTGGAAAATAATAGAGTTGAAGCTGCTGGAACCACCTTCGATAAGACTGATGAACGCGTTCTCATCTCAGTAGGATCAATTGGTACTCATTCTTGTCAACTCGAAAATCAAAGAGCAATCGCTAACATCTGTCGTAGGTGGTTTTGTCCTGGTTTGCTTTCTGATCTGGATTATTAGGAAAGCAATCAGAAGAGCAGCGCTGCCTCAGTCAAAAGAAACCCGAGGCAAGCGTGGTGGGATATTCTCAGGTCTTTCAGCAAAAACGGCCATTTTCAAGCGAAGAGATTGGCAAAACTTGAATGACAGTTCTAGGGCCTTGAATGAACCATCATCGGTAACAGAGAGGACCAAGACTGTTGCAGATAGCGAGAGTGTCGGAAGCCTCTGCTCGTACGAAAAGGTGAATGAGTTGCTGCCTCAACCACACACGCCGGGTATCGAGATTCAATACCAGCAGCCCAGTCCTGTTCATCAACACTGCGGAAGTCCCTTACCATATGCGACATTTGCAAATTTCGTCTACCCGGCAAATATCGCGGATCCGCGCAACTTGGCACCTGCCGCGATGTACTCTCATCAGGCCGGACAATTCAGCACTTCCTCCAACCGTTCACAGGATGGATCTCTCGGGACGACACTGGTTTCGAACGGAGCAGGAGAAATACAGTATGTCAACCACCTTGATTCGAAGCACCTGATATCACCCTGCAGTCCATTCCAAGGTCCAGGCCAACGCATGAGCGATATGTCCTCGCTCTCATCCGGCTTTGGCGACGGAGAGTTCATCATGCGGGGACAGATTCTCCAGCCACCCCTACCGGCCGCCATAGCCTACCCGTCTTCGCCCACCGGCACTACAAACCGATTCTCTGAATTATCAACGCAGCAAGGAGGAGGTAAAAGGGACACGATGTATACGGAGGCCAGCGAAGACACGCCGGCACGTTTCCGAAGTCTGAATTCGTGGGTTGCTCAGCAAAGCAGCCGTGTCAATCGCGGACAAAAGCGGGACGAGGCTTCATATCTGGCTTCGGTGCCACAACTGCCATGTCAGCCTGGAGTTCCTGGCATCCATAATCCGCTGGTCGAGCAGACGTTTAATTTGATGAGGGATAACGAGAAGCCGCGGCCAGTGGAGGAGATAATCATCCAGATGCGATTATGAGGTGTTATATAGGTTTATATAAAGTGGATTGGTTAAATTTGGCCCCGACTAATGATCCTTGGAGGCGGTTTCTGTTCCGAATAGCTGGGCTGCAATCATTCAGATATCTTGCAGCTGACAACTGAAGTGATTTGGGACTTGATCGCATGGGCATCCTACGGATTCCATGTTAACAGATTTAAGTCAGTACATGAAACTGAATCAGATACTACCGCTGGAAAGAACGCTTTCTCGACGCATTATGAGTGCATCATGACAACTCATTGCCCAACATTCCCATTCATAAGAAGCAAACCGGCGAACAGATCGTCATCGATGAAAGAATTCCGTACGAAGCTTGGCGCATTGTGCTACCTCGTGCCTTTGTCTGCATTTACTACCTCCATAGACGAGTTTCATTGCATGACGGCTCCAGGGCATGCTTCCTCTTGGCTACATGGTTAAGACGGCACGGACGGCATCTTTGTTGTTGTTCTGCAGACAACTCGGGCATCTTTGGATGTCTGGTGTAAGTGAGGTGAGGCTGCCCGTTGGTTCCCCGCTATGATCATTACCAAGTGGCCCATCAAGCACATGGCCAGCCGTAGGGGCTCCAGGGGTACGTAGGGAATGGAGCTGTTAGTGCCCCTGTAGACCCCTGTAGTGTAGAAGCCCCTGAGCAATGGACACCCACTGTATGGACAATGGGTCCCGAGATATGACGTCAACAAGGGCATCAGCCAAGGAGCAACAACAACATGGATGTCGCAGCAGGTTACACTACACTCTTCTTTCCTTGTATGGTTTCCATCGATGTCAGTTGTCGTCAGGGCCGTCTGGATTTAGGTCAAGTTCCGTCTTGTTGATAACAAATTTCGTGGGTTAAAGATCGTTCCTAAAATACAGAAAGCTACCTATATCCACAACCTCTGCGCACAGGAACCTGAACAGAAGCAGAAGCAGAAGAAGCAACGATAAGCCCGAACGACAACTTGAATCATTAGATTACAAAAGATCAACGAGACCACGAAGAACATCTCCTCCAAGAACAACCTGGGGAACTGGTACGGACTGCTAGACGTACACACGACAGTCTACGCCAATCGAACTTCGGAATTGTCGATCTTGTGCCTACCATCTACGCTATTACCTACGAGTACCTACTTTAAACCCATACTGCCACTTGGACTTACATGGCGATACGATCGCCCTTCTACTTGACCCATCATTCACCGCTGCCAACCGTCACCATATCCTCGACAGTGGTATCTGTATAGAGCCCGGCTACATACACACACTTTCTCTCAGCTTCTTCATCCGCAGGATACCCACCACCTCCATAACGAACCATACACGACGACATTACCACAATGGGCGGATCAGCGCATCACGAACCCTTCAAGGCCCTCGGTCCCGTCTCCTGGCCCACCGACCTCGCCGGCCGTCCTGACTCCGACCTACAAGCCCTCCTAACCTTGACCTTCTCCGACGCCCAAACCCTCGTCGACTCGATCCCGATACCACCCAGCGTCGCAGCCGCCCACAAGACCGCCGCCGGTCGCACCCGCTCAGCCACCGACTCGGTCGTAACCAGCCATCACACAACTGGCTCCCACCAGCACCCTCCCAAGCTCTCAGCAGAAGCAGCCGAAACAGCCACCAAGCTGCGCAAAGAGTGGAAGGAGTGCAAGGTTTCCTCCCCGAAAGAGAACCCGCTCGGCATTAACGTGTACAAGCTCTCATCGAAGGACGGAAAGGGCGCCTGGTTCGCTCGGAGGAGCGTCCATAAGGACATGAGCTTTGATAAGTGGAGAGCTGGCTTGGAAAGGGAGTTTGTCGAGAGCATTAAACGGTACCAGGAGAATGGGACGGAGCCGGGGACGGGGAATATTAGAGGTATTGGGGGAGAGAGGAGGATTGAGCGCGTGAGGGTTGGCGCAGGCGGAGGGGAGAGTAATGGCAGACAAGAACAAGAGCAGGGAGCTGGGGTAGAAGGGAAGTTGGAGGTGTTTTGGTGAGCGCCAGATTCCTGGGCCGACTACGCCTAGGGACTTTGTCACTTGTTTGATGATGCCCGGGCATGGGAATGCCCCTTCGAAAAAGGGAGGACCGAGACAGCCGAGACAGTTCATGTTGGTGTCAAGACCTTGCGAACACCCCGATGCGCCGGCTCGGTCGAACTTTATCCGGGGACAGTACGAGTCTGTCGAGGTCATCAGGGAGATTCCGCTGGACAGGCCGTTGAGAAAGACAAAGTCTTCTACGGAACTTAGTAGGGAGGAGTTTCACGAGGTGAAGGATGCGCTGGACCAGGCGGGCGTGGATGATATCAAGAAGGAGGCTGTGCTGCGGTCTGCTAAGCAAGCGTCCGCGGCAGCGGCTGATGGCGCTGATGATCGTGGCAGATCGTCTTTTAAGGGTGATGAGGATGATCAGCAGTTTGCTGTTGAGTGGCTCATGGTGACACGCAGTGATCCCGGAGGCAGCGTGCCTAGGTTCATGGTCGAAAGAGGAACTCCTGGCGGTATAACTAATGATGCCGCGCGTTTCGTGGATTGGCTGTCGACCATGAGTATTGAGGAGCTTACCGGAAGCAGCGATGACGAGGTGCCGGAGAAGACCATCGAGACTGTCCCAACGCCTGGCGCCACTACGACGGCACCAAACCAGATTAAGCGCAAGGAGGTTCCCGTACAACAGAAAAGAGCTCCTGGAGTTGATAAGGTCAACCATGCTCAATCTCCGTTACGGCAGACAGAGGCTGTTGAGGAAGAAACCCCTGCTTCACAGTCGAGTGGCCTCTACGGTATGTTGACCGGCGCTCTCGGTGCAGCAGGCAATGCCGTAGCCAACAAAGTATCCAACTTTGCCGGCACCACCAACGACACGGAAGACGACACCGCTTCACTTGCTTCCTCCACCTCTTCCTCTGACATTGAAAGCGACACCTCATCCATCCGCAGCTTCGTTTCCGCGACAGAAGGAGAAGGTCACGCCGTCAACGCATCCGGTCAATCCGTCGCAGCTAACGGCGTCAACGACGACATTACCAACGATCTCACCAATGCGACATCAATCCGCTCCGACCTCTCTGCCACGGAATCTGCCTCTTCCCTTCAGCCCATCACCACCGGCGAAAACGGCAGCATCCATCTCCCTGACCACTACTCCGCCCGGCGCGAGAAGCATGAAAAGGAACTCCGCAAGCTCGAGGAGCGCCACCGCAAGGCCGAAGAGAAACTGCACCGTCTCCAAGCCAAACAAGCCGCCAAGCGGCGCGAGCAGGAAGAGAAGGGACTCGCCGCCGCCGCAGCCGCCGCCGCCCTTGACGATGACACCGCCTCCAAGCACAGCAAGAGCAGCAAGGCGGCGCATGAGGACGCTCGCCTCGCCAAGTTGCGCGAGAAACACGAGCGCGAGATTGCCAAGCAAGAAGAAAATACCAGCGCGAGCTGACGAGACTGGAACAGCACCGGCTGCGGGAGGAGCGCAAGGCGAAGGAGAAGTTGAGGAAGGCGGCCGAAAAAGAAGAAAAGGCGAACGTGTTGAGGGAGATGGAGAAGGTGAAAGCCGAGAGGGACCTGGCGCTGAGGCAGATGGAGATGCTTAGAGAGCAGGTGGGCGAGTTGCAGAGGCAGAACACCATGCTGGCGGCCAGGTTGGGCAAGTATGAGGGGCCTGCGGCTGGAAGTGAAGCCGCCGTTGTAGGAGAAAGTCAAGCTCCAGTGGTTAAGAACGGCAACGGCGTTGTAGGGGCGTAGGGTGAAACAACAACAGCAGTACCTCGCTGGTCGAGGAGAGGAAGTATTTCGGGTAGAGGAAGCAGTTCAGGGAGAGGTGGGAGAGGAGGGATCGTTAGGATGGGGATGATGAAGAGGAGGATGACGGGTTGATGAAATGGTGGTTGGTTTTTTATGAATGGTTTATGAGCATACGAGGAGGGTATACCTCTTCTTGGTTGCAGTAATGATTATTGCTAGTCACGATTGTTGTTACCTGAGATATCAGTTTCTTGTTGTTGCAAGACGGTCCTTTTTGTGCTAGGCAATGCTATCAGCGTTACGTTATCAAGAGAATACACCGGATATCAACATCTCTTCAACCCCTGGTATTATGTATGAATTGCACCGCAAGTGAGGTAAACGCAAGTCGATACCAGCTCAAAGAGAAAAAAACGACGGCAACAACGAAACTTCCTTCCAAAGCACATTTCCCTAAAGTATTATCATCATCTTATCCAAGTCATCACACCCATACATATCATATCATACAAAAATTATCCAAGAACCTCGCGCGGGTATCTCCAACTTCATATCGTAACTCTTCCGCATACCTCCCCTCCTCCTTTGTCCTCCCTCTCTTAGTTTAGTACCCTCTTTCAGATCTTCTTCCCAAACTCCCCAACCACCCCCCTCGCAATCCAATCCGCAATCGCCATATTGGTGATCATGGGATTCACCCCGCTCGCGCTCGGAAAGACACTAGCATCCGCCACATACAGTCCCTCGGTGCCCCAGACCTTGCCCTTGGGGTCCACCACCCCATTTTCCGGCGTGCTACTCATCCGGCACGTACCCATCTGATGGGCGGACGTATAAGGTGGGTAAGGCGGGGCGTTGCCTCTTTCTCGGAGAGTCTTTAGCCAGGACTCGAAGAGGGGGTCTTTGACGCCTTTGTCGTAATCTTCTTCACTAGCAGGCTGCTCTGAGGTTGAGGTGGTGGTGGTGGGAGAAGATCGAACAAAAGGTTCCACGCCCGGTAAGTAAAGCGTCGATTTCCGTGGCACCGGAGACATAAGCGATTTTTGCGAGGGCGATGAGGCCTTCGAGAATGTGGGCCGCGTCGAAGGGGGAGACGGTGTACTCGATGCTGGGCTTGCCTGTAATCGGGTCGGCGTAGACTCGGCCAGTGTCACGGTCGCGCGCGAGGGAGATCCAGGCGTTTAGGTGTCGGTAGCGCAGGCAGGCGAGCTTGTAGGCGAGGGCGCCGCGCCAGGGGAGTTGGGTAAGGATTGCGTAGGGCTGGTGTGTTGCGTTATGCGTTAGTAAGACGAGAGATAATAACTAGGAGGAGGACGAGGACGAGGACGAGGACACATACAAGCATGCATGTGCCTTCTAGCTTTACGCCGTGGCCTTGGCCGTCGAGGTTCTCGAAAGCGGTACAGACGCTGGTGATGATGCCACCTGGATTGTCGTAGTTATTGCGGTTAGTGATGTGACATGTTGTAAGTGTGAGACCAAGCTGGAGACAAGACTTACCTTCCCAGGGTTTAACATCATCCTCGTAGTAGGCGCCGAGGAAGTTGACAGGATGAAGATATAGGTTGCGGCCAATGTGTCGGCTCTGTCCAGATGTCAGTATTACCATAACGTTTCTCGCTGCCATGAAATACCAGTAGTGAGCACTCACATTCAACCCGCTCTTCTGAAGAATCAAAGGACTGTTGAGAGTTCCAGCAGCAACGATGACCTTCTTCGCCTTGATGATAACCTTCCTCGTCTTCTGTTCCCCCGTCACTCCCCCCTTGGTATCCCTCGCAGTCCACGTCCCCTCCACGCCCACCGCCCTTCTCTTATTGTTGTTACCACCAAAGCCGAACCACGACAACGAAGACTCAGACTCATCCCACAAAATCCTATCCGCCGAAAAGCCCTCCATAAAGGTAGCCCCCCTCTTCGCCGCCGCCGGCAACCAACTAACTGCCGGCCCCTGCTTCTCCGCGCTAGCGCATCCCAAATGGCAATGTCCACACCAGTGTTCCTTCCCGCCGCTATTCTGTGGACACACCTGCGCCGCGTAGCCCAGCTTCCTGGATCCATCCAGCAGCTTCTGGCCCCGATAACTCTGTCTCACATCATCCCCACCAACCACGCCCATGAACTCGCACACGCGGTCCAGGCAAGTTTGGTACTCGCCCGACTCGAAAAACGGCAAGCCGTGCTGCTCCGACCATTCTTTGCGCACGTACCCCTGCGTCTGCAAACTGACGCTCCAGTTGATACTCCCGCCGCCCCCCCAGCACGAGCCCGCTACGACGTTGATGGAGCTATCGACGCTGTTCACGAACCCGTTGTTCTCGAATAGATGGAACCCGCCCTGGTCGCGCGGCATGGGTAGCTGGGACGGATCAAAGTAGTAGCCCTTTTCCACAACAAGCACGCGGTGGCCCGCTTCGGCGAGGACTTTCGCGCACACGCCGCCGCCGCAGCCGGAGCCGATGATGACGACGTCGGTTTCGACGGTGGCGGGCTCGTTGACGGAGGTGTCGAATTGCAAGAATCCAAAGCCTTCGGTACGGCCGGGGTTCCAGTTGACGGGCACGTCGGGGAAGCCGGTGACGGTGCGGAAAAGGGGGCTGGTTTGCAGCCAGATTACTTTGGCGATGACGGTGAAAGTCTTGAAGAGGACGCGGGGAGTGCCGAACCAGGAGGTGGCCCAGCTGCGGAGGATGGATTCCCGGATGTGGAGGGGCTGGTCTTGAATTGGGGTTGCATAGCCGGTTAGGAGGAGGCTGCCGGGGCGTGTCCTACGGTTGGGGGTTAGATCTCATGGCTTGTCTTGTTTTGTTTACATTGGGATTCAAGGAAAGGGGTAGTCCGGGGCAACGCTTGTACAGATCCTGTGTAACCTGATTGGTGGTAGCTTACGAGAGAGCGTATAAGACGGCACCGAGCTGATTCCGGGCCGATGCGGGGACGGTGCTGAGAGTCCGGCGCATGGCACAGCAAAAGGCCGGGTCATCGGATGCACGTTCGGCTAGATAAGCCGTGATGTCCTCAACCGCGGGTTTCTTTACCACGCTGGCCTGGGCATTGGTGACAATCTCCTTGAACTCGGCATCGGCAAGGCCGAGCTGGGTCTTATCATCTTTCTTATTTGAGACTGCTGTGATGGAAGGGATAGTAGCGTCCAGCAGGGACATGAGCACGGTCCATTGCGTCTCGGTATAGTAATCTCCATGTCCGGGCGGCAGCGGCGGGAGCCCGGGCGGAGTGGGACCGGATACGGAAGAGGCCATTTTTGGAGTCGCGGGTTTGGAATGCGATGTCGGATTTCGCGATCAAGATGCACCTGAGTTGCGGCGACACACCAGGCTAGACGAGATGAAGTTGCGAATAGTGTCAAACGTGCATTCTCAACAAACATGAAGCTTAATTCTCACTCTCGTCCCCTCTCTTTCACCCCTCATCTGATCCGGCCTCATTGACACATGGCTATCCAAGACGGGAAGAGTGTCCGTGCACACCTCGGTAAAAACTGAGGTGAATCAGCGTTCTCACACTGAGACTCTTGTGGGCGTCGTCGCCAAGGCTGGGTATAAGTCCAAGTCCATCTTGGGCATAGCGACAGAGTTTCTTTTGCTAGAAATGGACTTTTGGTAAAGATAGCAGAGGCAAAATGCTAGCATTGCCAATGCAGAAAAAGACCTTGAATTCATGACGTCTGTCCCACCTCCTCTTTTCGCTTGGACGGCCATTGTTACCGGAAGCAGCTATCACCATTTTTTGTTGAACGGCGATCAACGTTCCGTGAAGTGTAGTTTGCAGTAGAAGATATGTACCTTGGATGCACAGGACGACACATTGGTACGCCCAAATGGCTCACCTTGCAGAAGTTGCAGGAACCATATGATTCTGCACTCCAGATCTTCTTCATGGCTCAATATCCTTGTGATACCCACGCGGGAACGGGAGTGAGCACTGCCACAACGGAAACGCGGGGGAAGTGGACGTTGTTCTGGAGAAAGCTGGCGATCAAAGGCGTGGGCGGCGTGGGCGTGTGGGCGTTTGAGAGCACCTTTGGCGTTGGATCCATGTTCCTCTTTCACGTGCTTGTCGAACTGTCGAACTTGTTGACTTTTTGGCTCGTCTGGGGAACCCTCACGATCCCTTTTCTCACTCTCTCTCTTGACGACAAACCATGGCTGACGTTGTGGGAGGCGACAGTTGCAATGGAAGAGTCGCAGCGAAGGCTCAATTGTGTTTGTAGTGGACGGTGTCATTCAACAGAACCCATTTTGATGCCAAGAATTGCGGCGTGCTGCAAGGCAAGGCACAAGCGGCAGGTACGTACCTTCCGCCCTGCGACACCCTACTGTGTACTACAGACGCGGAAGGACGCGCAGGGTTACAGTGCATGAAAATGCGCAAGCTCTTTCCAACTGTTGGGGAGATGTGGATCAAATGGCGGGTAACAAGGCTGCCTTTTCTGATATTTTTGTTGAATTTGTAGCCCTAGAGATTCTCAAGCGCCTAGAACCGCACCCTGACAGCCGTAAACCGCGTTCTCTTCGAGCCTTTTGAGTGCGATAACTTTATACAAAGTGGACCTCCTTTTCCGACGAGCCTCGGGATAATGGATTCTTTGCCTTCGGATGCCACCAATTAGAGCTTCAAGGTTATAGGCTCCCTGTCCTGAGCTTTCACATGCAAAGTTTGTGGCACGAGACCAATTTGGCTCAGAGAAAGTTGAAAGCCCGGGGTCAACTTGATCGGACGAACCAAACCGTTCGGAGATTTCGAGCGGGAACGCCAAGAGTCCGTCGGCACGCCTGGGTCGCAAAATGCCATCTCATCCGATTTTCCAAACTGACATCACCGTCCGACTGTTTGGCGGCGACGGGATCTCCATGACTGCCCACGACCGCCGCTTGAACGCATCGACGTTCGGTTTCGCTCTGCCAAGACAACCCAAGACGCCAAAACTTCACGTCCGCCACCGAGCGATCCGATACCGTCAAACATGTCAATCTTTCCAGGTTCAGTTGCTGTCGAAGTGATTGGCTTTCTCGACAACACTGCAACACTGCTTCAACGCCTGACAGCCGGCTTTATTGGATGATGGAAACCGGATGATGGCACGTCAATGACAACCTAGCACCTCCTACCTTGGCAGATACTGGTTGGGCAGGTGCCAAGATAGCGACAACCGCCCGCCCGCCTCTTTTGCTGCGCTTCTGTCGTTGTGCTTCTGTTCCATGCCGCTGCCGCTGCCTCCCCGCGGCTCCCGATATGGTCGCCGAGTTCGTCGCAATGTTCGATTGCCCAGGATCACCCATTTTGTTAATAACTCAGCTGGGTAGGGAAAGTGAAGGTGGTGAGCCAATGAAAACCCTCAATGAGTCCTTCTCCTTCTGTTTATGGTAAAATATGGGTCGGCCGAGGCTGACCTTGGCTTACATCCGCTGTCTTGTACTGCCAAGGTACCGATACCTGAAAGCCATGAACTCGCGGAGTCGCGATAAACTCGGTGCATGAGTGGACCTCTTGGCCAGCGGCGAAAGATGTGGGAGAGCAACGCCGTCGATGCTGGAAAATACTGGCAAGCAAAATGTTGACATGTCCTGCATGTCTAACATGTTGGCTGAAATGCTTTGCACACATCTTCCTACTAACCTCTTTGATTGCCTAATTTGCCTCCATGGAAGCTCTATGGAAGTCTGCTGGAAAATGCATTTGTCTTTACCCACCCCATGTACCTATCTAGGTTACGTACCTTGGGTTCTGGGTGGAACCCTTGGAAAAGTTAACCTTCTGAACTGGGAAGTCTCATTCCTCATGGCTCGCCAGTACAGTAATGGCAAGCGCTCTGGTGTTATCGGTGCAGTCATGCTATGAGCGAGAAATTGTGGTGGTGATGGCGTGAGGTGCCTTCTTTGCAAGGTGCCTGTGGACGGACAATGCCCCCGGATGGTCTTGCCATGCGAGCCCAGTGCTGACAAAAGAAGAAAGAAAGAAGCCAACGACGGTCCAGCCTGCCTCGCCTGCCTCCTGCCATGGATGAGATGCACTCGCCCAATTTCCGCCTTGGTTTCTGCCCGTATCTGCGAGGTGCCCAGTGCCTTATCGATCCTGCTCGTCTCTCACTGCCCTCTTCGACCCTTTGTAATCCAAATCTCATGCAGTCATGATGTTGAGGGCATATGGCCTATCTGAGATGGCACATCTCTGGCTGCTGATATTCTACTACTTAGTCGTCCTCTCCTCCACCAAACACTCGGTCGTTATACTCCGGTCCAAAGTCCACTTGACTGGCCCATCCTGCCCACAACGTTTGCAAACCTGTATTTGACCACGCTCGTCTTTGCTCCCGTTCCGAGCCGATCCGACGCCGGCAGCATCTTCACCCACCCGGCGAACAGACGGTCATCAAATTGACCAGAGGCCTAGACAATCCGACCCCGGTATCCAGTGTCGCCGTCCACGGCCGTCCATCGGGCCAATTGCCGACGTCCACCATACCCCTGCAACCCACCGCAGTACGTACCCAAAGGTACCCAGAAGTACCCAGTACCTTGCTAGTGTGACGCAGAGATTGGACGATCCCGAAAGCGTTGGGGATCCTCTTATACGGAAAGTTTGTTTAAAAGTCGACAAAAGACGCAAGAGCAAAATCTCGTAGACGTCCAGCTCTCTCTCCCGGTTCTCTTTCAACACCATCCTTCACCGAATTCAACTCGATTTAGGTTGCACCAGGAGTCACAATGGCGTCCGTCTCCTTCTCCTTGCCCCAGGCAGCCCTCTTCAAGTTCCCGCCCGCCACCAACCCGGGCTTCGTCCCCCCTCCTCCGGTCGGCCCCAACTCCGCGACCGTCTTCAACATCCCCGATGATGTTTACTACGCCTGGTTGGACCCCAAGGTCCCTCTGACCATCGCTACCGTCTACGCCGTTACCGCCAAGCTCCTCAACATCTACAACAAGTCTACCGGCAAGAAGCCCTGGGCTATCAGCAAGACCAGGCCTTTCCACTGGTTTGTCATTGCCCACAATGTCTTCCTCGCCGTCTACTCCGCCTGGACCTTCATCGGCATGCTCGGTGCCGTCCACCGCTCTTTCGTGAGCCCCTTCGGTCCTGAAGGTCTCGCTGGTTTCGTCGACTCCGTCTGCCGCATCAACGGTCCCGCTGGTCTCAGCAACTCCGTCTTCTACAGCGATGAGGCCGGTGCTTTCCAGACCTACTCTCCCCACGTCACCCTCGGTGCCGATGGCAACCCCAGCCGCTTCGACTCTGGCCGTCTCTGGAACGAGGGTCTTGCCTTCTACGGCTGGATCTTCTACCTCTCCAAGTTCTACGAGGTCCTTGATACCCTCATCATCCTCGCCAAGGGCAAGCTCAGCTCCACTCTCCAGACCTACCACCACGCCGGTGCTATGCTCTGCATGTGGGCTGGTATGCGTTACATGTCCACTCCTATCTGGGTCTTCTGCTTCGTCAACTCCTTCATCCACGCTCTGATGGTAAGTTCAAAGCCAATACTCGCTTTCTAAGCATGCACAAAAGCTAATAGTTCTCCAGTACACTTACTACACCGTTACTGCCCTCAACATCCGCGTCCCTACCCCCATCAAGCGTTCCCTCACCACCATGCAGATCACCCAGTTCCTTGTCGGTGCCTCCTACGCCATCGTCCATTCCTTCGTCTCCTACACCATCCCCGTTGTTGTCGCCAACCCCGAGAAGACTGCTTCCGCTGCCGAGGCCGCCAGCACCGTCGTCGATAGCCAGAAGGTTCTTGTCTTCGGCAACGCTACTCGTGTCGACGCCGCCGATGCCACTTATGGCCAGCGCGTTGTCCCCTGCGTCACCAACAACAACTCTACCTTCGCCATCTGGCTCAACGTCTTCTACCTTGCCCCTCTCACCTACCTCTTCGTCTCTTTCTTCATTGAGAGCTACACCCGCCGCAGCAACGCTGCTGAGAAGGCCAAGAACGCCAAGCCCGTCGACAACGTCGCCATGGCTGAGAAGGCTGGCTGGGAGGCTGCCAAGAAGATGGAGGGTGAGGTTTATGGCGAGACCAAGGAGGACTCTGAGGCTCGCACCACCCGCTCCGGCTCCAAGCGCACCCTTCGTCAGCGCGCTTAAGTGTCTCCTGACCACGATTTGTCGTCAGTCCCATAACTTCCATTATGAATGGGGGTTATGACGCGTTACAGGTCCGGTCCTAATCCGGACCTGGCGATAACCCCAAGAGATCAGATGATGTCAGCTCTCATCTGGTCTCTTCTTCCCTCGCTGCATGGTCTCTGTGATGAGCCAACAAAGGAGGTGAAGCAAACAAAAAATACCCTGACATACAGAGATACCCGATTCTCTGCACCGCGCCCACGCCTCTGGTCTGTGGGTAAACACCTGTATTTCTAAAGGCGGTTGCAGATTATCTCAAGCCAAGAGCAGTGCCACTTGGCCGTTCGAGGTTGTTCGAAGATAGAAAACAAGAAAATTTGTGGTTCTCTGAAACGAGAGATGATTAACGTTGATTGGGTTTTATTAGCATATGGAAAGAGAAAAAGGGAATGGAACTAGCATGGGACGGGTATTTTGCTTGGGTTATTGGCATATCGTTATTTCATCAGCATATTTTGGTACTTCATAGAATAGAACTATTCATGGTCCAACTTCAAACTCTTGCATTTCTGTGAAGCTCTTTCCTACCGAGTGATATCCTGTCGATGATGTCTGATCATGCTCTGATGACGGACATTCTTCCAATATGGTCAAGGCTAACGGCGTGTAGGCGTCAACGTTGCCATTCCACTTTGGTCCAGCATAGTAATACAGGCACCCTTGAAAGGCCTGGCTGTGTTCAATGTCACGACAATGGCGCAAAGCAATACCTATACCTAACGGAGTACTAGCTGCAGTATTCTTGCCCAATACTTGAAAGAATTGTGAAACCAACTGCCCCCACGCCTTCCCAAGTTCTGCATTCCAGTCTTCTACCTCTAGAAGTACCTACCTTAAATATCGGGCCAAGCTACCGTCACATCTGCAAGTGTTTGACTAACAATCTTCCAAGCCCTATTACTCCTGCAGTGTCGCCCACAAAAATGGGCAAGTTGCCATCATTGGTAACTAACTAACTGTCAACACAAAGAAATGAAGAAGTATGTGCTCCTCATATTCTCGTCGAATTGTATGGTGGTAGTGGAGTGAAGGGAAGGTTGATGACATGTGTTGATAACGTCTGTCTTGTTTTAATTTGTGCTTACGGAGTGACTGTATTTCACACCTAACCATCAGATGGAAGAGGTAAATGTCTGTTCCCCCTTAGAGAAACTCGAGCGAAGTAGATATATGTTCATAAACAAACCTCGGGTTAAAACTCAGAGTGGCTTATAGTAGGAGGCAGGGAGGTGAAATAACTTCCTGGGTAGCACTTTTCCTTTCTCTTTTTCTCTACACTTCTCTCTTCACTTCTCTCTTCACTTCTCTCTTCACTTCTCTCTTCACTTCTCTCTTCACTTCTCTCTTCACTTCTCTCTTCACTTCTCTCTTCACTTCTCTCTTCACTTCTCTTGATTGCTTCCCTCCCTCCCTTGCTCACTTGTTCCATTACCCGCATCTCAACTCTTAACTCTCCTATCATACTCTCTCAGCAAGGCTTGAGGTAGGTATCAACCTCTTAATGTAGCAGGAATGTTACAGCAGAAATGCCTGCCTGTTTGCAACCTGTTATCCCCCCCCTCCCCCCCCCCCCCCTCCCCCCCCCCCCCCCCCCCCCCCTTTTAACCCCACCAATGTCTAGATGGCTGGACAAGAGGAAAAGTCAGTAGGTGAGTAAATAAGTCAGTCAGTCAGCCAACTGTTGTAAGATCAGCTTTGCCGCCTCTAGCTCTTGAGTGTTTGATATATTAAGGCAAATGGGGACAAGTTAAATGACAAGTAGGTCTCATTTCGCGACGCCAAGATATTCCTAGAAATCTGCCTCATTATGATCATCATCAGCAGTCCGGGCAGTGCACAGGAGTACCATGTACCCCCAGGGCTTGCAACTTGCAAGGGAGACAACTGCAGTGCAGTCCCTGTTTGTCTATCTAAACCATACAGTAAAAAGTACTGCAGTAGGTGTGATGAAAAGGCACAGCTATGATGAGCCCGTAACGGGAGCGGGACCGAATAACGCCGGGAGGGATCCGAGTTTCGACTTCCGAATCCCGCCTCAAGTCCCGAGGCGGCCCGACGATGTCATCCCCCAACATGGACGCCGTCCGTCCAAGTGTCCAGGTCCAGAGTGTCGGAAGACATGCTGCTGCTGCAGGACGCCATGAACGCAGGTACGCACGCCAGCAATGCCACTCTGTGATGTGTGACGCACATATGTACCTCCACGCATGTTCCATCTTGCATTAACTTAAGTGGCCTTTGCCAGCGGGACCGAGAGGTTCATGGAGGATGAGACAAGGGTGGGAGCGTGGGGAGTGGTGACTACAGCCCGTTATGGATGGAAGAACTGCTTTTGAGATTAGACACTCGTCCAATACTCTACGGACTATCATGTCTAGGTAGAATGAACCACTTTACCCGGACTACTCGTGAGGAACGGACTAGACAATGATACCTAGGTACTTGCCGGTATGCTCATCCTTCAATGACCATGACCTAAACATCCCAGGAAAGGAAAACCATGGGGACTACTGGTTTACTGGAGAGTACAACAGCAACGGGACTACAGAAAGGGAGAACTGATTGTAACCCATCTGATTAAGACGCGCTCGAGTTCTTGTAAAACTTCTCTCATCTGACACATTGACTGGTATATCCTCCTTCTACATGACTCAGACATGAATGCCGACACACAATGCGGGAGAAAGTGGGAACGAAACACTGATCTGAGCAACGAACCGGACAAGTCTCCGGTTCTCCATCCTTTCTCATTTGAGTCCCATGTTGTTGTAAATGTACACATCTTCTAATAACGCCTGTAAACTGTCCTGTAGCAATGTCTCTTTGAACCAGCGAAAAAAGAAGAAAAAAAGAAGAAAAAATAGTAAAAGCTGAAACAATCGCAAACATGATGCAGATCTCAACAGAAAAACAACACCGCGAATGCCGAGTATAGGGGTCCTTCTTCGGACATGCTTATACGAAAACAGTAAACATTCCGTCGGCAGCGCCAATTATGCAAATTTGCAAATCAGTGGGTTGGGCTAGCTAGAGGCTGGCCCCCCTTCTCAAACAGAAACAGCAGAGAACAACAGCTCTCAAACTCCATCAAGAACTCCAACAAATACAGAGCAGCAAGCAACAAAGATCATTTGTTGTCACAAACGTTGCTGTCGTTGTCATCGTATGACGAGGTAATATTGGTTCCTCGCCCGCGTGCTCTGAATCTGATCCCATGACCAGATCGGACTGTCCATCACCAAAAAGCCAAATCGGCGGAACTCCACTTGGGAGGAGTGGTAGGGATTGACAGCGTCGAGGTAAAGGAAGTGGAGTCTTGAGCGGGACGACGTGGAACCTCCCACTCCCCTCCCTACCCCGGCGTGGAGCGAGCGAGCGGCCTCAATGATGCGGGTCCGAAGCTGCAAGTCGCGAGTCGTGTGTCCTGCGCTCGACGAAAAGCCCACCGAAATGCCGCGCAAGCAAACCCTGGCAATTCGTTGTGTGTATGGCCAAAGGGTGAATGCAGGCAAAAGGAGTCAACTCCGTTGCCAATGCGGCGACTTTGTTGTTGTGATGCGCAAGCCTCTCTCTTTCGGGCGGTTTGCGAGGCCTAAAGCCAGGAGGTCGTGATAAAACTGAAGCAAGCCGAAAAGCAGACGCTCAATCCCGCGATGTTTGGGATTCTATGCCGTGTAGATCAGAACGAACGTCTAAAATGTCCATCTGAAGCAATGCAACCCATCAATTCCACCTCATTGTGCCATATTAGGTGCGTAACATGTTGAACGTATAATGGTTTCGTCCAATCTTGTGCCATGTTGGTCGTAAAAAGTGTTGCTCGTTGTCGTCGCCGTTGCCGGATGGGAGGATCCACTCAACTCCGCGTCTCCGGTGCGATTCGACCAGACCAGTAAATGCACATGTGCTTTGCGTGATCGTTCCGGGCGCTAGCAATCCAGCTGGATCGCATGGTGCAAAAAGAACAGGTCTCTTCTCTAGCCAGGAGACCTGTGTAGACAATGACTTTAGCAAAGGCCGATCAAGCCTTCAGAATGTGCTCCAGTTCCAGTCCCTAGGGACGCTGTGGGCCACTTCGGGCATGCTCGGCAAGCTTAGATTGAATCCCATCTTGATCCCCGTGGGGGTGGTGGGAGAAGCGAGAACCGGGCTGCCCGGCTCAGAATTGGTCAAGTTGCCATCACCCGAGGTAGAGGAACCGCTGGTAGACGACTGGCTGTTGGCCCGGCTTCGCCACTCCTTAAATTGGGAATAGCAATGCTGGCAGGCGCGGCTCGGAGTTCCCCGGGGGTTGTAGTTCGCATCTTGGTCCAAGGGGATCTCGAATGCGCTGTGGATGTCGCAAAAGATGTTTCCGCATCTGCGACAATGGTGGCGGCGGGTGAAGTAGTTGAAGTTCTTCTTGCACCTGGCATCATCGCATACCGTAGACTCTGCGTCGGGCTGTATAGTGAAGATGTGTCAGTTCATGCACCCTGTGTCACTCCAAAACACACAAAAAGCCACAGAAAAGTGAGACATGCCAGGGCAAATGGGGAAAACGTACCTTCCAGTGCTGCCGCGTCGGCATCCCAGTCGGCTTGGGATAATGATCCAGATTCACGTTGGGGTCGATGCACATGCCGCTGTCTCCGGTGTTTCTCCTGCTCAGCCGCCCCAAAGCGCCCAGTCCGATGTAGCTGGTGTTTGGCTTCAGTTTCGGCTCCTCGACGATCTCCTCGTCTTTAGAGCTGGGCCTCGATGTCGGCGGCTTAGATGCGTATTGGTTCGGCCTGAGGGCCGCCGGCATATACAGCGGGCGGATTTGACGGGTGAGGGTCTTTGGGGAGGTTGGCGAAGCATTGCCAGATGTGCTAAGGGGCGAGATCTGCTGACTGTTGCCGTTGCCGCCGTACTGGGCCGATGGCTGATAAGGAGCACCAGTGCTCACTTGCTGAGGCGGCGGCTGTTGGCGATTCATATTGGGGTTATTGTGAAAGCCACGATACGTTTGCTGGAAACCTGAATGGGGCTGTTGCTGCTGGTTGGGGAACCGAGGCATCACGAAGTCGGTAGCCATTACTGTGGCGGTGGGCTGATGGGGCGGTGATGTGTTCCGATTTCGCAGAACAGCAGGTCGAATAATGTGTGGTTGTTGATAGCTCCAGGCCAAACAACTTGGAGCGCGGGAAAGGACGGATGGTGCGCGCGGCTTGTTGAATCGTGGTAGTAGACAGAAGGGAAAGTCGCGAGAGACGAAGTTGAAGACGTCTCAGGAGGGATCGAAGGCTGATGTGAAGAAGCTTATCGCTTTGAAGTATATAAGGATGGGCGAAGTTGAAGATACGTTAAGGTGAGGTTGAGGTAACTTTGATAAGATGATAGTGGTCGGAAATTAAACGGCAGGCATTCGTAGATAAGACGGTGAGAGTGAGAGCTGGTCACGGTTGACGTTCAACCTCGTTTGGTTGATGCGTCAATGATATAGCCTTGAGGGGTCCGTGTGTGTCCAAACTCGGAGTTATGTACGCGGCTTGCACATGGGCATAAAGGGCAAGTTTAGGGAATGAGGGTGAGAGGCAAAGAAGTAGAGGTAATATGTATGGTAATGTAGGAGGAAGCACCGAGTGCGGTGGGAGGCTTGGGAGGGAGCGGATAGGTAGGTAGGTAGAGAGAGGTAAGGTAGGTAGGTATAAGAGCCGAAGTTACGTTTGTAAGACCGAACGGAGGGACGGACGGATGATGAGTCGAAGAAGTAAGGTACCGCCAGCTATACGGGACAGATACCCAGGGAGATATCTGGAGTCTGGCCGTCAAAAGAAGACAGATACTCTGCAGCAATAGTCCATATGTATAGAACACGGATGCACCATGACTATTATCGCTTTCCAATACCCAACAGGTGGATACCTCAAATTGCCTGTCAAGACAAGTCCGCAAGTCTGGCCGATGGCAGACCGCATCGATGGGGATCTGGCAGGGAGCGCTCACCAGTGTGGACAAGGCTCGAGAAGCTGACCAGGGGGACGAGGTCGTGTCGGGAAGGTCCTCTTCGTCCTTCGACGGAGCACGGGAAGACGAGTGAGAGCCAAGCGGGCCAAGAGCGAACGATGGTTCCTGTCCAGGTTACGTACCCGGCAAGACGTTGCACCCTGGACTTGCCTTTACAACCAATGGGATTGGCTCGGCCCTGGTCTGCAGCAGCGTATCCACCCACCCACTGCAAAGAGTCCATCCAGTGTCCACTGCGCTTTCGTCGCCGTCCCAACGTCCCCAGCATCCCGTTCTCTCTTGCTCACAAGCGAACAGCACCGCGACGGCAGAGTGAGATCGCTGGGGAAAGAATGGCAGAGAGCCACTACTCGTGAGACTTGTCCTAATCGGTGCAAAGAGCGGTGGAGCACCATCGGGGCGTTAACTCTGGTGTGGAAGGAGGAACGCTCATCCGCTAGAGGCCATCTCACGGAAAACCCTGTCTCCTGCTTGAATCCGTTGCAGGCCTCGCTTTCCGCTTTCAGCCATCTCCTCGTCGTTACATACACTACAGATGTTGAGATGGAGGCATGCGGTTCCGTCGAGTTTGAACTTGGTAGGTCTAGTGCCTCAGCTTCATCCTTCTGACATCTCAGAGATATGTACAGGAGCAGAGTTTCATTATTTGGTGAAAGATGTACCAGCTCGCAGGTAACCGGTTCCATGGTAGCATGGGAACATTGTGTAACCATGAATGATGTGTACCCCAAAGGTTTCGAGTTACGATAAGAAATTATGGGAATCCATGGGGGTGTAATATCCGGGCCTGGTTGATGATGATCAATGACATTTCATGTTCTTTCGTCTGACTTGTAGGAGCTTTGCTCCGTAAGATCACATACATTGCTAACATGTAGTGAGATCTTGGACCTCATAGAGACGATATGATATTGACGTCTATGATCCCTTCTAGACTCGGAGTAAAGTGCCTGTCTTGGAGCATACAAACTCGCTTTGCGTGTGAACATGGCAGAGGCTCTATAACTTCACGAACCCTCGTTATAAGCATGTGCCGTCTTTTGTTGGTTATGTTTGTATTTTGAACCTAGTTACCTTTCCGCATCCTCGGTTGATCTTCTTGAAACCATTGTTTGAAGGTCCAGGTAATCCATACTCATGACAAGGGCGAGAAGTATGTTTTAGGCTCTGGGTGGTCGTCCTTGTCATTGCACGTGTCAATCATCATGGTTGAACAAAGCAATGAGAAGGACACGGAGATGCAAGAAGTTAGGACAAGGTCTGCCTATCATTAGGTCGTGGTCACTTACAGGCCTGTAGGCACTAACATGCACTAGCGGGGCGGTGTTTGGCCGACGCCCGCCTGACTGTGCTTCCAGCCCAGGATGTCGATGGCCCGGCTCAACAAGATGGAAGCGGGCGGCTGTGGTTGGCTTCAACACATCGCCATTCAACCTCGAACGACACGGCTTCAGTCCAACGATACTCCATCGCATCGCCATCGCCGCCATCAACCGCGCGTCATCTACCATCAAATCCTCCCCCCTAATCCATCGAAAATCTTCGACCCCGAACCACGACAGATATAGCGACGCGCTTCTTTGACCGAGCTATTGCAACCCGTAGCCTAATCTAACGACGTACCCCACGATTCGCTAATTCCAGACCTCATTCCTCCTCACGCTGTCACGTCGCCCTTGTTTGACCATCGCGAAACATCAACATCATCTTGGGCCATAAAAAAACGTCAACTTCGAGTTTCGTTTGCTTTGCGCCAAACCCCTGAAACAGGACCATCACAAATCCTCGGGAACATTTCAGTACCGCCACCATGAAGCTCTACTACATCGGTGTAAGATACGGCTGTCTTTGGGGGAAAAAGGCACCTGCTGACTGGGAACAAGATCTACAAAAACACCGAGCAGCCCGCGGTGCAGCTCTGCGGTGCTCATGAGCTTAGCGACTTCTCTAGATTCACACGAGACCAATACAAGAACTTCATGACCATGATTAGCAGGACCGTCGCAGAGAGGACGAAGCCTGGCCAGAGGCAAAGTGTTGAGGAACAAGGTGCGTCTAGGGTCAGCTTCCTGCTCGTGTAGATACGCCTAGCTGACTAGATTGTGTTCGAACAGACTACCTTATCCACGCCTATGCCCGCTCCGAGGGTGTCTGCGGTGTCGTCATCACCAAGGACTACCCTCCTATCGCCGCCCACAGTGTCCTCTCCAAGCTCATGGACCAGTTCCTCTCGGAGAAGCCGATCGCCACGATAAACGCCGCGAAGAATGATGGCGACATCCCTTTCCCGGCCATCGAGCAGTACCTCCGCGACTACCAGGATGCCAACAATGCGAGCAGCATCGCCAAGATCCAGCAGGAGCTCGATGAGACCAAGATTGTTTTACACAAGGCCATTGATAGCGTATGTCCATATACGGGAGGTAGCATTGCTCTATAAACTGCTAACAGATGTATAGGTTCTCCAAAGAGGTGAAAAGCTTGACGACCTGGTTGCCAAGAGTTCCGACTTGAGTGCGCAGAGCAAGATGTTCTACCAGAGCGCGAAGAAGCAAAACTCGTGCTGTCTGGTTATGTAAAGGTCATCTTCCGCATCCAACCGCCCGCGGCTGTCTTGGCTTCTAGTCAGCCGCACGATATATACCATCCACCACGACGTCTCCTCATATCGAAATACAAAGCAGCGCTTGGCCTTTCGTCTCGTCCGAGGCGTAGGCAGTGTCTCATCTAATTCTGTTATTGGTTTCCGCGAAGGTTGCAGTCTTGGCAATGACAACCTAAGGCTTTGCTGTAGCCGGTTTGGACATATGAAAGCCGCTCACCTTGTCGGCTTCTTGGGCTTTTAGTATGCTAAACATCTGATTAAACCCGCAATATACCCTTCCTCATGTCCATACATGTGTGGCACATACCAAAACGTAGTAATGAAAACAAGTACGCGTCGGGAAGAACAATGCGGAAACTACTACATCAACCACCATGTCAACATGTCTACTTAGACTACTGTAGTCATGTTATAGAGTTGTTATGTGTTGAACCCCAGACTGCGTTCCATTGGTGATCGCCACTCCGTTTCTTGCATACCCGTTAGTTTCATACCCACCGACAATCCAATTGCTTGGTATCCATACCTTTCGCCCACATTCCGTCCTCATTTGGTAGGCGGTCTTGCCACCACCCGTCCGTCTTTAAGATTGATGGGCCGACACAAGCGATCGGGTTCCCCCAATCACAACATTCGGTCGTGATGACGACCCTGTCCGCCACGCAGTGGTAGCCCCAGCGTAGCTATAGACTGTGCGAACCAAGACAAAACTATACAGTACTGTATATTTTAGGGGTTTGATTTCTATCCCAGGCTAGTCCAGGCAAAAAGACCTTCTGACCATCTGGATCCTCGAATCCTTCAATCGGAAACGTTACAATGTACACTCCCAACAACATGATCCGGCTGATCCATGATGTGGAATTGCGTACGCATCTGCCTCCGTGACGATGTTTCTCCCAATTCTATCGACGTCATGAGGAATATATTGACATATCTATGTAATATACACTATAGACCTACCTCAAAGCAACATCAGATGAAACTGAAACTCATAGCTGGTGGGGCGATAGAGCTCTCGCCTCTGATGTCGCGCCTTTGCTTCAAATGGATGGGGTTGGGGTTGGGCTCTCGGGGCCAACCGCCAAACTGACATGTCGAGAACAATCACAAGTTAAGAACATGTCAGAAACTGGGAACCTCTATACGTAGAGACATAGCGTACGTTATCTTTTGGAACTGGGCTGGAGCTTTGTTTGACATTGGCCGATTAAACCTCGAGATATATGTATGTATCACTTACACGCAGTCATATCCCAAAGCAAACAAACCCATTGCCGGGACCCGGTGGCCAAGGCGTTTGTTTACCTACCGGTACCAAAAAAGTTCCAAATGGGAGTCAGATGCAAAGTCTATATATCTATGCATGTTTGTACATACTATGTAGCGGTATTACCTATATACAATCAAGTATTATCAAGACGTTTTCCCGTGGAATATACACTCTTTTCAGGCCTGGGGTTTTTTTTCTTTTTTTTTCGCCATACGTGAGAAAATCAAGCACAGTTCAGTGAGGATTTTCAGTTGTTTTTCTTCTGGTTCCAATGACATGAGCCATCTTGTCTTGAGCTTGTTAAAAACAGAAAACGGGCTCACAGCTAAATGAAAGGGCCACCATGAGCAAAAGGACTCACCGCCGCCCGTCCAAACCGGACATCAATCGATGGAAGTGTGGTACAAGATCTTGATTGTCACCCTTCTATTTTTTTTCTTTCCCTGGCAACGAGTCATCCTGCCTGTCGTCACAAATGGCCAGGGGATTTGATGGGCAGAGACAGACATCACCCATACCAGTCAAGCACAAACGGTTACGGTTTTTTTTTTTCTCAAAGTGAGGGGGTGAAAAGTCTCATCTTGCTCACTCACTCACTAACTTTCTCATCACTCCCGTCGTTGCAGTGCAGTAGTTCCTTGGTTTCGAGGAGGGGCAGATTGGGCAGAGGGGTGTGTGTGTTGGGGTGACCTTTATTTTTGCTTCTTTTGCTTCTGGTGGTTCGGTCGACATTGAGGAGGGGAAGAGGCTCTGGCATGATGAGATGGAAGTGGGTGTGGGCGTCCTCTTCGAGCCGGGGGGGAGAGGTTGTGTGTCTGTATGTGTGTGTTCGGCCTCCCACGGCCCACGGTTTACGGGTGATCTACCTTTCGTGTGGGTAATGATTCACCCGCCAAGTAAGATGGTGTAACAATCGCTTGCGGTTGTCGAAGTGAGAGAAGTTGAAAGGACTTTTCCAGATTTTGGTGGATGCTTGTAACGATGTAATACATCGATACACATCTGCTATACTGTTCCAATGTCATGACATGCCACGTTCCCGTACAGCAAAAAAAAAAAAGGAACCTAAGAGCCACGATCTGTCTCTTTCTTCCCGGAGAAACGAAAACGCAAAAAGTAGATCTCGTTCTCAACGTCGAAACTTTCCAAAAGAGTCAATGACAAGACATTGGTGAACATGGCAGAGGTGCATTTGCATCAAGCATTGAACTTCAAAAGCATGCTTCGGCAAGCAATGGCACATGCACATCAAGCGGAGTTCTTTCTGAGCCCGCCACATGATTCGTCAACCTCACTTAAAGGTTATCGCGACGAGCTGATTAGCTCGATTCGGGATTTTGAAAATCCAAAATGTCACGCATCTGAATCCTCGAAAGAAAAGAGCTCCAACAGCCAAAAGCATGTTCAAGGGGCAGAGTGGAATGTGTGTTCTTTTTCGGGTATGGTCATGGTTACACTCTTTCTTTTTGCCTTGCGTTAGCGCAGTTACATGGTCCCCTCACAATCCCTCAAAAGACCTGGCTCCATCGCCAAAGAGTTTACAATGGGTCCAGGCCACTGTCTCAATTGGAATTGTCCAACTGGCGCCGTGGGCGCTCTGCCGGCGGCTGGAGCGGCGCTGGAGGAAAGAGCCACCACAGAGAAGCGAACGTCGGACTTGGGGGTGGGAGAATGGGAGGAAATGTGGTGAGGCGAGATTCGTGCGAGTCGCCCCGAAGACGCGAGATGCTTGATGGAACTTGCCAACTTGCCTGCTTGCCTTGACTGCTTGATGTAAACGGGACAGGCACCCGTTTGACCGACAACGGAAGGAAACAGAAGTTGGGAGAAGAAGGCGAAATGGTGGGAGTTGTCCATGAAGTTGGCTTTCGGCCGGTCGACGTTTCGGAGCGGGAGACCAGCGAACGACGTCCCGCCGCTTTCAAAGTTGCACAGGCATGGAGCGTTGTAGGACAACTTGAATACAACCGAACCTCCCCCCTCCATGGGAGCGGGAACCGGGACCGGGGACTGACAATCTCAGATGGTCAACTTGACAGGTTGTGCACACCACGACATGTCTCATCTCACCAAGTTGTGAAAACCTTAACTTCCCTCGACTCGAAATACTCCGCATTCCCGTTCAATATCTGCCTCAATCTCGGTCGACCCGCCCTGCGCAACTCTAACTGCATCTCATCTCCGTCTTCTCGATGATCCTTCACATCTCCCCATCCCGTCCCTTTCTCATTTCGCATCTCATAAGCCCTTCAACCTAAAACCCAATGGTCTCGGAGATCCCTCGCGGTGTTGGGGCTCTGCGTGGGCTGCCTTTCGACGCTACGAGCCTACGAGGTACCCCCAACTTCACTTTAACACACCCCGGCAGCGGCAGCGGAACCAGCTGAAAGCCTGTGATACTGTTACGTCATGACAACTACCGTGACTAACCAGTCAAGGTCCGGACCCGTCGTGGTGGTCGGTGGGCGCTAATGGACCACGACGACGACGAGCGAGTCGACAACGATGGGTGAACCACAAAACCGCAAGCAAGGTCAGCAAGGGCCAGGGCCAGCAGAACCAAATCTTCAAGTTCTACGGCCCGATACTGCAGAACCAATATCATGACCATGACATTGGAGAAACCACGGTGCGGCGCTACAGAAAAGAGGACGGGACAAGCAACCGCTAGTTTAATGCCTCTAAAGAACGCCAAGGACCTTGTGAACTACCAGTAGGCGCTGGCTGGCGGCTCCTGCTGAGGACGGAACATCGGGGTTCAGCGATCCCGCAGGCCCAGTCAGGTTCAGGGGTACGCCGTAGCGCCCGTAGGGACTTGAGGAGGCTAGGGCGGCGACCTGAGGCTATTCCCGCCGACCCCCCTCGTCGGAGGTCCCCGACCCAAGGTTAAGATTAGATAACGGTGCATACCTATGAGATGATACAATTTACAATGAGACTGAAAGTCCAGAACATTTGCAAGCCGGCAACACCTCAGGGTCGTCGGCGACGGTGGCGGCGGTTACATATGGCATAGTCGAGACGAATCCTGGAGACTCTTGGCGATGCTCTTGGGTTTGCCTAATTAGGTAGGTGTGATAGAGCTGAGCGGGAGCCGCGCGCGCCGGAGTTTCTTGATGGCGAAGATTAAGGGATATGCCGAGGTTGCTGTCTTTTTACTTATTTCCTATCTCGAACATCTACGAGATAACGCGAGAAGGTGATCTTGGGTGTTTTCGAACACATACCCTCCAGCGACATGGGTAGATGAACGCATGATCACGATGGTTTCTCTAGTTTGAACTGGATTCATGTCTCTTTGGGAGGAAAGGGAATGGCCATGCGACACTCGTTGATGCTTGACTGCAGCTTCTTGTAAGCATGCTATGTGCGCATACGAAACATGAGAACGAAAGAGCATACACCGGCATGATGGTTTAATCTTCTTCACCTTGAAGAGAGGTGTGGAAACGCTGTCTGCCAAAAGCAGAATACCTTCTGGGCTTTCCACATGCCACTCGTGCAAACACTCCGTCCTCCTCTTCCCCGTCAAGAGTCTCATCCTTCCCTGGCACTCGTCACCAACAACCGCGTTTCTCTGCCTTCTATAACCCTCCCCTTGTCCGCCTATCCGCCATCATGTCTCCATCAGTTTGGATCTTACTCACTCACTCACTCATTCTTGATACTCTCACCCTCCACCCACTTCCCACTCTTCCCCCCTTCCTTCATCACCACCCTCAACCCCTCGACCCTCATCCCCTTGTCGACCGCCTTACACATATCATAAACCGTCAACGCCGCCGCCGACGCGGCCGTCATGGCCTCCATCTCCACCCCCGTCTTGCCGTAGCAAGACACGGTGGCTTTGATGTCGATGTATCCGTATCCGCTTGACGACCCCCCTTCCGAACCTTCTGACCCCTCAAAGGAATCCTCAAGAGGTCCAACAGGCCCAACAGGCACCAACTCAACCTCGGCATGCGTCAACTGAATTGGATGACACAACGGAATGATATCGGGCGTTCGCTTGGCCGCCATGATGCCCGCTATGCGCGCCACGCCCAAGACATCGCCCTTTTTGAGGGAGTTGGTGATGAGGAGCGGGTAGGCCGTCGGGTTGGAGAAGTGCACGGAGCACCGGGCGACGGCGGTGCGAGAGGAAGGCGTCTTGGTGGCTATGGAGACCATGTGGGCTTCGCCGGTTGGGGTTAGGTGGGTGAGTTTGAGTTGTTCTTTCCCGTTGCTAGGTGCGAGTTGTTCGGGTTGTTCTTTCCTGTTGGTACTGGATTCTTCCTCAGATGTGAGGAAGGAGCGTGTGGTGGAGAAGAGGCGGAGGTGCCCGAGTCCCTGAGGAAGGGTTGATGGAGGGATGAACATCCTGGTGCCTTGGAGTTTGTGATGAGCAAAGCTGCTGGTGGTGTTACTGGCCAGAGGCGAGAGAAGTGAAGAGAGTCCGGTGTGGTTCCATTGAACTTGATGGCTGCTGCGGTCCAGAGACTGGGAGCGATGTTGGGATGTGGCATTGGTAATATTGGTATCTACGTAGACAAAACATTCTTAGTATGTCTACTATCTTTGAAGCTCAAGAATACGTATACAAGAACGCCCAAGTATGTTCGTTGCTCGTTGATTTTGTGACCGAATATTTTGGAATTTTACCACCCATATCATGTACATGTGCCAAACCCTCAAACCAAAACGCCATCCCAACTCCGGCCAAAAGTGCAAAGAAAGAACAGGAACAAGCTAGAAAATAAAGGAGGAGGAGGAGCGTCACCCACCAATCAAGATCATTGGTCGGTTTTTCATATTTTCAAGATCGCCAATGCCGGCGTGCTTCTCCTTCTTGTTCTTCACTGCCATGCCGATAATATTTAGCAGCTCCTCTGAGTTGGGAGCAAGCAATGGAGAAGTACCATCGGTAAAGGCCTGGCCTGCCTTTTCCAGCGCAGCCTGCCTCATAACCTCAAAAGCTTCCTCATCGATTGGTTCTCCCTTGTTGATCTTGCGCACGATATCTCGCAGAGAGACTTCAGTGTTGTCAAACAGACACACCTTGATGTTCCCATCACCAGTGATGCGCAGTCGGTTGCAGGATCCACAGAAATTGTGAGTCATGCTCGTGATGAAGCCAACCTTGCCAGCAAAACCGGGCACTTGGAAGGTCTTGCTGGTGTCGTTCTTGTGGCCCTGGATTCTCTGCAGGTCCGGATACTTGGAGCGAATGAGCTCCAGCATCTCCTGGTAGCTGAACATCTTGCCCTCGGTCCACTTGTTGCCGCCAAACGGCATGTACTCAATGAAGCGAACCTCCACGTCCTTGTCCCGTGTCATCTCGACAAAGGCAAGAACCTCGCGGTCGTTCAGCCCGCGCATAACGACACAGTTGATCTTGAACTTGATGCCAGCGCCGAGGCGCTTGAGCTCAAAGATGCGGTCGATGGACTTTTGCACGGCACTGAAACCGTTCCGGCGCGTCATCAGCTGGAACTGCCAGGGGTCCATGGTGTCCAAGGAGAGATTGATGCCCGTCAGTCCGGCTTCGACCATGGCGTCCAGCTTGCGATGCAGCGAGAGCCCGTTCGTAGTAAGACATAGCTCCCTTAGGCCGTGAGCCCGTAGGGCGCCTATCTGCTGTATCAGCGGCACGATATCGCGCCGTACCGTTGGCTCGCCGCCTGTGAGTCTGATTTTTGTCACGCCTTGCGAGACGAATAAAGACGAGAGCAAGACAATTTCGGGGGTGGTCAGAAGCTCCTTTGGGGGCGACAGAGGGACACCCTCCTCAGGCATGCAGTACAGGCAGCGAAGATTGCATCTCTCCGTCACTGATATGCGAAGATAATCATGCTGGCGGTTGTAGTTGTCTGTCAAAAAGTCGGAGAAGGGTTTTGCATCCTTGAGCATGTCCCTTCGTGAGGACGTTGGCGCCGGATGACGAAGTGGCTCTTCAGATTGTGTTGTTGGAGTAGGGAGACGAGTCCCGATGCTGACGTCGACAGGTGTACTAGACGAACCATGTTCGTCTGGAGTCACTGGCGCTTGGGCGGATGACAGGTACGAGGAACCATTGCGAAGTATCGATGTTGGTGACGATGTGGTTATCGTTGCTGTTGCGGCCGCAGCTGTGGCAACATGCCGGGATAAGGGGATCGACGTCTTGGTAAGGTGCCGTGTTCCGATGCGGACTCGGAGTCCTTGGGCCGCATGGCGAGCCACAGCAGACATGATTGCTGGCTTCTCTTTTTGGGTTGATTTTCTTTCGTATTTCTGAACCTCGAGAATGTTTGAACTAGAGAGATAGAGAAAATCTGGCTTGGCTGAACATGGGCAAGCTAGTATGTGATGACCTCATCAACTATTTTGGTCATTAGGTGCAAGTCCGAGTACCAGCCTATCAGCTGGCCGTGATAGACTCGCAATTGCTGAAGCCAGGATGGACTTGAATGAGAGAAAGTCAACTTGAAGCAGTTGCTGAAGAAGTTTACAGTTCAGTATCGCAAAGTTCCAGATCGAAAAGGTGACTCAGCAGGATAGTGGCAACAATCTGACATCCACCCATAGATACGATAATACCCAAGTCTCATGACAAACCGTAGTAACACTGCTATCGATTATCTCCGACTAAAGATGGAGAAGTTGGTGGTGACAAGGTTTACTATGGCACGGAAGCCGGCGCTGGACATTCACCCCGCACCGTGTTTGCGGAGAGCGGCGAACATTTCAGAATTGTCCACGAAAGGGCGCACCGACCACCTCCCCCCTGGAAGCCTCCGTTCTTGGCAGGGGAATCAACACACTGTCCGGCAGGCATCGCCGTGCACTTCATTCTGACAAGCCCGGGGTCGTTGAGGGCTCTGGGAACGGGAACTGTTCTGACTGTGCCCTGCCCCTGTGCACCCCAGACGGTACCTACTGTGTAGAGGTAGCGCTACCTAGGTAGCGATAAGATAGCGTAGTGGCCTGCACGACACTGCACTTTCCGCCTTTGAGCCTGTGACAGGAAGGAAGGAACAATCCATCGAACCTGTCACTTCTCTTCTCATCGAAACAGTTGGTGATGGAAGTCACGTTGTTGGTCGACTGACTGTTTGCTGACCGCCTTCTACTCTAGCTGCCGGTGCTTTCCTGTTCAATTCCTCCTTCTGACGCGTGCCCCTTTTTCTCTTCTTCGTCTAGGCTTCCACTTCCCGTTCAACATCTTTTTGCCAACTGGAATTGGCCAACAACATCCGGCCAAAACACGCCCAAAAATAGCAGAAACCCACCAAAACAAAACGGCAATTAAACGTGGACCACTCAACTACTTCTTGGGCCTGACCGACACCAAACCGACGCCGGACTTGAACCCAAAAGCGAGGAAGATGTTGTTTTCAAAAAACGTAAAGTGTAGGTGAGGAAGTACCATCACCACCGCAACCACAACCACAACATCCACATGGCCCCCCCAGGCAGGGCTTGGACTGTCATCAGGATCGTCGGGAGCTGCCCTCGGAGCAGTCCAGGTTGTTTGCCAAACTTATTCCCGGGGCACCATGGCTGATCGATGGTCTGTTCAATAGCTTCGGCTCACTGCCTGCCCAGCCCTGATGGCCGATACATCGCGACTTTGTTCCCGACTTTGATCAATGTTCGGAGCGTCCAGTCATGGGAGCCCATCCACGTTGTCAGACTGCCTCAGGACTTCATTGGCCCGTTCCTCTTTTTCCAGTGGTCGCCGTCTTCCCGCCTGCTTCTTGTTGCCAGCTTCGACCAGGTTCGAGTGTTTTCTGCTCTGGATGCGAACTATCATGCCACCATCCGAAACCCTGTTGCTCCCCATCTGAAGCCTACCCATATTGACTTTGGCGCCTCGGATACAGAAATTTGTGTCATGGCCTCATTCGGCGTCAAGTTCACCGTCTTTGACCTTAGCTCATCAAAGGCCACCGAGATCGGGAGCCCCAAGTTCTTCTCCTCCACGGCTGTCCGCAGGGGTTTCTCGTTTCGCCCTCAGTCAAAACATCTTGCCATCCTGACTAGGACAGCTGGAAAAGATATGATTAGCATCCACGCTTTTCCCAGCAGGGAACTGCAGAGATCGTGGGCTCCTGAAACTATTGATGCACAAGGCTTGCTTTGGAGCACAGATGGGAGGTGGCTGGTTGCGTGGGAGTCGTCCGCCCTTGGCCACAAGGTCGTGTTCTACACGCCAGATGGCAACCTGTTCAAGACTTGGTCGGGTCCCGTCAACCCCACACACGAGGAGAAGGACTTTGCCCTGGGTGCCAGTGTCAAGACGGTGCAATTCTCTCCAGATGCCCGCCTGCTTGCTATTGGTGATCACAGCAGAAGTCTATCCATCGTCGATATGACATCCACCATGGAAATGCTGCGGCTCCGACATCCCAACAATCTTGTCCCTCAGGGCACGCTACAGGTAAGAATGTAACACGGGTCCTGGCTCCTGCGAGTCAGACCAGCTGATGGAACGCAACAGATCTGGCAAGAACGAATCGGAATCTCTCACGGGCCTACCATGCATACCTTTATCCGAGCCTCTCAAGCTGTCTCTCCGCCGCCGAGGCCCCATGAGGCTGCTGAACAGCTGTCAGGTTGTGCTACCATTGCCTTCGACCTGTCGTCAAATCTCATAGCAACCAGGATTGAAGATTTCCCCTCGACCGTCTGGATTTGGGACGTACAGGCCGCAGTGCTTCGTGCAGTTCTCCTTTTTCACGGGAGCGTCAGCACCCTGTCGTGGCATCCGCGCGTTCGCGAGACTTTACTCATAAGATGTGAAGGAGATCACTATAATAGCGTCGTGTTTGTTTGGGATCCTCTGTCCGAAGGGCCTCAATCGGTCGACTTTAGCCAGCAACTGTCCGGGTTTAAAGCAGTTGGTAAGTGGCATGCCTCGTGGCTCGGCCTTGATGCATCAACTCCCCTGTCTGTTTTCTTCTCGGATACACAGAATTACGTGTTGGCATCTCTCGCCGATTCGGACAGGGACTCTCTGCCGTGGATTAATCCACGCAACCCACAAGATGGTGACGGCCCGAGCCGCGCTGAATCACCCCTTGAGCTTGTTCCAGCAACAGCAGACGAAGCAGACGAAGCAGACGCTTTACACACCGGAGATGATGGTGACATTGTAATGGAGGACACATATGGCTACAAGCGATAGGCAATTTGTGCGACTGATCTTATACAACGATCTCCCGTACCTGCCACATGTATCTTGGCGCTGTGCACTACCTACAGATGTCCTAGATCTTTCCTGGATACCCGACCCGGGAGTTTGGCAGATGTTCCAGTTCTCGTTACTGGCCACTTGGGAGCACGAAGGACCAGCCGCCGAGGTTGTTCATGGGCTTATCAACCCTCAGTACTATGCTGTCAAGTCACTGTGACAGGATCCAAGACGCACCGCTTGGACAAATTAGGCTTTGGGTCCGACATCAGTGGCGTTTTAACGGGGACCCACGATGAACTGCCGCAGCAAATGACCCCCGCGCTTTTAATCATCACACGGTGGGAGGATGGTAAATCGACTCGCGCGACAATCTGTTCCCAGAGACCCTACCTTCATGCGTTCATCCCGTATGCCAGCTCACATGTTTCAATGTTTGCCCAAACCCTGATTCGAATGACTCGTGCAGCTGGTTAGCTGACGATGTTCGGAAGTGAAAACAAACATTGTGGTCCGTACTCGGAATAAACTGTCCCAAAAGGATGACGGTCCGGCCTTTGACCCCGTTCGAGTTACCCCATAACCCAGAAATCACCTTCGTCTGCAGCTGCTGGCGACCCGGATCTTACCGCTGTGTCTTTTCGGGCTTCGATCGAATTCCTTTTACAGACCAAAGTCCAACCAGAGGATGCCAGTCAAACTCCCTCGCGTTCATAAACACAGGTTGGCAGACAGACGGACCCTTGCTTGCATTCACCTTGTCGTACACACGAGTTAGAGCGTCGCCAACCATGGGTCGCCGTTATAACCTGCCTCGCTTGACACTGAGACAGCAGCTTGACAGGTTCCATCTCTTGAGCCGCAGCTGTACGTAGCTCAGTGGGTCCTTGCCGTTTTCAGTACCCTTCGGGTAGTTGACAAGCTGGCATCACACAGTTACGAAACGGCGACCACGGGAGCTGGGTGGGTTGGTGGGCTACCTACGCTACACAACGTACGAGTCCCTATAGGTGCTGCATCACGCACTCCCGTAACGTGTGTTTGCATCTCCAGTTCTGCATCCTTGAGACCATCACGGCGAGTACGGATACTATTGCTGGCCTGTCCGGGCCGCACACATTGCTTTTAGTTAAAAGGGAAATTGTGGGCGTCGACGCCGATGCCAAAACACTGTTGTTGTCGAAGATGTCTTATTCCAAGAAGGACACGGAGTAGCATTGTAATGAGGATGACGTAGAGTGGCTAAGAGGAATCCCCTTTCCCATCTCCAAGTGGTCATGGTTTTGTGCATCATTTTATCAGATGTGATCAGTTTAACACACGGTTCGGAAGCCGAGTCAACACCTCCCGGACAGAGGTTGAGCAGGATGTATTGCCTCTGGTGATCCTCTTTAGAGGAAACCTACATTGATGCCGGAAGGCCACCGAGCCTCGAGAACCAGGCGACGGCAATCTTCCGTTGCATGCGGTTGGACACCGAGATGTGTACAGATTTCGGATTTAAATAGCTGGCCGGCGTCGATTACGAACTTGATGATGACACGCAGTCTCAGGGGTAAGGGAGTTGTCAAAACGTCGGTCTCTAGTCGGAGCCACAATTCGTTGAAACCGAGCCAGAAACTTCCTGACAGTCCGGCATCAACACTTTACACCAAGGATGACCCCGAATCTAGAACGACCCAGCTGGCAATAGTTGAAGGTATATCCAAAGCTCCACTGAGCTCTGGACTCGCCATAACTCTCGCTCATCAAGGTGATCTCGAGGCAAATACTCAAGAATGCCCAGATCCTCTTTCAGTTGGAATCCTCTCTATTCCCACTGTCTATGTGATCATAGATTTACAGCCACGCCTTCTCAAGGTCACCCAACCTTACGACTCAGAAGAATACAGGACTATCAGCAACTAGGCTCGGTTTCGACGGCAGCAGCGACCTATTGTGGTCTCCGCCCTCACCCTCTTCTTAGACGAAGTTACCTAAACCACGTCAAAACTGCCCACTGGGGCCAAAATGCCTGGTTCACGGAGCTCAAAGAATGCCAAAGACTCTATCAGAACGGCGGACACTGTGTTCGTCGAGGATGGTGAGCTGACGGGAATTTACTACATTCCCATCTCTGGTGTTCGTAACCTAGCTCTCTCCTTGCCAATACCGTTACATTGACACTAACCATTCTCTTTATGCAGCTTCCCCACACAACGACGTGGCAACAGTTAAAGGACCACGTAAGGAGGGGATGTGGTGTCGAAGCCGATAAAATCGAGGTCTATGCTCCTCTCGGTGGCTGTGTTCGAATCCGAGAGAGGGACAACTTTGACAAAGCGTTCAGTAAGTGATATATCATCATCTTTAACTACCCCGGTCCCTGTTTACTGATAGCATAGTCAGTATTCTTGAACGGCAGTACTCTTAATGGCCGTGCCCTTTTTGCTGATGGGAGGAACAAAGGTGGAAGGGTCATGGTCAAGCCCACCATCGCCGTACCTCTGACCGTTCGGCCTACTGCATCCCTAGAGACGGACCCCGCTCCAGCTTATGGATATGGATACGGCTTCAGCCCAGGTGGTGCGGCCGGTGGTATGATACCGGCCTTTGCGAACATGGCCATCTCCGGGTCTCCGGCGGTTTATGGGGCCGCGCAGCCGTATGGAGGCCATGTTGTGGCGCCATATCCTGAGGCCCCGCTGATGACCAGTCCCTACAGCGTCGATCCGGCGTGGAACCCCTATGCTTCGATTGGACAGCCCTACAACGCTCACCAAGGCTTCAATTCAAGATACGCTACCCATGATCACGGTCAAGAGCCTTATACTCAGGCCTATGTAGCCGCTCTGTCGTATCACAGCCCTCCTATTTATCAGGAAGGGTACAACAACTACGATGGAGCCATCGCTGCAGCCGCCACACATCCTATTCCCTTTCAGACCCACCGGAACAACAGCATTGTCAATAGTCTCGCTTCCATCCCCAGCCCCAGCACACCGATAACCGACATCATCACCAACGTTGGCACACCGAATACGGTGAATACCGTCAACACAGCGCTGACCGTTCCATCTCCTCCTCCCAACACTCGTAACCCTTCTAACTCGTTGTCTATCAACCTACCTGGACCCCATCCATTGCAGTCCCGACATCAACAGCAGCAACCACGCACGATCATCATAACCGGCCTCCTGAAGAATAATCTCACACCCGACAAAATCCGTCTGCTTCTCTCTAAGCATGTCTCCGAAGTTGTCGCCGCCCAAATAGAGGGCATCCAGATTTTGGATAGGAAGGAAACCACACCGCATGGACATACCGCATACGTGCGGTTCAAAACCGTCGAAGATGCGGAGTTGGCAGTGGCACATCTGGATCAAAAGCCCTGTGGGAAGCTTTCCTTGGGAGTGAAGGCTTGGGTGCCTGAACAGAGGGCGGTGTTTATCGGGGAGGAGGGAGATGGGGGTGGAGGAAGGGGAAAAGGAGAAGGCGGTTTAACCAGGGGCGTCGAAGGAGCAGAGGATGAGAAGGGAGGTGACGAGCTGAAAGAGATTTGTGATGGAGATGGTAAGAACGACGAAGACAAGAGTACGGATATGCCGTGTGGTAAGGGTAGAGAGAAGAGTGACCAGGGGGCGAAGGTCACCAACGACAAGAATAACGACAGGAAGGATAATTCCAATAGGCGGACAACGGACACGAAGGGAAATTCATTGGCATTGACAGCCGCACTAGCGGTACCTCCCAAGCTGGGGCACAGAAGGGAATCAACAAGCGGCGTGGTCATCGCTAACGGAAGCTACACGACTAACACCACCAATGCCGAAGCGGCAGCTGCGGTTGGAAAGAAGGACAGAAGCAGCAGCTTGTCGGCTATGTCCAAGGCAGACGTGGTGATTGCCCGTGGGAGCTGGGCTACTACCAAGTCACCCACAAACGAGTAAGGATAGGGATGAGAAAGTGGGAACGAGACGGGTGGGATATGGGGTGGGTGAGGCTTGAGGAGTAAAGTGTGTTTTGTGTGTTTATGTGAGCGCATGAGCGAGCATGTGGCGGAGTTTGAATCTCAGTTTTTGTTTTTCAGGGCTTCAGCCCCTATTTTCGTTATTGTTTACATTCTGATCTTTCCTACATCACTTATTATCATTCTGGTCGTATATCATAATGATAGCACACATGTGTCCGGGATGGGTGGGAGTTCCGTGGGAGCATTTACATGCGCGAAAAGAGGCGAAGACGAGAAACCCAAAGATTGGAAAACTAGGCTGCGTGATAATAGGGTGGAAAGGCGATGAAAAGACGAAGACACGAATAATGAACGAGAGATGATGAGGCTATGAGAACGAGGGTACAGAAAATCAAATAGAGGTGAGACATGAAACCGAATAGGGTTCAATCAGTTATGTTGCGTTGTATGTAGAAGCGTGGGTATGTAATGTAGACAAGGTGATGTTCGTGACACCCTTGCTTTTAATGTTTACTTTCCGTGTCAACAGTGGTATCTACCAGACCCCGTCACAATAGGGCAACGGGCGGGCGGTGAACAACACAACCGTACAAAATAACCATTATCGCAGACACTGCGCGATGTCTTAGAGATGTGCGAACGATGGAAGCCAGTGAGATATGCTGAGTGAGATGTGTATATAATTGCAAGCTATATATCTTGTCAAGCTCAACTGGATGGGCGGCCGGGGTGGGTAATGAATCCATCGATGCTCCCTCCTCTACTCAACTAATTCTTTTTACTTCTGCGAGGATACTACAAGAGAATACAATACATAAGGTAGGGTATCCAGACAGACCACCAAACTGATATATCCACTTGTTCACTTGCTTATGTCCTGATTCTAATAATTATATACGCATATACACCGGATCACTCCGTCCCCTTCTACTTGGAGGTACTCACTTCCATCTCCGGTGTCGCCCCTTCCCCGATATCAATGACTTTAAAAAATAATAATAAGAGCCCGTCCAAACGGGTGCTTCCTTGCTTCGATTACCACCTAGGTATGCATACCACCGTACCATGCCATGCCATGCTATGCCAACTGAGCCACTCATGATACTAACCAATGACGGTCCCAAATTAACCAATAAACGGCGAAACTTCCACCTGCCTCATCTTCTTCCCCTCCCACAACGCCCTCTGATCAGCCTCACAAGCGCCGCAGTATTCAGCATACCACTTCTTCAGCGCGTCTCTCCTAGTGATTTGGTGTTGTTGCTGCTCGCTGTCACCAGAGGCGGTAGCCTCTCCCCCATCGCCATTACCAGAAGCAGCACCCTTGGTACCCATACTCGTAGTGTCAGAGCTCAAAACACTCTGCTGTCCCCGTCTCTGATGCTGCGAAGTATCATACATGATCTGTTGATCAAGAACCCCGCTATTATTACCGGTAAGCAACATATTGCTCACCTGCTCGCACCGGAGGTTCTCGTCGGCGAGCCAGTTCTCCCACTCGGACTGGATCATCTCCCGCTCGATGCCGTTGACGACGCGCATGGCGACGAGGAGATCGTGGCGGTAAGTGCCAAGCCGCTGGCGCGTGCGGCGGAGACGGCGGGCCGTGGCCTTGCCTGTTGTCGAGGCGAAGCCAGCGCCGGCGTCGGTGTGGGGTGCGTCGAGGTCGGTGGAGTTGAGGATCGATTGGAAGGTTTCGTAGCTGTTTTATGCATGTTAGTATGTTTTTGTTGAGGAAGGAAACACTGGGACGTATAACATACCATTGACTCCCAACAGGCCTCTCCACCACCACCGCGCTTCCCTTCGCCGCCTCCTCCAGATCCGCCAAGAAGATGGCCTTGCTCATAACCGTGTTCGGTCCGACACCGATCCGCTCCATATACCTTGCTGCCTTGCGCTCCGCCCACCACGCCGCACTAGACTGGCTGACGACCACCAGGTTATACGCCAGGCTACCCAGCAGCAGCACCAGCAAGACGCGGTGCGCAGTGATGATCTTGAAAACCTTCTTGACCACGGCAAACGCCCACATCATGACCGACGTGATGGCGCTCTCCAGCAACGACCGGCCAGTCTCGAGGATCATGGCCGTCAGCGACCTCACGCGGATGGGCTGGCCCTTCTTGGATCCCGACGCGGCGCCGGACCCGTCGAGGCCCGCGTTGGGCGAGAAGACCACGACCTGCGTCTGCTGGCCAATGTTGCCGTAAACCTGGATGGCGCGCTTGGTGCGGCTGTGGGGGCCGAGTCGGCGGACCTGGTCAGTCGCAACCTCCGCGAGCTCCTCGGCATCGTTGGCGGCGTCGTCGAGAGCCTGTCGCTCGACCATATTCTTGGCGATGGCTGGGGCCTTGGACCAGTCGGCCTTTGTATAGATGGCGAGCTTGCACTTGGACTTGGCGACGTGGGTGATGACGACCTTGGTAATGAGCTTGAAAGCGTGCGAATGGGGCAAGTGCCAGGGTGTCTTGACGTGGGTGACGACGTAGGTGATGTGGTCATTGAAAATGTCGATATTCTGCGTATCGACGATGTTTGCATCCGTTTTGCGCCCAAGCATGTCGGCTTTATCAACTTTGAACTTGAACTGACGCGCCATCTTGCCACCGTGATCTTTGAGCTCCCAAGGCCCTTGAGCGATCTCCTTGGCCCGCCGCTCGAAGTAGAGCTTGGGGAAGATGAAGCTCTTGTCACCGAACAGAACATGGAAACACGCCTTGGCGCTAAGCTCGAAATTCCGTTCTGCTACAGGCTTGCCCATATCCTCTGGTTCGTAGTATACAGGGTGCGCTGGGAGCTGGAATTTGTGCATTGGAGCCTTCTTCAGACCGCGTGCTCCTCTAATAAAGCGGCCACTCAAGTCCCCGATTCGGCGTTGAACCGGCCTACCTTGGGGTGTTCCGTCATCCATCGGTGTGTTTGAAGCAATCTCCTCCCAACTTTCTGCACTGGGGCTTCTTTTATCGAAGGTTTCCCCTTCGAGGTTAATCAACGCGGTGATAATCTCCCCGAGGCTCATTGGTTCAGCGGCCTGAAGATCATCGACCAGGAGATTAAGTCGGGCATGCAGGAGCGTAAAGTCCTCCAAGAAGATCTTCATAGTGATGCGAGAGATGTTGAAGTCGCTGGCGTCCTGGTTCAAATGTAGGAAGATGTAATCACAATCCTTTCCAGGAGCCGCCGTGACCTCTGTGATGCTGTCGAGACTGATGGCGTAGGCAACGACCAGGCCCAACTGATGACCAAAGAAGTACATGTTATCGGGTGTCACAAAAATACGCCCATTAGCAGCCATGCCTCTCCCTTCCTTGCCTTCGCCAGATGAGTTTGACCAGGCGGCATTGAAGACCAAGACCGGCTTCTCCTCTGGAGCAACGGTTGGGAAGACCAACCGGAACTGCGCATACTGAGCTCTCAACTCAGGAGGATAATTTGCCGGGAAGGAATCGACGAGTTGGCCTTGCTTCTCCTGGATCTTCCCGTGGGCATCAGACGCAGCATCTACACTAAGAGTCTTTTTGTGTAGACTGGCAACCGAGGCCTTCTCGCTCATGGCACTGGGTGCTCTCTGCTGGACGATACCGACAAGCGGATCGTCCAAATCTACTTTTGGCGTCCGAACAGTTTCAGGCAAGGGCGTGAAGGAGGATGCCCAGGGATTGCTACCCCAGTAGTTGGCGAGAACCGCACTCGGTAGGCCGCGATTGATATCTGCAGTGGCGCTGGCCATAACAGCGGCTCTGCTGAGATTCGTCGGGACCGGAGGTTTAGATAGCGTTGCAGGCGCAAGACTGGTAGGGGCGTGATCGAAAGGACCGCCGAGCGAGGGAATCGGTACCCGCAGAGCGGGAGTCTGGGGCACGATGGGTGAGATAGGACTGTTGCCTATGAGGCCATGACTTGCTGTTATCAAGTTTGCAATCCCTCCTGAAGGCTGAGCTTGCGCGTCCGTGTTGGCAAGCATGGCTTTCCTGTGTAGATCGAGCCTCTGCATGAGCCGGGCAGCATGCTCCCGACCGCTCTCGCCTTCCTCTCGGCCCAATGCGGTCGTTATCGAGCGCCGGGGAGGGTTGGTGGCGGCATCAAAGCTGGCGCGCGCCGCAGCGTCAGCACCAGGGACAGCGAGTGTTGCCGTCCGCTCAAGGCCAGGGCCAGGTGCATCACTCTCGACACTGTCGAGTGACTTGGCCGAGAACTCGGGGATCGTGGACGGATTAATTGAGAAGGCAGGATCAACACCGTTGCTAAGGGCGTTCGCTTCACGGCCCATTGTCGCTTCAAATGCTCTCTTCTTTGCGACTTCGAAAACCTCCAGCCACTCCATCAACTGCGTCTGAGTTTCGGCCTGGAGCAAAAGTGTCTGCGTCTTGGTCTTGACCTCGAAGCAGAAGCGACGTTCCTCCTGAACAGCCGGCTTAGCACTGCAAAGCAGCACACCAATCTCGTCTCCTTGCAGCACACCCTGAGGCCCGTTCATGAGCCAGCCGAACTGGAAGTTACGACAGTAGTACCACCGGCGCACCCAAGTTGTCCTCGCCGGCTTTCCTGACACAACTCGTAGGAAGAGCCACCCCTGCTTCTCCGCTATCACGTCCGTCTCATCCTTCTGCTGCATGTTCATCGGTCCTCTAGACCCCAGGTATGGCACCGTAGAAACACTGTAGTCCTCGATCTCCCTCGAAGGCTTATAAACCGCCAGTGTCGCCTCGCCAACCTCTTTCCTCGCCGCCTGTAGCTCTCGCTTAAACAAGGGCTCATACGACTCCATCTCTTTCGACCAGCCGCGTATCCTCTCTAACTCCTCCGCCGCAGTTGCCGCGCCCAGGGGTGCGTCGCCCCGCGAGCGGCGCATCTCCCTGTACATATCGGCGCAAACCCGCACAAGCAATTTGTCGAGCGCAAACCGTAGCTGAGGCGCCGACTGGCAGAAGTCCATGCTAGCCTTGAGGTACGCCTTGCGCGTCTCGAACACAGCGAAGGCGTCCTCGCGCAGGGCACTTGGCTCCTTGGTCTTGTTCTGGCTCACATAGCGGGCGAGTGTCGTGTCAAACGTCTTCTGAGCAGCCTCCAACGCTCGCCGTGCCTCCTTGAATGTACGGAGTTCGCCGTTGACGAAAGTGCGGATGGGCTCGACGCTGATGGGCTCGAGTCGCCGCACCGTGGCCATCACTCCCGTCCACCAGTCACGAGCGCCATCGCCGGCTCGGCGGAGAGCTAGAAATGTATAGTCGGTGTCGATGATGGCGTCGGCTTGGGCGGTTGCGTTAACCGGTGGCGGCGCAATCTTTTGGAGGTAGGCGTGGATGCTGTCCTCGAGCGCGAGCAGGTCGTGAACCACCTTGGAAGTACTGCGGATATAGTTGTCGAGCCATCGCTCGATTACGTCGAGGTTTTCGGAGAAATGGACGGTAGAGGCCCTGAATGTGGGAGAATCGAGAGCGGCTTCGTTGAGGCTCACGGGGTTGGGAGCGCCAGGGCGTAGCTTCTTGGTAAGGGGTAGTTGCGACTGCGTTGTAAACGAAGAGGTCTGTGTAGGAACTGATGCCGGCTGCGTCGATTGCGGCTTGCTCGGGGCCGTGGCAGCCGGCGGTAAGACGGGGAACGCTGTGGTATCGGACATGATCTGTGTGGTGTCCTGGGGAACTCGAAGGGTATAATCGGCGGCTGCTGTCCACAGTTATGTCGATCTCGGCACCTTGTATTAGGGGTAAATAGGGCAGGACAAAAGCTCGGGGAGGCCGGTCGCAAAAGTCGAGTTCGAGGTACGAGATGCGAGAACCTTTCTGGCAGCTGGACCGGTCTAACCGGGTGGTGCAGCTTTCACAGCAACAAACTAACGATGGTGGTGGCGTATTACAAAACTCCTCGCGGTAGTACCATCCGTAAAGTCCCTTTCAATATGCTCGTGTTCTATTCGGTTTCTTTCATTATCGATTAGGTTTGCTAAAGGACGGTTGTTGCAGTTGGCGCAAAGGGTGGTGCAGTTGGTTCGTGGTGGAGTTGTCGTTGGAGAAAGTTGGTGGTGGTGACGGGATGGACGTCGATGTGTAAAAGGAGACAAGGCGGGAAGTGGGAAAGCGGCGCCTACTCGCACAAAAAAAGGTACCCAAGGTACCTCCTCTTCAGCTCCTCCTCAGGGCAGCAATAGGTAGGTACCTTAAAGTTAGCACACTGCACCATCCATTCCATTTTAGCTGGAGACTTCCGCTTCCAGGTCGCTACCGTTGCCCGTACCGCTGCAAACGCAATGACGTTGTTGATCGGGAGTCACTGGTGGTCAGCCATTTCAGGCCGGGGCATGATCGACTGCGAACGGCAGTGGACATTGGGGGTGGTGAGAGAGACAGACGGGAGACTGGGCCGGACTAGTCGACTGCAACTGGAACTTGCTGAACCCCTGATCGAAGCTGCCTCCACTGCCAAGAATTCCGCGTATCCGCCGACCTGGGTGGGCTTTCAGCGCCGGCTCGCTCTAACAAGGAACCCCATTTAGCCCCGTGGCTTGGCTTGCAGAACCCCTGGAATTCCGCTAATCAGTGGACAAGGCATGTCCCGGCAGCGCACGCTAACGGAAGCATTCCACTTCTCATTCAAACGTCCCGCCAGCTCCGCTCATTGTTAACAGCTTCACTAACAAATACCATCGACTGGAATTCGTGGCCGGATTCATATATTAGACCTGGACAGCAACCAGGACACTGAATGTTCTTCATAAGGAATGGAAATGAAAACGCGCACGTTAAAATTTCGTGAATACGTGTTGATACTTTACTGAAACGGACAAGTAGGAGAACTCAGCATCCTTATTCGTAAGTAGAACGCCCCAGTTTGTTAACCGAGCGATACCTCATCCATGTCTCCCTTTCACACAATGAAATTCCTCATTTGTAACCTGCCTCCTCCTAATCATATATTCACGAACGGGACTTATCACAATCCCCAGAGTAATGAGAGTAATTGAGGGTTCCGCTTCCCGCTATCACCAATCCCCCAACCTTATTACCGCATCTTCCGATCTTTCTCGCCCTGTGCTCTCGGACGTGGACCTAAAAACTACATGGCATCTACTGGCTATTCTCCATCACCACATCTTCCTCCTCCTCATCTTGTTGTTTCCATGACTTCCCCTCTGTCGACGATCTTGCAACAGTCCCAGGAGATGTCTCAAAATGGTCGGGGAGAGCATATGTCTTGTAAACTGTCCTGTCGCGTCCTAATAGACAGACCCTAGCATGAAGCTCGCCCCTGGTCTTGCTCGCGCGCTGGACTTCCATCTGAATGGGCACGAAGCCAGCCGCGTTAAAGAAAAGTGGAATAAACGGGACTTCTGGACCTCCGATGTCGATTGTTTGGGATCTCTCTCCTTCTTTATAGGCTGAGTAAGGTAGGGTGGGTGATTGATATCCGATCCTTACCAGGGCAGGGCTTTGCTCGTCTGGGGTATGAAATGTTAGCATCATCTTGTCTGGTCTGCTCTTGAATTATGGTCGCGAACAAACTAACCTTTGAGTTGGCTTAGTACGAGCAGAGACTCGTCGTCCATAAACTTGATATCAACTACGGTCGCCCCGTTCGGGAAGGCAAGACCACATGCACTACTGGAGGCTGTGCCGCTGGTGCCATTGGCAACTGGAATAACGGTTCGTACGATGAAGACTAGAGATGGCATTAGTCTTTGCACAACAGCTTCAGTAAAGGAGACATACTCATGTTCTTGTCGCCTTCTGGTACTGTCGCAACGAATGTTGTCACACCCGATTCAGTCTAAATATCCGCGTTAGTGATCAAAGCTCGAGAAACAAAATTGAGCCGTGACAAGATGGCCTACAGCTTGAGGTCGAGCACAAAGATGAACATCATGCCTCCAGATCTTCTCGCCAGTGGATATCTCAACGGCCTGGTTGAAGCGCACACTGCGCTTCTCTGCCTCAGCAATCTCCTTGAACACGATAGCCGATTTGCCAGTGAGATGATTCACCAACTGGTCGATTTTAGGCAACGCCTTGTAATAAGGCTTACCGCACTCCTTGTTCTTTAACTGCTGATCAACCAGTTCAAGCAGAGATGTGCCATTGCTCTCCTCAACGACTTTCCAGTCGCTCTCGCGCTCTTCCGCGGAAATATCACCAAGATAGACAGCCAACGGACTACCCATGAGGTATCGTTGGATATACGTCAAGACCTTGACATTATCCATAGTCGCCTCCTTTTCGGTCAGCTCCTCGGCCGCTGCCGATGACGAAGCCAGCTTGTCAATTTCCATCCGGAGCCAAGACGAAAAGCAAGTGAAGTGGTCCAGCTCGTCCATGACCCCCAGAAGGATCTTGTACGAGACCAAGGTCAGCGCCGCGACCATGTCCAGAAGCTTCTCGATCTGCGCGGCGGTAAAGCCAATGTTCTCGCGCGCGCCGTGGAAACGAGAGAGGCCTAGGAGCCGGCTGAGTACGATACCGCACCTCTCGAGCGCAGGCAAGAAGTTCTCGTGGATGAGGCTTCTCAGATTTTGTAGGCCGCTTACGACTGCTTTATCCCACCGTTTGTGTCCCTAAATACTTGTTAGTCTCGTGGCAGTTTGCTCATCTCCCTTTTCAAACTTACTCTCTCGGCCAAACTGTCGACTAGCCATTCCCTCACCTGGGGAAACACATGCCCCGTTGCAACCGTGTGGTACAGTGCCTGGACAATCGTCACCGGCCCCTTGGGACTCTTCTCCAGGTCTTCTTGGACACTGCGAAGAAAACGCCCGGGAAGCTCTCTTGTCGACTTCCACTCACTGATCATATGCGACTGCGCCTGCTTCAGATATCTCAGGAGATTCTGAAGCGTTGTCGTTTTCGACGCCAGCAAGGACAGGTTGATTGGTGACTTATGAACAAAAGTGAGGTCCATAGGAACAAGATAAATGGATGCCAGGCTGCCGGCATCCTTATGCCTTAGTAGGAGTGCATGAGTAGACACTTTGGGATGGGAGCTGTGACCGCAAAGCTGGAAAGCACCCTTGCTGGAGGGAGATCCCCTTGCCGTATGCGGTACATGCTGAAAGGTGCCAATGACAAATGAGTCGTAAATGCTGAGATGGATGCCTCCATCGGCCGTGCCGGCGATCATAACATGGACGTTGTCTGAGTCCTCGGGCTGGTGGGGGCGGAACACGAACTCGAGTGATGCCGCTGTCGAGAAAACAAACATGTCGTCACTACGAACCATGTCAGCTACAGCATCTCCGTGTTTACTTCCTTGAACAAGAAGCTCCTAGATCAAGTTTACTTACCCAGTACCTCCCGACAAAGGAAGAGGGCTGATCTTGGGGAGAGCGGTCTCCACCTCCAAGAAAGTCAACTCATGAGGGAGATCCAAAACATGTTTCTTCTCGTCAGACATGAGATCCCTCCACGGCAAATCGGGGAGGTCATTGTGCTTCCTGCCGGCGCGCGATTGCCTGCCAGTTTCGTTTCTAGCCCAGGCGATAAACTCGATTCTGGAAGGTTTCCCATCATGGCCCGCCACGCGAATGTGATGTACCGCTTTGTTGCTTTCCAAGCCGATCAACCGCACCACGCCATCACTCCAGCCAGCAGCTAAGAATTGGCCTGCGAGTTTTTGTAAGATATTTGCACTCATCAGAGTCATCAGGGAACGCTTCACTTACCATCCTCTTTCCACTTGATCGCGTCAACCTTTTGGTTTCGTTCCGTGTGCTTAGAGACCAACTGATTGCTGCCACGCCAGACATAGATTACGTTGCTGTCCCCGACCGTGGCTGTCAGGTTGATTACCGGGTTGCATGCAATTTGTTTGCCTGAGACTGGCGCACTCAAGGTGCTGGAACTGAATAGCTGGAGCTGCCCATTTAATGACATTGTCTGGGATTCTTTCGGTGCTTCAGTTATGTGACGGTTTTTGGATTGTTTAGGTGACGTGGAAAGCGACGGCTAACTGGTCCCAGCCTTCAGCTCCGGGATGTGATGTTTTGATTGCAATGACACGTGCAAGTCCATAACTTGGGCAGTGGATTTGATGTTTAAGTTGCTATAACTTCACTTGCCTTTGGTGCATTGTTGTTGCTGTTGTTGCTCTTGTTCTGCGACTGTGGTTTCGTCCTGCCTGTTGATCGAAAACACAGTGCTAACAGAGCAGTTGCTATGGCAATGAGATACCGTGCAGTTAGGTATTCGTACTGTAACCCTTCAAGCTAGTAGCGAATTACACAGCAAAGAATCGAATTGCGATACCCAAATGTTTACAATATCGATAGCAGAATTGGAGAGGTTCTTGTACAAAAAGAAATACAAAAAAAAAAGAAAAAAGAAAAAAAACCCTGCCAATATCCAATGATAAACGTTGACGATTTCTAGATCTCTCAGGATCCCGAACATGTCAAGAACCGCTCTTCCGGGAACCCCTTATCACTTGTCAACGGAAGAAAAACATAACTCGAGCACCCACTGGAACTCGTCAGGGCTTATGACCACGTATAACAATTTTCATTATAATGGGAGCTAGACAACTCGGTTACTTCCCATACATTACTCTAATCCTGGTGCGGAAGATGATGATCGAGACGCCTGACCGACATACTATGGTCGCCCCTTTTTGGCTGTACTCAAAACAACAGCAAAATTTACTCGATGACGAACTTGTCGGCCACCGATCTGATGTCCTTGGAAAACGAAACCTCTTCGCCTTCATCCACCAGCTCGACAGAGTGAACCTAGGGTGTGTCAGTGGTTTTCCCTTTTCCCGTCTTCGAAACACAAGGCGGGGGCAACTTACATCAACCTCCACAAACGGTGACGACTTGGAGAACCGGACCTGCATCGGGAAGAACTCGTTCTCGTCATCTGTCTGCGCCTCAAACTCGAACGCTCCGCTAGCGTTCTCCTCGCTTACGGTGCCTATCGACCACTCTAGACTGTCACCAGACACTTCATACACAGCGTCAAAGCTAGACACCTGAGGCTCTGCGCTCGAGTACGGGATTACGACAGTAACGTCCTTGAGGGTATCTCCGCCAGTGAGCTCGTACTCGACCGTCAATGTGCTGTTACCATCTGAACCCTTATTGACCCAGACAGTGAAGCTAATTGGTAGTGCGCTTGTATCGTCAACCTTGGGAGTGGCCCGCCACCTGAGAACACCGACGGAGTTGTTGGTAGGGAAACCCTTTGATATCTGGGTCAACTGGATAGCCTGGGAGCTGTTGAAGACATTCTTGTCGACGTTCGGGTGAGTGCGGAATTGGGCGCCGTGGGTTGGTGTGGCGCCAAGGTTAAGCTTGATTCTGGAGAGCGCTGGGTCGGAGACACGAAGCTGGAGGTCACCGCTAACAGCGAGGGATTCAAGGGCACCATCCCTCGAGATCTTGGCACTGATCGTCTCGTTGATGAGGACATGAATAGCATCCCGATCAAGTGTCGAAGAGACTCTGGAAGCGGCAAGCTCTGCGGCAGCTGCCGGTGCGGCTACGGGAACAAGGGGCGCTTCCTCGGTCTCGTGTCCAAGATCTCCCTTTACGCGCTCGAAAATATCCGTATTCTTGGACT